ACAGGATACTGAGCTAGACGGACCATTGCTCTGACCCAGTGCAGCCATTCTTACTTGTTATGATCCCAGCCACGTCGATGGTGCTCCTGGGAAGTTGCTTTAGGGGAGAAAGTCCTTTAGCCCAGGATCTGAGCCTATAAAGGTGACATTTTGACTCGAACAGTGGTCTTCTGCGTTGGGTTTCCAGGTAGCCCACTCTGTTTCCACCCTCCTGCCTTGGCAGCTCAGCTGTCCTCAGCGGTGGTAATACCCTTCTGGTTGTTTCCACTATGGTGTCCTGAAGGCCTGACCCTGAGCTGGGGCCAGCTGTGGGTAACTGCTCATTACCATGCGCGTCCATGTCAGGGGCTGCACGCCACTGGGGGACACCTGCAGAAGGGACTCAGGGTGCCGTCCCTGATACCCTGCAAGGCAAAGCACAGGCTGGCCTAGTCCAGAGGCGATTGCTCGGGAAGTTGGCGGTGTCTAGGAGCTGACAACTGACAAACCAGTGGCCTGGTTCTCAGAACCAGTGGAACTGATTTGGCTAAAATTCTCCCCCCAGAATTCATCCCAAGGCAGCCGCCTGGGCTGTGGAAATTCCAGCCCCAATGGCAAACATCTGGCAAAGTTATCAGTATCTTGAAAACAGGGCCTTATAATGCTTTCCCCAGTTCTGGGAGGGAAGTGGGGTCTAGTGGTTAGAGTGGGGGGGCCTGGGAGCCATGGCACCTGAGTTCTATTCACAGCTCTGGGAGGGTGGAGGAGGGTCTAGTGGTTAGAGAAGGGGGAGGCTGGAAGCCAGGATGCCTGGGTTCTCTCCCTGGCTCTGGGAGGGGAGTGGGGTCTAGTGATTAGAGCGGGGGTGGAGTAGGACTCTTGGGTTCTATCCTTCTGTGGCAAAGTGGGAAAGTTCTTAATGTTTTGTATGAATATGCTGTGTGTGCCTCAGTTTCCCCTGTGTGTTACTCAAGTATCTAGGTGGTGGGATAAGGGTGTGTGATTATTGCAGAGCCCCCTAGAGGGCAGGTGTGATGCCAACTGGCTGCCTGGGCTCAGACACTGGCCGACACTCTGTGTCCTGGCAACGGATGATGGGGGCCCACCCTCTGTGTGAGCCAGCCGGAGGTGTTGGAGAACGAAGCGAGAGGTGGAGGCCAGGGAACCTGTCTGCCCAGGAAAGAGACAAAGGACTTAGGAGGGGCAGCTGGGTGTGACAGAGGCTGGGCTGCTGGAAGCTGGGCTGCTGGACTTGGGTGGGAGAAGCCCAGGGGTGGCCCTGGGTTCTGGATCCCTCCCGAGATGGACTTTGCTGACTGCTCCTGATTTCGGTGCTAACGAGCTCTGTTCTATGCTGTGCTCCCAGTGACTAATAAACCTTCTGCTTTCCACACTAGCTGAGAGTCACAGCTGAGTTTGGGGGTGGGGTACAGGGCCCCTTTGGGGGGGCGTGTGAGGCTTCCCCAGGGGTCCCAGCCAGGTGGACTCGTTGCGGGGAGCTCAGTATGAACAGGGGCGCTGAAGCCAAGGAGGGTTGCCCTAGGCAGAGTGGGCCCTGGGGGGTGTCACGCTGCAACGAGGATCCTGTCTGACTTCATTCGGCAAGGTCTCAGAACACCACGCCTGCGCACTCTGTTATACCTTCACAAGGTCCCTGCCCTCTTGCTGCCTCAGTTTCCCCCTCTGGAGAGTGGGGCTATCGCTCCTGGCCTGGCTTTGCGGTCTATGAGGCAGAAGGGCCCATTATTATAATATACCCCCATCGCTATGGGGCGCCTACAGCCTTGTCTGGCGCCCAGCTCTGTCAGGGGGACAGAGGAAGGAAATCCAGCCGCCTCTGAACAGCCAGGGCTCCTGTCAGCCGGGCAGAGACTAAATTTAGCAGGGGGTGGGAGTGGCGAGTGTCTATTACCCCTGTGTCAGGGAGCCCAGCTGTGGCAGAGTAGGAATTTTTCATAATAATTTGTATTAATACAGCATGTGCCTCAGTTTCCCCTATGCAGTGCCTGATTAACTAGGTGGTGGGAAAAGGCTGTTTACTATTCACAGAGACCCAGGTGTGACTGGCGCCAGCTGTCCAGGGCTGGGCCCCTCACCCATGGAGAGTCCCAGAAGATAATGGCCTGGCTACTTGGTACCTAACTAATGACATGGGGATGACCCCCCTCTGCAGGAAGCCAGCCCGGTGGGACCAGCTGGAGGACAAAGGGCGAAGGAGGGGGGTCAGGTGACCAGGTTTCCCGGACCAAGGCCAAAGGCTGGATGAGGGGCTGGGGGGGGGGGGTTTGCTCCGTGTGGCATGCTGGGAGCAGGACGCTCTGTGGGACTGGGACTTGGGGGCGGGGCAGAGCAGAGCCTGGGGTTCTGGCCCAACCCACATGGACTTTGCTGTAACTTTAGCCAAGGACTTTCTACACTGTGTCTTGACCCCCCCTGCGTCCACACCACTGGCTGAGTCACTCCAGATCAAGGGAACGGGGTGGGGGGACCTGACTTCCTTTTGGGGTGTCAGTCTACCTCCAGGGTCCGATCCCGGTGGACTCACTGCGGGGAGCTCCCAGCGTGTCCCCAGGGGTCGGCAGGCTCCGAGGGCTGGTCCCCAGAGGTGGTGTGAAGCCAAGGGTCTGATCCCAGTGAGTGTGACCCACAGGGGGCTGAAGTACTGCCAGGCTCCTCCCAGGGACTGCTCCAGAGCAGGGTGAGAGCACCAGATCTGTGGATCCATGACGGGGTGGAGGGAGCTTGTGGCAGCTGGGGCCAGCGGCTTCCCCTTGGAGCACTCGGGCGGCTCCGATCCATGACCCAGTGGCAGGGGGCAACCCAGATCTGCCACGCTGCCTGGCGTGGCCTCAGCTGATCCGGCCCCGGGCTGTCCCCCAAGGCCACAGAGGGCTCAGTGAGAGGAAGATGCTGTCACCGTGGTCTAGGGCCCGGTCCATGGATGTCCTGGTGGGTCCTGGGGGCGCACGGCTTGTGAGCTCCTGCATGAGGGGCAGATCCCAGCGGCCTGCAACGTACACTGTCCCCCAGCACAGTCTGAGCCAGGACAGGGGGGAGCAACGCCCTCAGACCCCCATGCCCTGTTCCCACCAGGGCTGGAGGTGGGACAGAGGGGGCAGCGTGGAGGGGGTGGAGCAGACCAATCCGTGCCCAGAGGAGGGGAAGAGCAGAGGGGGTGGGCACCGGAGAGGGGAGCGGAGTTGGGGGGAACCCGCTGCCCAGCAGTCCGAGCAGATGTATCGAGCGTCTGAAGGCACCCTGACCCGCTGAAATATTCTATGCATGTCCAATTGCAGCCAGCAGGAAGCAGCGGGCTCACACCCATGCCCCTCGGCCTAACAAATTCTTCATTCTCCTGCATGCGTTTGGTGCTCAGAATAAATTCCTGGTCAGCCTCCGGAGGTGGGACCCGCCTGCACCCAGCCTCGTAGCAGCTCACAGATTGGGCGTCTCTCCTGTGCTCGTTGCCCGACTGCTCAGTAGTTTCGCCCCTTTGATTTTATCCACGTATTGGTTTATTTACTGCCCCCTGCTGGGGAGAACCAGACCCGTTTCCCCCCACCCCATCCCACCCTGCCCTCAGCTAGGTGCAATTCACTCAGAGTGAATCCAGAGCTGGAAAATAAGGCCAGACGCTGCTGAACGGTAGCCGTGAGTTGATGCATCACTGTGGATAATAACACCCATCTCCATAGGGTGAGCGCTGTAAAAACCAGCACGGCAGTAGTCTGGCTCTGAAGCGCTTGCAATCCGAAGTAGACACAAGGCGCATCACAACAGATAAGCCTTTCGACACTGAAATGCAAACGTTATGAACAGGAGAGAGGACAAGGCACAATACCTGGTGCTTCTGGATACAAACGTGGCTTGTTACTGCTTTCGGCAGGTGACACAAACCAGAAGAATATGTAGGCAGTGGAAGTGTTACAAGATTTGGAACTCTTGTGACTTTATCACAACTCTCTTGCTATTTGGTGCTTTACTAAAATCCCCAGCTCCCAGAGACATGTTATTTCATGAGAGTCATAGAGATGTCAGGCAGGAAGGGGGCTTGTGAGTTCATAAGAACATAAGAAAGGACAGCCATACTGAACACCAATGATCCATCTAGCCCAGTATCCTGTCTTCTGACAGTGGCCAATGCCAGGTGCTCCAGAGGGAATGAACAGAACGGGTTAACTATCCAGTGATCCAACCCCTATCATCCAGTCCTGGGTCCTGGCAGTCAGAGGTTTAGGGGCACCCAGAGCAAGGGGTTGTGTCCCTGACCATCCTGGCTAATAGCCATTGATGGACCTGTCCTACAGAAACTTACCTAATTCTCTTTTGAACCCTGTTATGGTTTTGGCCTTAATAACATCCTCTGGCAAGGAGTTCACCAGGTTGACCGCATTGTGTGAAGAAATACTTCCTTTCGTTTGTTTTAAACCTGCTGCCTATTAATTTCATTTGGTGACCCCTAGTTCTTGTGTTATGAGAAGGAGTAAACAACACTTCCTTGTCTACTTTCTCCACACCAGTCACGATTTTATAGACCTCCATTGTATCCCCCCTTTGTTGTCTCTTTTCCAAGCTGAAAAGTCCCAGTCTTATTTGTGACAGGCTGGGTCACAGAAACCCCCTTGGGACTGCCACCTGATGCACTGAGACTACCTCTGAGCCCATTTTCCCTGCCATCTTGGGACTTCAGTACCCTATCTTGTTGAGCCAGGCACGCTAGCTTGCGACAAACACAAACCCAGGTCTGAACCATGTCCCCCAAAAGCTGCAGACTTAACTGAAAACAGCTTAAGAAGTGCTCCTGTCTCCAGCACCCAGACGCCCAGTTCCCAATGGGATCCAAAGCCCAAACAAATCAGTTTCACCCTGTGTAAAGCTCATACAGGGCAAACTCATAAATTGTCCGCCCTCTATAACACTGATAGAGAGAGATGCACAGCTGTTTGCTCCCCCAGGTATTAATACTTGCTCTGGGTTAATTACTATGCAAAAAGTGATTTTATTAAATATAAAAAGTAGGATTTAAGTGGTTCCAAGTAATAACAGACAAAACGAAGTAAGTTACCAAGCAAAATAAAATAAAATAAGTGAGTCTAAGCCTAATACAGTAGGAAACTAAATGCAGATAAATCTCACCCTCAGAGATGTTCCAATAAACTTCTTTCACAGACTAGACTCCTTCCTAGTCTGGGTCCAGCAATCACTCACACCCCCATAGTTACTGTCCTTTGGTCCAGTTTCTTCCAGGCATCTCTTTGGGGTGGAGAGGCTATCTTTTGAGCCAGCTGAAGACCAAATGGAGGGGTTTTTAGGGCCTTTTATATTCTCTCTCTTATGGGAGGAAATCCCTTTGTCCCAGCTGTGGATGTAGTCCAGAGACTTGATTTGAACCTGCAGTTTATTCCATCACTGCTACAAGCCTGAACCAAGAACTTTGCCATCACTGGATGTCATTGATTCCACTTAACCAACTCTAGCTCTCATCTATATTTCTTTCTTTTTATGAATAAACCTTTAGATTTTAGATTCTAAAGGATTGGCAACAGCATCATTTGTGGGTAAAATCTGATTTGTATATTGACCTGGCTCTGGGGCTTGGTCCTTTGGGATCGAGAGAACCTTTTTTCTTTTACTGGGGTCTTGGTTTTCATAACCATTCATCCCCCATAACGAGTGGCACTGGTGGTGATAGTGGGAAACTGGAGTGTCTAAGGGAATTGCTTGTGTGACTTGTGGTTAGCCAGTGGGGTAAAACCAAAGTCCTCTCTGTCTGGCTGGTTTGGTTTGCCTTAGAAGTGGAAAAACCCCAGCCTTGGGCTGTAACTGCCCTGCTTGAAGCAATTTGCCCTGAATTGGCACTCTCAGTTGGGTCCCGCCAGAATCAGCATCGTTACATCAGGTAAAGGAGAAAATCTCTGGAAATATTCATTTTTAGGAGGGGGTTCGCAAGACTTGACATTTTAGTGAAAGGGGTTCACAGGTTGTTAAAGTTTGGGAACCACTGCTCTATATGATCACAGTTCCTGTCAATAACATCACATTATTAATCTCTCTTCATACGGCAGCCGTTCCATACCCCTGATCATTTTTTTGCCCCTTTCTGTACCTTTTCCAGTTACAAAAAGAAAAGGAGTACTTGTGGCACCTTAGAGACTAACCAGTTACAATGTATCTTTTTTGAGATGGGGCTACCACATCTGCACACAGTATTCAAGATGTGGGCGGACCATGGATTTATATAGAGGCAAGATGATATTTTCTGTCTTATTTTCTGTCCCTTTCTTGATGATTCCCAACATTCTGTTCGCTTTTTTGACTGCCGCTGCACAGTGAGTGGATGTTGAGGGATGGGGCTCATCCCTCCCCACTCTCTAGTCCCCCATCGTTTAGCATTTCAGCACTGCCAAGAAGTTTCCCATTCAGCACGGCTGACCGGTCTCCACCGCTGGCGTCCTCCGGCTGCATCAGCTCTGCCAGCTCCTGCATGGGGCCAGCGTCGCCGGCCTGCTGGGACGGAGCAGCTCTGGCAAGGAAGCCAAGACAGTTGCGAAACCAGTGCATGCAGCGAGCAATATTATTTCTCTACCATAGCCCCAGTGCCAACGCCAACACCAGAAAGGCCACCACTGTCCACACCACCACCTCTGCAATATGGCTGGACTGAGATCCGGGATGTGCAACCAACAACAGGAGAGCAGCGTTAGTGGGAGACTTGGTCAAACCAGGCGAAAACTTCCAGCCTCTCTACCGCGCTCAGCGTTCCACCCCGGTGCATGTAAAAGGGATTTTCTGGTTCGAGACGCTCCGCAGTCCCGGGCTAATCATGGGTTTGCCAATTTCCCTGGGGCTCTGAGGTGCTACAGTAACACACCTAATCAATAATGTACAGCACCTAGCGCTGTGGGGTTCTGAGCCATGACTGGGGCTGCTAAGCACCATACACTTTAGATTAAGGTTCACTTGATAGCTGGTTTATAAAGCATTTGTACATGGTGAATATATGGTCTCAGCATGCTAAACACACAAGTAACAAGTGTGCTGGTCTACACAGGGCCACTCAAGAAAACTAATCAGAATTGGTCTTTAAAATGTATTAGTTAAACCAAATTAAACTCCTGTGTGGATGCTCTCCTTCAAAATTAAGGCAGCCTGAATTCTATTTAGCTTAATTCACTTCCAAAGTGAATCGAATTCAGGCCACATCAATTCTAAATAAGAGTGTCTATACGGGGGGAAGGGGAGAAGGTCAATGCAGTTTAACGAATCCACTTTAAATTCAGGGCAAGTCTATACTAGAAAATTAAGTTGACCTAAGTTACATTGACATACAGCCAGGGCAGTAATTAAAACCCTTTTGCATGTCCACACTATGCTCCTTGTGTCGGCGGCACACATCCTCACCGTGCCAGCGTGAGGCATTGTGGGACGGTGTCAAGGTTCCTCCCCCACTCTGAACTCTAGGGTACAGATGTGGGGACCTGCATGAAAAACCTCCTAAGCTTATCTTTACCAGCTTAGGTCAAAACTTCCCCAAGGTACAAAATATTACACCCGTTATCCTTGGAATGGCCGCTACCACCACCAAACTAATACTGGTTACTGGGGAAGAGCTGTTTGGACGCGTCTTTCCCCCCAAAATACTTCCCAAAACCTTGCACCCCACTTCCTGGACAAGGTTTGGTAAAAAGCCTCACCAATTTGCCTAGGTGACTACAGACCCAGACCCTTGGATCTTAAGAACAATGAACAATCCTCCCAACACTTGCACCCCCCCTTTCCTGGGAAATGTTGGATAAAAAGCCTCACCAATTTGCATAGGTGACCACAGACCCAAACCCTTGGATCTGAGAACAATGAAAAAAGCATTCAGTTTTTTACAAGAAGACTTTTAATAAAAAATAGAAGTAAATAGAAATAAAGAAATCCCCCCTGTAAAATCAGGATGGTAGATATCTTACAGGGTAGTTAGATTCAAAAACATAGAGAACCCCTCTAGGCAAAATCTTAAGTTACAAAAAAGATACACAGACAGAAATAGTTATTCTATTCAGCACAATTCTTTTCTCAGCCATTCAAAGAAATCATAATCTAACACATACCTAGCTAGATTACTTACTAAAAGTTCTAAGACTCCATTCCTGTTCTGTCTCTGGCAAGAGCAGCATACAGACAGACACAGACCCTCTGTTTCTCTCCCTCCTCCCAGCTTTTTAAAGTATCTTGTCTCCTCATTGGTCATTTTGGTCAGGTGCCAGCGAGGTTACCTTTAGCTTCTTAACCCTTTACAGGTGAGAGGAGCTTTCCCCTGGCCAGGAGGGATTTCAAAGGGGTTTACCCTTGCCTTTATATTTATGACAGACGGCATCTGAAAGGTAGCAACAGGCGATGTCATTAGGTCCCCTGCATCGATCTAACTGCATCCACCCAAGCGCTGTGCCTCGCGGGGAGCTGGAGTTATTCCGTCAGATCAGGAGGCGAGTTCCATGGATGGTAGCTGTCTTTCAGTGTAGACACTTACAGAGTTAGAGCGACGTAACCTGCCTTATGTCGACCTAATGCTGTAATGCAGACCAGAGCCTGCACTTTGACTTAATTCAGATTAATTTTCCTGAATGGCTCTGTGTAGACAAACCCTGCAACCTCAATTCAACCCTTTCTAAATTAACCTCAATATAAAGCGTCACCCAACAAATCAAGTCGTAGATGGGCATGAATGTGGGGTTGGGAGCCAAGCGGTCAGTATCTGGAGGTTCTGCCCCACCCACTCTGCTCCGTTGGCCAGTAGGGCGAGGAGAAGTGATGTAAAGCCATGGAAGGTTCTCTCAGGAGATGGAGATATGACCCCGCTACTCCCAGCCCCGCTGGGACCAAGTAGCATGGAGACCCTCCCTCCTGGCTGCTTCTTGGCTTCTAGCTGACACCACGCTGTTCCTTGCTGTCTGGCCTGTCCATGCCCAAGAGGAGCTGGGTGGGACAATCTGCCGGGGAGCCGGGCAGCAGCCAGAATTAGCTGGCAATCCCAGCAGCTTGGCAGCCTGTTCCCAGCCCCATCACTCACCCCCCGCTGCCATCCCATTGAGGCGATCGACCCTGGCCAGGGAGGCCGGAGCTGGCGCGGGCTCTGGAGTGAGACAATCATAGAATCAATCATAGAATCATAGAATATCAGGGTTGGAAGGGACCTCAGGAGGTCATCTAGTCCAACCCCCTGCTCAAAGCAGGACCAATCCCCAATTAAATCATCCCAGCCAGGGCTTTGTCAAGCCTGACCTTAAAAACTTCTAAGGAAGGAGATTCTACCACCTCCCTAGGTAACGCATTCCAGTGTTTCACCACCCTCCTAGTGAAAATGTTTTTCCTAATATCCAACCTAAACCTCCCCCACTGCAACGTGAGACCATTACTCCTTGTCCTGTCCTCTTCTACCACTGAGAATAGTCTAGAACCATCCTCTCTGGAACCACCTCTCAGGTAGTTGAAAGCAGCTATCAAATCCCCCCTCACTCTTCTCTTCTACAGACTAAACAATCCCAGTTCCCTCAGCCTCTCCTCATAAGTCATGTGTTCCAGACCCCTAATCATTTTTGTTGCCCTTCGCTGGACTCTCTCCAGTTTATCCACATCCTTCTTGTAGTGTGGGGCCCAAAACTGGACACAGTACTCCAGATGAGGCCTCACCAATGTCGAATAGAGGAGGACAATCACGTTCCTCGATCTGCTCGCTATGCCCCTACTTATACATACCAAAATGTCATTGGCCTTCTTGGCAACAAGGGCACACTGCTGACTCATATCCAGCTTCTCGTCCACTGTCACCCCTAGGTCCTTTTCCGCAGAACTGCTGCCTAGCCATTCAGTCCCTAGTCTGTAGCTGTGCATTGGGTTCTTCCATCCTAAGTGCAGGACCCTGCACATATCCTTATTGAACCTCATCAGATTTCTTTTGGCCCAATCCTCCAATTTGTCTAGGTCCCTCTGTATCCTATCCCTGCCCTCCAGCGTATCTACCACTCCTCCCAGTTTAGTGTCATCTGCAAATTTGCTGAGAGTGCAATCCACACCATCCTCCAGATCATTTATGAAGATACTGAACAAAACCGGCCCCAGGACCTACCCCTGGGGCACTCCACTTGACACCGGCTGCCAACTAGACATGGAGCCATTGATCACTATCCGTTGAGCCCGACAATCTAGCCAACTTTCTACCCACCTTATAGTGCATTCATCCAGCCCATACTTCTTTAACTTGCTGACAAGAATACTGTGGGAGACCGTGTCAAAAGCTTTGCTAAAGTCAAGAAACAATACATCCTCCCTTCATCCACAAAACCAGTAATCTCATCATAGAAGGCGATTAGATTAGTCAGGCATGACCTTCCCTTGGTGAATCCATGCTGACTGTTCCTGATCACTTTCCTCTCATGTAAGTGCTTCAGGATTGATTCTTTGAGGACCTGATCCATGATTTTTCCGGGGACTGAGGTGAGGCTGACTGGCCTGTAGTTCCCAGGATCCTCCTTCTTCCCTTTTTTAAAGATTGGCACTCCATTAGCCTTTTTCAAGTCATCCGGGACTTCCTCCGTTCACCACAAGTTTTCAAAGATAATGGCCAATGGCTCTGCAATCACAGCCGCCAATTCCTTCAGCACTCTCGGATGCAACTCGTCCGGCCCCATGGACTTGCAGAGGAGGTTGCAGCATGTGGACGTGGAGTCACAGGAAGTCAGAGGAGAGGGGTCCCATCCCCTCCCACCCATTAAAATCTGCCCCCCAAATGCCGCTGCGCAGAGTCAGAGCAGGACTGGGCCGAGAGGGACTGTGATAGGGCATCTGGGCCAGCTCCCCCGGTGCTGAGCCCAGACCAGTTACCCTGGACCCCAGCCCTGGCAAGGGGTTTGTCCAACCTGTTCTTAAAAACCTCCTATGACAGGGATTCCCCAACCTCCCTTGGAAGCCCATGGCTGGGCAGCACCCAGCCCGACGGCACCCCAATCTCGGTGACTCTGTGTCTGGGCAGCACCCAGCCAAACGGGGCCCCGATCTCGGTGACTCTGTGTCTGGGCAGCATTAAACTTTGGGTTCGTCCTGCCAAGACTTCCCCAGAGCATTGTGTCGCGACCGACGAAACCCGGCTCCTCCCTACCTGTGATCAACCTAGCTAGCCACTAGATTGATCCGGACTCTGGACATTGACTGGTGGGAGAGAGAGAGTGTGTGTGTGTGTTGATTGAAGGCATATGCTAATTGTTGTATCTTCAATAAACTCGGTGCATTGCCTTTTCCCCTGAAAAAAGATCCCGTGTGCTTCTTATAAGCATACCACAAGGTCAGACCCAGGAAAGTCGAAGCTGTGTAAGCTTCTTGCCCTGGTGACAGTCTGCTCAGAGAGAGGAGGCTCCCCCAGAGTCCTGACTGGCTTCGTAGGGAGTAGTTCCAGAGCATCCCCCCAGTGACTCCGTGACACGCAGCGTATTGCCTTGTCCCCTGAAAAAGATCCCGTGTGCTTCTTATGAGCATAACACTAGGACTAAATGTGCTTTGCTTTGCGGTGGCTGGTTGGTACCTGGTGTACATTGTTGCAGCCCCAGAGAAAAGCAAAGCAAGGGGGCTGGCACCCGGTCTGACGTGCTGGGAACTCACAGCGACGTTCAGAAGCTGTGCAAACCCAAACCCCCAGGCTGGAGGGAGACAGACGCAGGCCTCCACCTGTGAGAGGGGATGGCTGGGAAGCTGGAAACTTTACATCCATGCCCTCCAGGAGGCCCGGGGAAATCCACAGTGCAGTTACCCCTGAAATTGTGACCCACGGCGCTTACCCGTTACATTCAGATGGATGGAAGCCAGACACTCGCTTTTGTTCATCTCATGCACAATCTTCAAATCCCCTGCAATGGCTTTGCTGGCGTTCATCACGATGACCCATCCGCTGGACACGGAGATGTGCCCGGCGAAGGAGCTGTTGTAAGGGTTTGATTTCCCTGGACGGATGACAGCGATCAGCTCCCATGTCCCAGCCAAAGCGGGAGACCAGTACAGTTTGGCAAAGCACTCAGAGATTTAAGGGGGTGTTGCGTGTCACCGCCCTCGGGCACAGACAGAGAGATTTTCTGTTGACATTGGCTGGGGCCTGGGAGAAGAAATCAACATTTCAGGCCGGCTTTGGTGAAGCCTGGAAGAAGTCAGACACCAGATCTGGCAGGGGAAGGAGGGATATGTTAACGGGGAGCACTTCAGATATAAGGTGCAGACCCCACAAATGCTCAACCAAGCCTTACACCCCAGGCATAGACCACGCGAGTCACCCTCAGCTCACTGCTCGAGGGAGCGTCTACATAGCAAAATGAGCCCTGCCGCACCGAATCGCACGGTGGATCTACACAGCAACCAGACACCTGCAGCAGGTCCATGCCAACTGCAGGGCTGTCGAATCGCTGGGTAGATTTGTGCTCCTGTGAACGAGGCGGGTCTCGGAGCCCGGGCTCCTGCCTGAGCCTCATCATTTACACCAGCGACATATTAATGCCTAGGCCAACAAGGCCTAGGCCTAGGGCGGCAAATTTGCAGGGGTGGCAAATATGTAGAGCAGCCAGAGGTGCCAACTTCCCCTGGCACCGGTGGGTGCTCGTGCCCCCCTGGCCCTGCCCCAACTCCACCCCTTCCCTGCCCCCATTCCAACCCCTTCCCCAAAGTCCCTGCCCCAACTCCATCCCCTCCCTGCCCCTATTGGTCCCCTTCCCCAAATCCCCACCCTGCCTCCTCCCCTGAGCGTGCCACATTCCCCCCTTTCTCCCAGCTGCACGAAGCTGTTTCACGCACAAGCGCTGGCTGGGAGCAGGGAGAAGCAGGACCCGGCAGCGCGCTCGGGGAGGAGGCAGAGTTGAAGTGGAGGTGACCTGGGGTGGCGGGTGGGGGGGCAGGGAGCTGCCGGGAGGGGGGAGGGGCAGCAATTATTTCAGGGCCTAGGGGCGGCAAAATCATTAATCCGCCACTGGTTTACACGGCTGTCTTTAGCACCCCGCAAGCCCGAGTCAGCTGAGCTGGCCGGGAACAGGAGAGAGGGTTCGGCAGTGTAGACGCACCCTGACTCATGTTTGCGGAATCAGAACCAAAATCACTAAATTGCACCAAGATCTGTGCAGTGCCCGGCACAATGAGAGACTGGATCACAACCAACACACCCCTCCTCCTCCCTCTCCAAATCACCTCCCGGCGCATCCCCCCGTTCTGCCCTCTGACTTCTGGAGCCTTTCTGGGGAACCCCGCCCAGCACAGAGCTCTACGGGGGAGTGTTACCGCTTGCCCAGGGCATAGAAATAAGAACATCGCTGGAAGACAGGTGTGTTTTTTCCACTGCATAGCGCCTGGGCCAGAATTCGATGTGTCGGCACTGTGGCCGTCGTAGCTGTGCCGTGGGCCGTAGAGATACGCTTTTATCGCGCCTCTCACTCCGTCCCCCGCCCCGTGGCCATGCAGCCCTGCCCTGCCCGGTACGAAGCGGAAAGCCGCCTGCAGGGTGCCTCCATGAACACACACATCCGAACGGCCATTCGGTACAGCCAACAGGACCGCGAGAAACCCAGCCGTTCCCGGCGTCACGCCGTGCGTGCCCGACGCCAATAGGGTGACCAGACAGCACGGGTGAAAAATCGGGGTGGGGGGTAATAGGAGCCTGTATAAGAAAAAGACCCAAAAATCGGGACTGTCCCTCTAAAACCGGGACCTCCGGTCACGCTAGATGGCAATGAACGCGCCGAAGTACCTATGAAAGGCGACAATCTTTGTCAGGGTGTTATTTGGAAGAAATGTGTTTCACCCACCAGCCCTGCGCCTCTCCGGGGGCCTCCTGCAGGCGCCAGGCTGGCAGCGCCGGTCAGCGCCCGCTCCGCCTTCCCTCCGGACTCGTGGGGCGCCCCCACGTCCCGCTGTCAAAGGGACGGGCCCGCTTTTGGAGGCTTTTTCTTATATAGACACCTGTTACCCCCCCCCGCCCCGGTCTCTCACACGCCGCCCGGGCACCGAACGACCCGTCCCCAGAAGCGGGGCTCCCCGGGGAAAGGGAGGCCCCGTGCCCCTGGGGCGCTGCAGCGCTGCGGGCGGGCGAGTGTTTTAGCCCCGCCCCGTGTGCGAGGGTGAGGGCGGCCGACAGCGCGGGGCCGAGCGGGAAAATCGCGGTCCGGGCTCGCTGCGCCCTGGGGAGCGACTTCAGCCGCAGCGTCCGCCGGCGTCACCCAGCGAGCGTGGGCGGCTTTACCCCCCCCCGATCAGCGAGTTCCCGCCGCACCCTGCCTGCCCCGCGGCTGCGCGCTAGCGGCGCCGCCCACCCGGACCGCCCAGTATGCAACTGCGGGGGGCGGGGCCCGCTCCAACCGTTCCCCGAAGCCCCGCCCCTGCCCCGCCCCATCCCAACGGCTCCCCGAAGCCCCGCCCCTGCTCCGCCCCATCCCAACGGCTCCCCGAAGCCCCGCCCCTGCTCCGCCCCATCCCAACGGCTCCCCGAAGCCCCGCCCCTGCCCCGCCCCTGCTCCAACCATTCCCCGAAGCCCCCACTCCTGCTCCGCCTCCGCCCCTTCCCGCCCGGCCCCCGCTCCAACCGTTCCCTGAAGCCCCGCCCCTGCCCCGCCCCACTCCTTGCCACCCCGCCCCCGCTCCAACCGTTCCCCGAAGCCCCGCCCCTGCTCCGCCCCATCCCAACGGCTCCCCGAAGCCCCGCCCCTGCTCCGCCCCATCCCAACGGCTCCCCGAAGCCCCGCCCCTGCCCCGCCCCATCCCAACGGCTCCCCGAAGCCCCGCCCCTGCCCCGCCCCATCCCAACGGCTCCCCGAAGCCCCGCCCCTGCCCCGCCCCTGCTCCAACCATTCCCCGAAGCCCCCACTCCTGCTCCGCCTCCGCCCCTTCCCGCCCGGCCCCCGCTCCAACCGTTCCCTGCACACACACCCGCACACACACACACACACTCCCCACATACCCTCCTGCACACACACCCGCATGCACACACACACCTGCGCACACACACACCCCTCACACACACACCCCACATACCCCCTGCACACACACCTGCACGCACACACACACACACACACAGCTGCACATGCACGCACACACACACACCCCACATACCCCCTGAACACACACACACATGCACACACACACACCCCTCCCCCCCACACACACCCCTCCCCCCACACACTCCCCACATACCCCCCTGCACACACAACCGCATGCACACACACACCCCTCCTCCACACACACACTCCACATATCCCCCTGCACGCACACACACACACACACACACCTCCCCCACACACACACACCTCCCCACACCCCTCTGCACACACACCCACACACACACACATACTCCACACACACACACTCCCCCCATACCCCTCTGCACACACACCCGCACACACACACACACACTCCCCACATACCGCCCTGCACACACACACACACACACACCCCTCCCCCACACACACCTCTCCCCCACACAGACACCCCACATACCGCCCTGCACACACACACACCCTCACACACACACCTCCCCCCACACTCCCCACATACCCTCCTGCACACACACCCGCACACACGGACACACACATCTGCACACACACACACACACCCGCACACACACTCCCTACATACCCCCCTGCACACACACCCGCACACACACACACACCTGCACACACACCCCTCCCCCACACACACCCCCACATACACCCCTGCATACACCCCCCCTCACACACACACACACAGCTGCACTCACACACACCTCCCCTCACACACCACCCACATACCCCCTGCACACACACCCGCACACACACACACACCTGTACACGCACACACCGCACATACCCCCCTGCACACACACACACCCCACATACCCCCTGAACACACACCCACATGCACACACACACACCTACCCCTCCCCCACACACACACCCCACATACCCCCCTGCATACACCCCCCTCACACACACACACAGCTGCACGCACACACACCTCCCCTCACACACCACCCACATACCCCCTGCACACACACCCGCACACACACACACACCTGTACACGCACACACCGCACATACCCCCCTGCACACACACACACCCCACATACCCCCTGAATACACACCCACATGCACACACACACACCTGCACACACACACACACCCCTCCCCCCACACACACCCCACATACCCCCCTGCATACACCCCACACACACACACACACAGCTGCACGCACACACACCTCCCCTCACACACACCCCACATACCCCCTGCACACACACCTGCACACACACACACCCCTCCTCCACACACACACCCCACATATCCCCCTGCACACACACACACACCCTCACACACATACACACACCTCCCCCCATGCACACACCCCACATACCCCCCTGCACACACACACACCTGCACTCACACGCATACACACATGCACACACGCACACCTCCCCCATACACACACACATACACCTCCCCACACACACTCATACACACCCACACACACACACTCATACACACACCTCCCCCGCATACACACATACCCCCACACACACACACCCTCACACACACACCCGCATGCACGCAAACACCCGCACACACCCCCTCACATACACACACCCCCTCACACACACACACAAGCACACACACCTGCATGCACACACACATACACACACCTCCTCCACACACACACACACACACACACACCCCACACATATACATAATCTCCCATACATACACACACACACACACCTCCCCCACACACATACACACACCCTCACACACCCCTGTGACGAAGTGGAACTGTTCTTAATGTTTCCTCTGAATAGTGTGGGGGTGCCTCAGTTTCCCCTAGGCAGTTCTTAAGTCTCTAGGGGGTGGGGTAAGGGTGTATGATCATTGCACAGCCCTAGAGGGCAGGTTTGTGTAGGGGGCTGGACACAGAGAATGGCCGACGCCCTGTTTCCTGGCCACTGATGGCCTGGGCCCTTCCCCCCTGCAAGGTGAGAGCTAAAGGGCTGGAGAACAAAGGAATCCGGTGCCCTCCTGGCCCGGGAAAGGAACAAAGCCCAGAGGAGGAGGGGCTGGAGGGAGTTTCAGTTTGGGGCTGGCTGGGACATGGAGTAAAGGGCAGACGTGGTTGTCTGGCTCACTGCCCCCCAAAATGGACCCAGCTGAGGGGTCCTGTTCTCTGCACCTACAAGCTCTGTGTTAGACCATGTTCCTGTCGTCTAATAATCCTCTGTTTTACTGGCTGGCTGAGAGTCACGTCTGACTGCGGAGTTGGGGGGCAGGACCCTCTGGCTTCCCCAGGGGCCCGCCTGGGCGGACTCGCTGTGGGAAGCGCACGGAGGGGCAGAGGAGGCTGAATGCTCCGAGGTCAGACCCAGGAAGGTGGAGCCGGGGGAGCTGTGTGTCCTGCAGACAGGCTGCTCCCAGAGAGGAGACTCCCCAGAGTCCTGCCTGGCTTCATGGGGAGCAGGTCCAGAGCATCGCCCGGGGACCCCGTGACAACCCTGACACACACACACATACCCCCCAACGTACACACACCTCCCCCCCACACACATACACACACCCCCTCACACACACACACGGCCTTGGTGCCTATATTATTTTGAAGCCAGGTGTGGGGGTCACATTGGGGGCTGGGGCTGGTGCCCGGGGGGGCAGAGAAGCATGGGGGGGCAGGGGAAGAATTGCTGTGGTGCCAGATTCCTGCTGGCTGAGTCTGGCCCCCGCCCTCCCTGGTTCTCATCTCGGCCACGTCTCCGCCCCAGGCATCGGTCTCGGGGGGGCACCCCCCACCCCAGGGCTCCACCAGCTGTTCCCTCTCCCAACCATGCCAGGGCCCTGCCCGCCCCGCCCAGCAGGCCCCAGGGCATCTCCCCAGCTGCCGAGCGGGAATTACAGGGCCCCAGGTGCCCCCGCCACGGCCGCACCCCCAGGCAGCTGGAGCCGCATGTTCCTGGGCAGAGCTCCGTGCCCCCCCCCACCCCCGGGGAGCCGTGCCCCCAGCCGGCCGGTGACTGCGCGGGTGGAAGCGGATGCCGATTAGAGCCCTGGGCAAATCAACCCCGGGGCAAATCACATTCCAGCCACCTGCCGTTTGGGTTGTTTGGGGTCTTTTCTGGCACCTGCAAAAACTCCCGGCTGGGGCCAGGCCAGGGGGAAGTTCCCCAGCTCCCGACGAGCAGCTCAGCGAGCCCAGGGAGACGTGGGGAGCGGAGAGGGGCTGTAATAACTCTGGACACCCCCCATCAAGCCCACCCCCAATCCCATGCCCCCAAGCACCATCTCTGTCCATCCTGCTAATTCAGCAGCATTGCACTGAACAGGGCAGGGGCCCTAGAGCTTGGGGGTAGATAGAGCCACACCCAAGGGCTGTGGTACACCCCTCTGTACACAAGCATGGGGGATGATAGGTGCTGCCCTATGGGAAGATGTGGCCGCTCTGGGGTGGGGCCTGGGGGACCCCTCGCCCGGCACTGGGATGCGACCACCTCTGGGGTGGGGCACAGGGGCTGGGTATGCGGGGACCCCTCGCCCGGCACTGGGATGCGACCACCTCTGGGGTGGGGCACAGGGGCTGGGTATGCGGGGACCCCTCGCCCGGCGCTGGGACGTGACCCTTCTCGCTCTCAGATGTCGGGTGAAGCCCCGACACAGTCAGACATGGGGCATATCTGGGGGCCTGGGTCTAGCTGGGCTCGGTGCCCCTTACCAGTGCTACACTGGGGGGAGGCACTGACTCAAAGGAGGGGGTTTCTCTGCCAGGTCCCCCCCCCCCAGGCCGCTGCCCCCTACGGCAGCAGCTGGATGAAAATTCAAGCACAACAAACCCTGATTCACAGGGAACGTCCTCTTGTTTATTAGATGGGACCGGGTGGGGGGGGGAATTGTTGGGGGGAGGCCTCCCCATCCTTCCTGCTGCTAACCAGGGTGGCTCAGCTTCTGGGAGGTGGGGGCAGGTAAAAAGAGGGAGCCCCTCCCTCACCATGCAACTATTGGGGGGACATGGGAGGCACCCCTCAAATCTGTCACTTCAGAGATCCCCCCAAAACCTGGAGAGCTCTACAATGCCCCCCAACAGGAGTGACACCCCAAAACCAGACTGTGCCCACCTCAGAAGGCCAGCCGCCCCCCACAAATGCGTGGTGGGAATCCCAAATCCAGGAGACACCCTACCTCTGACACCCCAAAATTTAAGGAGACACTCTCAAAATTCAAGGGGATATCCCAGATCAGGGTGATACCCCCAAATTTAAGGCAACACACTGAAATTCAAGAGGATTTTCCCCAGATCAACGTGGCATCCCCAAATTTTAGGAGTACCCCCAAACTCAAGAGGACCTCCCCAGATCAGGGTATCCTGGCAGTCTCCAAATGTCCCCCACCATCTGTCAGCTCAGCGCCCAGCATGCCCCATCAAGGTCTTCTTGCTGCATCCGCTTGTGGGGTGCCTGCCAGGTGGGGTCCCCCACTTCCCGCAGAGGGGGAGGGGTGGGGATGGGGGAGGAGCTTGCGGCTGGGGGAAGGGGGTTGCTGTGGTTACCACCCCTCTGGCACCACTCCGACAGGGTACCCCTGGGAGATGGGGGGCAGGTAGCCAGGGGGATCTGGGGCCCAGAGTGGGGCACTGTCCAAGCCCAGGGTGGGCAGGAGGTCCCAGGGCAGGGGACATTGGCTAGGCCCCAGGGAGCTGTGGGTAATTGGGGCCCAGCTGGGGGGCAGCCCTGGATCTTCTGGGCCGGTGATGGGGTCAAAGAGATCGCTGGGGTCAGGGGTCAGGGAGGCCACGCTCAGGCCCCAGCCAGGCCCTGGTTCTGGGGCCACAAAGGCCTCGGCCACTCCCAGGAAGGAGCTGGCAGCTGGGGCGGGAGGCTCTGGGTCTGGACACCGGGGTGCTGTGAGGGGCGCGGGGTCCCTTGGGACCTCCTGGGCCAGGATGGAGGAGGCCAGGCGGTGTGTCGAGGCTTCAATGTCAGCGAATCGCCTGGGGAGAGAAGAGAAGGGCTGTGAGCTTCCCCCAGCAGTGCCCTGAGGAGCTGTGAGCTTCCCCATAGCAGTACCCCTAGGGGCTGCAAGCTTCCCTGTAGCAGTACACCGAGGGGCTGTGAGTTTCCCCCAGCAGTGCCCCGAGAGCTGCGAGCTTCCCCGTAGCAGTAACTCAGTGGGCTGCGACCTTCCCCCAGCAGTGCCTGGAGGGGCTGCGAGCTTCCCCCAGCTTTGCCCAAGGGGCTGCGAGCTTTCCCCAGCAGTGCCCTGAGGGGCTGCAAGCTTCTCCCCGACAGTGCCCTGAGGGGCTGTGAGCTCTCCCCAGCAGTGCCCTGAGGGGCTGTGAGCTTCCCCCAGCAGTGCCTAGGGGGCTGCGAGCTCCCGAGGGCTCCCACCTGCTGATCTGGTTGTGCAGGAACCGGCGGTGGTTCACCCGCCGCTTGCTGGGGCGGCTCTTGTGGGGTCTCTGCAGCGTCCGCATCATGTGGGATGAGGCCACGGTGACGAAGGTGACGAGATCCCGGCCCCGCCCGTGGAGCACCACCTGCTGGGGGGGCAGGAAGCTCAGGGACAGGCTCCCGCCCTGCTGCATCCCAGCTCCTGGGGGACGGGGCTGCCAGGCAGAGCCCCCAGGCTGGGCGAGGCCGGCCCCAAACAGAGCCCTGCAGGAGTAAATGACAACGGTTCTCAGCCCAGCAAGCGCGAGACTCCAGAGAACCCCGGGGGAGGGGCTGCGGGTCGGGACTGAGGGGCACCGGCAGAGCTGGGGGGAGCCCAGGGCGGGGCTAGCAGGGGCTGCGGGTCGGGAGTGAGGGGCACCGGCAGAGCCGGGGGGAGCCCAGGGCGGGGCTAGCAGGGGGCTGCGGGTCGGGAGTGAGGGGGCACTGGCAGGGCTGGGGGAGCCCCGGGCTGGGATGGGGGGGGTCTCTGTCTCCCAATAGGGGTCAGCCCTGACCGCAAGGAGACAGCGCCTCCGGCTGGGGCCCCCAGGACACTTACTTGGTTCAGGGTCCAGGTGTGTGAAGAATCAGCCGCAATCACACACAGGGGGGAGGAGGCCTATCAGTTCTCCCTGGGGGCTGCCCCCTTCTCGCCTCCTGCCCCCCCAGCCCTGATGCTACCAGCCAGCCCCGGCGCCGGCTCCGGTCTCCAGTGGGGGCCGAGCACCACTGAGAGAATCAAGAGGATGATCAAAGAGTCACTGGCAGAACCCCCCCGCTCGCCCCACCCCTCTGAGCCCCTCCCTCCTGCCCCCCCTTCTATCCCCCCAAGTCCTGCTGGCACAAATGGGGCATGGGGCCTTAGCCCCCAGGGGGCACTGTCTGCGAGCTGCCCCAGGGCGGGGGGATTGCTGGCTTGGGGGAGCTGGGAGTACGGCACAGGGCCTTCCCCCTCTGGCCAAAATCCCTCACTGTGACAGTTGAGGGGCTGGGGGAACCCCCTTTGGCTCTAATAACAGGGGTGGCTTGATGGGCCCTCTCCCCTTGTCTGTCTCTTCCCCTTCCTGGACCCCCATCAACTCCTCCCCTCCTCCCCCATCCTCCCCATCATCTCCTGCCCCCCCTTTTGCTCCCCCCCGGCATCGTCCCCACACCAGGTGCCCAATTAGGGCATTCTTTCCCCTGGGATGCGGCCATGGCACTTAGCAGCAATTAGGGGCATCCGGGGACCATGGGGAGCCACGTGCCGGCAGCTCCGTGGAGACGGGCTCAATGGGGCGCTCAGGGGCAGGAATCCGGCTGCACAAAGGGGCCCCCCCCAGCTCCCCCCCTGCAGCCGGCACCCGGCCACGCGGAGCAGTTAGAGCAATTGCAGGGAATTGGAGACTTAAGTGCGAGGTCAAAGTGTGTCCAAAGCAGCCCACCCCCCCCGTCCATCAGTGCCTGGGCCCATCTACCCCGGCGTCCTGCCCCTTCCCTGCCCCCCGCCCCCAGTATCAGACCCATAAGCCTCTCTTGCCTCCAGCAGAGGGCAGCAGACACCCCCACCCTCCCCCCACACACACACATCTGCTTCCCGGCAGTTGGCTAAGCCAACCCCGCCCTGGCAAACACTGCCCCCCCTTCCTGGCTGGGGGAGATCAAAGCTCACCCGCCCCCCTCCCTGGGCTCCCCTGCCCTTCACAAGCAGGCAGCAAAATAAACTCAGGTTGGGAACAATGTCGTCTCTCATGTTAGCAGGGCCCTGCGGGGTGTGTGCGCAGGCGGGGGATCGGGGGGGGGGGGGGGGGGGGGACGGGACACAGCGACCAGGGCCCAGCAAAAATCCTCCAAGCAAGGAGGCCAGGATGCCTGAGTTCTCTGCCGGCTCTGAGAGGGGAGTGGGGTCTAGTGGTTAGAGCGGGGGGGGGCGGGGGCTGGGAGCCAGGACTCCTGGGTTCTCTCCTGGCTCTGGGCAGGGAGTGGGATCTAGTGGTTAGAGCGGGGAGGCTGTGAGGAGGCACGAGGGTGTCAGGCTGGCTGGCCCCACGGTGGTCTTTGGTGGTTTATTTTTCCACCAGGCCAGAGCCAAGCCACCGCTGGCAGGGGGAGCGCTGGGGCTGGCCCCGGGAGGGAACCCCGCTGTCCCCCTGGCCCAGGCCACAGCCAAGATGGACGTGAGCCGTGCCCCAGGAATTGTGCGGCCCCGTGGCCGTCACGCCTTGGCAGCAGGGCGAACAGCGAGTGGGTGAGGGGAGAAGGAGAAGGGGAGGGAGCCGCAGCCCCAAGGCTGGGTCAGGGGGAACGAACTAGGGGGCGAAAGGAAGAGCCGAGTGATGGGTGGCTAGGTGCAGGGAGCAAAAAAGAGCTGAATTCAAGAGCAACCCAGAGAAGCGGGGGGGAGAAGAAAGGGGGCGGCAGCAGGGCACTGGAGGGGGGTGCCGTGGGGCACGGCAGGCAGCCAGCTGGAGCAGGCAACTCTGTGACCAGGTGAGGCCCATACAGCCCCATGGCAGGGAGGAGCCAGAAGCAGCGTCCCCAGCCAGCATGGATGAGCCGTGAGCCGTGCCAGGGTCTCCAAGCCAACCAGCTCCACCTGCTGGACCCCCACTCCCCTCCCAGAGCTGGGGAGAGAACCCAGGAGTCCTGGCTCCCAGCCCCCCTGCTCTAATTGCTAGACCCCACTGCCCCCCCAGAGCTGGGGAGAGAACCCAGGAGTCCTGGCTCCCCACCATCCGCCCGCTCTATTGCTCCATTCCCCACCCCACCCCCACCTTGCTTTAAATCTGCCTGTTGGGGGCTGGGGGCAGGTCAGGGGTTAGACAAACCCGGGAGGAACAGGCCTGTTTGCCTTTGGGGCGAGAGGGGATGTCCAAGCTGCCTGCTAAAGCCAATATTACAGCCTGGGGCAAACCGCCGCAGGGGACGTTCGTGCCCTGTCCCTGGGCACTCCCTGACTCGTCCGGCTGGGTAGCTCCCCACAGAGTGGGGGGCTCTGGGTTGACACCAGTGATGCCCGGGAGGACACTCGCTCCCGCCACAAGGAGGGTAATATGGGCGTGCACCCCGGGCACCGGAACAGGGGGCCATGGACCCCCCACCCACGTTTTAACTGCCGCAAGGGCAAGCGACAGGGGGAAGGGGCAGAGAGGAGCGAGTGGGAGGGTCCTCGGGGGCTGGGGGAGGGCGGCACGGTGTGGGGGCCTCCCACATTTATCGCACGTCCACCGCTCCTGACGTGCACAGCCAGATTCGCCATGCGCCGCTGTGACCGAGCTCAACTTCATTTAGCAGTGTAGACGTTCCATTAAACCGGAGCGGCTGCTTCATGCAGATGACTCTGCTCCTGGGGAAAGCCCATCGGGTTCGCTGAAGGGAGGGATTTACTCCCATACCCACAGGCGGCCCTCAGAGCTGGGCGCTCGGCCAGCAGCCACTGCTCACCGCACAAACGAAGCACTGAGGGGAGGCGGATGGGCGGGGCGGGGGGGCAGCAGGGGCTGGGGCATTTTCCCTGAGACTGGCCCTGGGCACTGGGGGAGGAGGGGGGCCTCTGGCTTGTTCCTCTCCCTGCAGTTTGGGTCATCTCTGCAGGTGAGTCACTGACATTTCGGCAGGAAGTTTTTCCAAGGCAAACACCCTGGATCCGGGCCCGGCCAGGTCCCCGTGCCCAGACGGCTGCCCCAGGGCGGCACTAAGGGGTACCATGCTCCAGGGAGCGGGGCGGGGGGCTCAGCAGGGGGCGCTTGGCTGCAGGGAGTGGGTCGGGGGCTCAGCAGGGGGCGCTGGGCTGCGGGGGGTCCAGGAGGGGGTGCTCTCCCCAGGCAGTCAGGGCCGGCCCCGATGCCCCACGGTGGCAATTTTCCAAGCCAACCAGAGATTTCCTGGCGCCAACGTTCCTTGGGTGCAAAGGGACCCAGCAATGGCCGTTTCTCAGCTGGCCCCTCGTTTTCCTTCCTTCACGTGGCACTTCGTCTGAGTCTCTGGCACTGTTTATTTCTCGCGCCCGCGGCTGGCGATGGGCCCGCTGAACCCAGCAGGGGTACACCCCCCCCAGCAGGGCCGCCTGACACTGGCTTGCTTTCTTGCCTTTCTCCTTGGGTTCTTTTTTCCTAGTTGGTTTATTCCCTCTTCCTCCCTCCCTCATGTTTCTTTCTTTCTTTCCCAACCCCACTGTCAAGCTGCCCGTCCCGCCCGCCCCGTGGCTGTAAGAACCAGGTCGCTCTCTGCAGATCAGACAGAAGCCAGGAGCATGCGCCCCCCCGCCGGGGGCCGGCCTGCCTCAGCCCCACATACCGACCTAGCAGGGTGCGTGGAATGCGGACAGAGCAGACGGCGCAGGCCAGACACACACACCCGCCTGCCAGCCGCACACGCACTCGCGCCAGCCAGGGCGCCGCCAGCCGCCGACCCCGCTGGACCCCGGGCAGCAGGGGGCACAAAGCCAGCGACAGGGCGATCGGACCCCCCCGGCCCTTCCTGCACGGCTTGCAGCGTCGGACGAGAGCGCACCGGACAAAGCCATGGACTGAGAAAGAGACGAGATTGATTGATTGGTGGATGGGGATAGATAGATAGAGATAGGGTGTGTGGGAGGTCAGACAGGGGGCTCTGGGGACAGACAGATGGACAGGAGGCTCTGGGGACAGACGGACAGACAAGGGGGGCTCTGGGAACAGACAGACAGGAGGGGTTCTGGGGACAGACGGGGCTCTGGGGGACGGACGGCTAGCCAGACAGCCTCTGCCGGCCGACTGACATCTCCTCTCCTCCTGTCGGTGGAAGCCCCTGGATCCAGCCCCGCATCCAGTCCCCCCAGCCATGGACCCCCCCTCCAACCTATCGTCCCCCTCCAACGGCTCGCTGGCGGGCGGGCTGCCGGGGGCGGCGGGGCTGAGCCTGCTGGGGGCGGCCGGGGTGGCGGGGAACCTGTACACTCTGGCGGTGGCGCGGGCCGGGGCCGTGCCCTCCCCGCTCCACATCCACATCGTCAACCTGGCGCTGGCCGACCTGCTCTACCTGGCCGGGGTGCCCTTCGTGGTCCACAACGGGCTGGCGAGGGACTGGCGCTTCGGCGAGGCCGGCTGCCGGGCCCTGCTCAGCCTGGACCTGCTCACCATGCACGCCAGCATCTTCCTGCTCACCCTGCTGAGCACCGAGCGGTGCCGGGCCGTGCGGCGCCCCTTCCGGGCCGCCCGCCGCCCCCCCGCCCGCCGCCGGGCCCTGGCCGGGGCCGCCTGGGCCGCCGCCTTCGCCCTGGCGCTGCCCATGATGCTGATGGTGCGGCAGGAGGAGCGGGCGGCAGGCGGCGGCCGGGTGCGGCGGCTCTGTGTGCCCACCTGGCACGAGGCCCAGTACAAAACCTACCTGACCGTGCTCTTCGGCACCAGCATGGTGGGGCCCGGGCTGGCGCTCGGGTACCTCTACGGGCGGCTGGCGTGGGCCTACTGGCTCTCGCAGACCCGGGGGGTGCTGGGCCCCCGGCGGGGGCCAAAGCAGCGGGTCTTCCTCCTCATTTTCCTCATCGTCGTGGCCTTCTGGGCCTGCTTCTTGCCCTTCTGGCTCTGGCAGCTGGTGCCCCTCTACAGCCCGGGCACAGCCGCCCGCCTGCCCGTGGCCACCGAGATCTACATCAACCACCTGGTCACCTGCCTGACCTACAGCAACAGCTGCGTCAACCCTTTCCTCTACACGCTGCTGACCCGCAGCTACCGCGACTACCGGCGGGCGCGCCGGGCCGGGCGCAGGGTGGCAATGCAGGCACAGGCCGTGGGGCGCTGAGCAGCCAGCAGACCTCCACCGGGCGCAGGTAGGGGGCAGTGGGGGAGAGGGGCACTGCTGGGGGAAGATCGCAGCACTGGGGAGAGGTGCCACAGGGAACTGCTGGGGGAAGATCACAGCATTGGAGAGAGATGCCATGAGGCACTGCTGGGGGAAGCTTGCAGTACTGGGGAGAGGTACCACAGGGCACAGCTCGCAGCATTTGGGAGAGGTGCCGTGGGGCACTGCTTGGGGGAAGCTCACATCATTTGTGGGAGATGCTGTGGAGCACTGCTGGGGGAAGATCGCAGCGCTGGGGAGTGGTGTTGCAGGGCACTGCTTGGGGAAGCTCACAGCATTGGAAGAGGTGCCGCGGGGCACTGCTGGGGGAAGATCACAGCACTGGGGAGAGGTGCCAAAGGGCACTGCTGGGGGAAGCTTGCAGTACTGGGGAGAGGTGCCACAGGGCACTGCTCGGCACAGCTCGCAGCATTTGGGAGAGGTGCCATGGGGCACTGCTTGGGGGAAGCTCACAGTATTTGTGGGAGGTGCTGTGGGGCACTGCTGTGGGAAGCTCACAGCATTTGTGGGAGGTGCTGTGGGGCACTGCTGGGGGAAGCTCACATCATTTGTGGGAGATGCTGTGGAGCACTGCTGGGGGAAGATCGCAGCGCTGGGGAGTGGTGTTGCAGGGCACTGCTTGGGGAAGCTCACAGCATTGGAAGAGGTGCCGCAGGGCACTGCTGGGGGAAGATCACAGCACTGGGGAGAGGTGCCAAAGGGCACTGCTGGGGGAAGCTTGCAGTACTGGGGAGAGGTGCCACAGGGCACTGCTCGGCACAGCTCGCAGCATTTGGGAGAGGTGCCATGGGGCACTGCTTGGGGGAAGCTCACAGCATTTGTGGGAGGTGCCGTGGGACACTTCTGGGGAAAGATCACAGCGCTGGGGAGAGGTGCCCCAGGGCACTGCTTGGGGAACCTCGCAGCATTTGGGAGAGGTGCCATGAGGCACTGCTGGGGGAAGATCACAGCACTGGGGAGTGATGTCGCAGGGCACGGCTGGGGGAAGATCACAGCACTGGGGAGTGATGTCGCAGGGCACTGCTGGGGAAGATCACAGCATTGGAGAGAGGTGCTGTGGAGCACTGCTGGGGGAAGATCACAGTGCTGGGGACAGGTGCCATGGGGCATTGCTGGGGGAAGATCACAACACTGGGGAGTGATGTCGCAGGGCACTGCTGGGGGAAGCTCACATCATTTGTGGGAGATGCTGTGGAGCACTGCTGGGGGAAGATCGCAGCATTTCTGGAAGGTGCCACTGGGCACTGCTAGGGGAAGCTCGCAGCTGTGGAATCCCCATCTCTTCTCCAGCCCTGAACCAGGGGGACGGGCTGGCCTGGGGGGCAAGGAATGGGGCATGGGGGTTTCCCCTCTAGGGGACGCCGGCCCCCCTTAGCAGCCATGTTTCCCCCACACTGTCAGAGCTGGACCCTGGCTCTCGGGCAGGGGGAGCCGCCAGCGGTGGGGGGGCCCTCCCCATTGCCGTCAAACATGCGGCAGGCCCATAGCCCCCTTCTCTCTGCACCCCTAGGAGCAGCGCCCCCTGCAGCCTGGCCCTGGACACGGCCTCCCCCCCTCGCCAACCCCTGCAGCCCCCCCGTGAGGACGATGCATCCGCGCACAGCAACCCCTCCACCCCAGCCGGGACCAGAGGAAAAAGGAACAGCACCAGCGAGAAACAAGGCGCCAGGACTCCTGGGTTCTCCGCAGCCGGCTGCGCTGGGGGCAGGGCTAGGCTCCAGGACTCCTGGGTTCTCTCCCGGGCTCTGGGAGGTGTTGTACCCCCTGCGGTACCTTTGGGGCCCCCTGTATGAAATGGACATTTCGGGGGGTGCGTGTGGCTGGGTTTCTACACCGGGGGGAGTAACCAGACCCCCCCAGGCACTATCACAGCCAGGGGGCCATGCCCCCTCTGCCCAGCTCCAGCCACACACTGCCCGTGAGGGAGGTGGCACAAGCCGGCGCCACGTCTGCCCTTGGGGTCAGCAAAGAGAGAGGCCCCTGCCCCACCCTCCCCCGCCAGCCCCATCCTGGACCCGAGAGGGGCTGGGTGCAAGCCCCACGGTGCCCCAGGACTCCAGCAGCTTCTCCCTTGGCCTTGCCCCGCTAGTCCCCAGGGAAGAAACCACCTGCTCTCCTCCGGCCGGAGAGCAAAAGCCGGGCAATAGAGCAAGGGTTGGGGGCAGGGAGGGCGTATGGGCTACAGTGACAGGGGCCAGCAGGATGGAGCCAGGACTCCTGGCTTCTCTCCTGGGAGGGGAGTGGGATCTAGTGGTTAGAGCGGGGGGGGGGCTGGGATCCAGGACTCCTGGCTTCTCTCCTGGGAGGGGAGTGGGATCTAGTGGTTAGAGCCAGGGTGGGGGGGAGGCTGAGAGCCAGGACTCCTGGGTTCTCTCCCCGGCTCCTCCCCTGCAGAAACACCCTGCGCTAAGATTGTAGCTTTTGTCTTTGCCTCCAGCGGCTGCAGTGGGGCCCACGCCGGGTGCCAAGGGTCCTAGCTGAACTCGGCTCCCCTGGAAACGCCGTGAGGGGCAGGCCCCAGCTTTTAACCCCACCACGCTCCAAGGTGGGGGTGTCAATAAACCACCCCCTTCTCTCCGCATCTCCTGCGTGTGTCTCGCTTGCCCGCCGCGCCTGGCCCCACCAGACAGCCACGCGTGGGGAAACTCGAGATGAACTTTAATAGAAGACACAAACGGGGCGGGGGAGGAGGGGGGGAACAAAAAGCAAACAGAACCCACCAAACCCCCCATGTCCTCCCCCAGCCAGCGCCCCGACCCAGCCCAACCCTACCCAGCCTGGCTAGGGGGTGAAAACACCCCCCGAAGTCCCCAAGGGTTTTTCCTACCCCCCCCCCAGGCCACAAGCCAATCTTACAAGCCCCCCCCGTCCCAAATCACTGTGCAGAGAGAGAATAAAATGGGAGGGGGGGGCTAGGATGGGCAGGATCCAACCCGGGAGAGGTGGCGACCCCCACAGCCAAAGGCCAAGAGACACTAGGAAAAGGGGGCCGGGGGCAGGGGGGGTGACCCAGAGTTTGCTGAAGGGGGGGGGGAGTGGAGGTGAGGGCTCAGCAAAGAGTTTCCATCTCTCCTGTGGCCGTTGGGGGCTCAGTAGGGGTCCCGGCCTGTGTTAGCCGTAACCCTACGGGGGCCCGCGTGTGTTTACTCTGAGATGCTGAGATGTGGGGAAACTCAGAGGTCCCGATCCTCAAAGGGGCAGAATGCGGGGCGAGATGGTCCTGGGGTCCGGGCTGAGGGACAGGGAGGGGGCAGGATACCGGGGTAGCTGGGCCCAGGGGTGGCTCCGGAGGGCGGGGGGGGAGGATATTGGGGTAGATGGGCCTGGGGACAACTCCAGAGGGCTGGGGGGGCAGGATACAAGGGTAGATAGGCCCGGCGGTGGCTCCGGAGGGTGGGGGAGGCGGGATACCGGGGTAGATGGGCCCGGGGGTGGCTCCGGAGGGTGGGGGGAGGCGGGATACCAGGGTAGATGGGCCCAGCGGTGGCTCCGGAGGGTGGGGGAGGCGGGATACCGGGGTAGGTGGGCCCGGGGGTGGCTCTGGAGGGCAGGGGAGGCGGGATACCAGGGTAGATGGGCCCGGGGGTGGCTCTGGAGGGCGGGGGAGGCGGGATACCGGGGTAGATGGGCCCGGGGCTGGCTCTGGAGGGCGGGGGAGGCGGGATACCGGGGTAGATGGGCCCGGGGCTGGCTCTGGAGGGCAGGGAGGGGGTAGCTGGGCCCGGGGGGTAGCTCACTGGTGTAACCGTAACAGCTCTGTGCAGAGGCCTCAGCCCTGCAGAAACCCAACCCCCTGGAGGGGCAAAGTCGGGTCCCAGCTGCGGCTAAAGCCAATGAGACCCCAGGGTGCCCCTGAGGGCCAGGCCGGAGGCTGGGGCACCCCCGCGGGAGGAGCAGGACCCAGCAGCTGGGGGTGACACACACGCCATGTGAGGGGTCTCGCCGTCGAGCCCGGGACTGACTCTGAGGGGGAGTTCGGCCCCCTGGAGCCCATTAACCCTTCAGTGCCTGATACTTCCAGGGCGTAGGGTGTGGGGGGCACCCGCGGCCAGTCCCACCCCACAGGGGAGCACAACAGAGGGGAAGGGGGGAGGAATGTGCCCAGCCTGCCCCTCTAATCCTGGAGCTGAACAGACAGGGGGCAGGGGGGGTAACTGGGTCAGGGGGGTATCCCAGGCTGGGGGGAGGGTGCTGGGTCTGGGGGGGATCCCAGGTTGGGGTGCTGGGGATGGGGGCAGGGGATCCCAGTCCAGGGGGAGTGCTGGGTCGGGGGCGGGGGGAAGAGATACCAGTAGGGGGGACCATTGCTGTGCCCCCCGGCGCTAGGACCCTGGTGTGGGGCAGGGGGGTTATTTCATAGGAGATCCAGTTAGGGCTGCAGCCGCCCCCCCCCAGGTCCCCCCCTAAAGTGCTGGCTGATATGCGAGCAGACCCCAGCATGGGGGGCTGGGATGGGGCCCAAGGCGCAGTGCTGAGCCTGGCTTCGTCGCTGTGCCAGTAGGCCCCATCTACACACCCCCAGTCCCGGGGCCCCTCACGGGGCGGGGGGCTCGGCCGGGGGGGGCTGCGGCTGGTGGTCGGGGTCCGGGGTCCCTGCGTCGGGCCCGTCGGCCTCATCGTCTGAGACGCCCTCCAGCCGGAAGACCTGACGCACCGTGCGGGTGGTGAATGTCAGGGGGGTGCGCCTGGGGGGGAAAGAGGGGTCAGTATGGGCCATGGCCCCCCCACAGCACCCCCCGCCTGCCCCCACGGCGGGCCCCAAGTCAGCGCCCCTGCCATGGCCCCTAGGTCGCCTCCCTAGGGCCCCCAATAGCCAACACCCCTACCCTGACCCCCATGGTGCCCCCCCGCTCCCACAGCACCCCCACAGCAAACGCCCCACCCCCATCAACCTATGGGACCCCCCACAGCCAACACCCCACCTGACCCACATGGCACCCCCCTGCTCCCACAACCAAGGCCCTGAACCTCTATCAGCCCATGGGGCCCCCCACAGCCAGCACCCCAGGTTCAACCATGCCTCCCTAGTCCCACAGGGTCCCCCCCGTCACCCTCTGAATCCCCCCACAGAGAGCACCCCCACCTTGCTCCCCACTGTGCCCCCAGTACCCCCCACAACCAGCAGCGCCCTTCCTGAAGACTCCGCAACCAATACCCACACCCCCCCCGGCACCTCGGCCCCTTGCCGGAAGAGGCTGGAAATGACACACTCTGCCCCACATGCCCCCCGGCAGCCCCCCACCCAGAGCTTAGTGCAGCAGCAACGTCACGCAGCAGAGCCTCGGGATGCGGGACACGAGCGACCCCCGACGCCAGTAACTGCCCCCCACCAGCCGGGAGCCAACGCCTGGGACTGCACGGCGGGTGGGGGAGGGGAAGAGAACTGGGGGGAGGGGGGACTTCCTGAGCTCAGAGGGGTGGGCCGAGGGGGAGCTCGGACAGGGGAACCCCATGTGGGGGCAGAAGGAGTTCGAGGGGGGGCCGCTGGTCGGGGGAGGAGAGTTTGGATGGGGGGACTCCAGGAGGGGGCAGAGGGAGCTCGGAGGGGGATCCCCGTCCCAGTCGATGGCTCAGCCCCTCCCCCCCACACACACACCCACAAGCAGCACCCCCCCCCGCCAGCTGCGGGGCGCCGGGAGCAGGGACTGCCACACAGCACACAGGGCTGGCAAGTCGGGGGGCAGCGGGAGCTGGGGGGGTCACGTACTTGCGCTGGAGACGCTCCAACTTGCTGGGGAGTCGGAAGAGAGAGAAGGAAACAGGAGAGACGGAGAAAGTGAGAGAGAGAGACAGAGACCGCCCCAGCCACAGAGAGATGGGGGCTAGTGGACACAGCAGGCGGGGTGGGCTGGGAGCCCGGACTCCTGGGTTCTCTTCATACTCTTCTGCAGGTCCCACGCCCATCCCCGTGCCTCAGTTTCCCCTCCTGTGCTGAACTATTGCGCTGCGCATAGATGCCTTTCACTTGAGCCCGGGTGGCGCTGCCTGGCTAACACCCTTCTCCAGCATCAGCTGGCCCCAAGCAGCACATGCCCATCCCCACCGCCCCGTCCCCAAGAGCCAGACCGACCCCCATCCCTAGGGGGGATGTCTGGGGCATGGCGGGAAGAGCACTGGGGTCAGACGTGTGGGACAGGACTCATCTGTGGGGAAGGATTTAGATGGGTGCCCTGCGGCCATGTGGGGAGAGCCGGGTTCGATCCCCCCCCCGCCAGCCCCACAAGGGGAGCTGGGTTCCAACCCCCTCTGTAGGACCCAGGCCCCCTAGAGCAGCTGGGTTCAAACTCCCTCCCCCCGGCCCCGGAGGGCTCGTCCTCCAGTTCACTGCAACCTGCAGGTGCCCCTTGCCCCTTGTGATGAAGTGGGACCGTTCTTAATGTTTCCTCTGAATAGTGTGGGGGTGCCTCAGTTTCCCCTATGCAGTTCTTAAGTATCTCGGTGGTGGGATAAGGGTGTATGATCACTGCAGAGCCCTAGAGGGCAGGTGTGTGCAGGGGGCTGGACACAGAGAATGGCCGACACCCTGTTTCCTGGCAACTGATGGCCTGGGCCCTTCCCCCCTGCCAGGTGAGAGCTAAAGGGTTGGAGAACAAAGGAATCAGGTGCCCTCCTGGCCCGGGAAAGGGACAAAGCCCAGAGGATGGGGGGCTGGAGGGAGTTTCAGTTTGGGGCTGGCTGGGACATGGAGTGAAGGGCAGACGTGGTTGTCTGGCTCACTGCCCCCCAAAATGGACCCGCCTGAGGCATCCTGTTCTTTGCACCTACAAGCTCTGTGTTAGACCATGTTCCTGTCGTCTAATAAACCTTCTGTTTTACTGGCTGGCTGAGAGTCACGTCTGACTGCGGAGTTGTGGGGCAGGACCCTCCGGCTTCCCCAGGACGCTGCCTGGGCGGACTCGCTGTGGGAAGCGCACGGAGGGGCAGAGGAGGCTGAATGCTCCGAGGTCAGACCCAGGAAGGTGGAGCCGGGGGAGCTGTGTGTCCTGCAGACAGGCTGCTCCCAGAGAGGAGACTTCCCCAGAGTCCTGCCTGGCTTCATGGGGAGCAGGTCCAGAGCATCGCCCGGGGACCCCGTGACACCCCCCCACCCCAGTTTCCCCAGCTACAGCCTGGTGCCCCCTGCCCCCCCCAGTACCCTCTGCCCCCCCCCCGTGCTCAGCGCCCTCCACTCACCGGAGCCGGTTGCGCAGCGCGGTGACCTCGCGGTTCATGGACTCGGCCGACTCGGTGACGTCGTCCAGCTCCCGCTGCAGGCGGCGCCGGCCGGAGTTCGCCCGCGACGCCTCCTCCTCCGCCTCCTCCAGCTGCCGCTTCAGCTGCTTCAGGCGGATGTGGCCCTTCTCCACCTGCCGGCACGGAGCGGGCGGCTCGGCACAGAGCGGGCGGCTCAGTGTGGAGCGGGCGGAGCGGGGGCGGGAGCGGGCGGCTCGGCTCGGAGCTGGCGGGGGCGGGAGGCTCGGCGGGGGCGGGGTGCTAGGGCCCGCCTGCCGTAGGAGGTGGTGGGGGGCTCCGGGCCGCAGGGAGTCCGGGGTGCTGGGCCACACATGCCGGCGCAGGGAGGTTTGGCAGGGGGCCGGCGGGGGGGTGCATTGTGCTGCGAGGGGCTGAGCAGGGCGGGGCTGGCAGGGGGCGCCATGGGGCAGGGCAGGGGGTCAGTGGCGGGTGCTGTGCTGCGAGAGAGGGGGAGTGCCATGGCACAAAGGGCTGAGAAGGCCATGGGGCAGGGGGTGCCGTGGGGCAGGGTAGGGCTGTCAGGGGGAGCTATGGGGCAGGGCAGAGGGCCGGGAGGGGCGCCGTGGGGCAGGGCAGGGCGGTGGGGGGACGCAGAGGGCAGGGCAGGGGGCTGGGGGAGACGTGTTGGCAGGGGCAGGGGGCTGGGAGGGTTCCGGGGGGGCAGGACAGGGGGGACACATGGGATGGGGGAGGGGCAGGGGGCGGGTCAAGGGGCCGGAGGCGGATGCGTGGGGCAGCACAGGGGGCTGGGGGGGGATGCGTGGGCTGGGGCTGGGGCAGGGGTTGCCAGGGGTGGGCGGGGGGTGCCGGGGGGCAGGGCAGGGGGCAGGGCAAGGGGCTGGGGGGGCTGCCAGGGGCCAGGGCAGGGGGGACGCATGGGGAGGGACAGGGGGCCGGGGGCGCCAGGGGGAAGGGCAAAGGGCCGGGGGCGGATGCGTGGGGGCGGGGCAGGGGGCCGGGGGGCGCCGGGGGGCAGGGCAGGGGGTGGGGCAGGAGGCCAGGGGGATGCCAGGGGCAGGGCACAGGGGCGCCAGGGGGCAGGGCAGGGGGCCGGGGGGGCAGGGCAGGGCGGGGGGTGCCGGGGGGCAGGGCTGGGGGGAAGCATGGGGAGGGGGAGGGGGCCGGGGGGCGCCAGGGGGCGGGGCAGGGGCCAGGGGGCGGACGCGTGGGGGCGGGGCAGGGGGCCGGGGGGGGTGCCGGGGGGCAAGGTGGGGCAGGGCAGGGGGCCGGGGGGATGCCGGGGGCAGGGCACGGGGGCACCAGGGGGATGCCGGGGGCAGGGCACGGGGGCACCAGGGGTCAGGGCAAGGGGGTGCCGGGGGGGCAGGGCAGGGCAGGGCAGGGGGGTTACCAGGGGGCGGGGCGGGGCGGGGGGACACATGGGAAGGGGAGGGCCAGGGGGCGGGGCAAGGGGCTGGAGGCGGCCGCGTGGGACGGGGCAGGGGGCCGGGGGGGCAGGGCAGGGGGTGGGGCAGGGGGCAGGGGGGGCGCCGGGGGCAGGGGAGGGGGGAGGGGCAGGGGGCCGGGGGGCACCAGGGGGCGGGGCAAGGGGCTGGAGGCGGCCGCATGGGACGGGGCAGGGGGCCGGGGGGGCAGGGCAGGGGGCGGGGCAGGGGGCCGGGGGGGCGCCGGGGGCAGGGGAGGGGGAGGGGCAGGGGGCCGGGGGGCACCAGGGGGCGGGGCAAGGGGCTGGAGGCGGCCGCATGGGACGGGGCAGGGGGCCGGGGGGGCGGGGCAGGGGGCGGGGCAGGGGGGCGCCGGGGGCAGGGGAGGGGGAGGGGCAGGGGGCCGGGGGGCACCAGGGGGCGGGGCAAGGGGCCGGAGGCGGCCGCGTGGGACGGGGCAGGGGGCAGGGGGGGCGCCGGGGGCAGGGGAGGGGGAGGGGCAGGGGGCCGGGGGGCACCAGGGGGCGGGGCAAGGGGCCGGAGGCGGCCGCGTGGGACGGGGCAGGGGGGGCAGGGCAGGGGGCGGGGCAAGGGGCAGGGGGGGGCGGCGGGGGGGCAGGCCCGTACCTGGTCCTTGAACTGGTCGGCGCTCCGGCGCTCCTCCTCCACCTGCAGCACCACCTCCTTCAGCCGCTTCTCCGCCCGGCGCACCAGCTTCCCCGACAGGATCCGCTCCCTGAGCCGGGGGGCAGGCCGGGGGTCAGCTCCCGGCTCACGGGGGGTGCACCACACCCAGAATCCCCCAGGGCAGCCACCTCCCTTCTCTGACCCCCGGTGGCTTCTGGGTGGCCCCACGCCCAGCCCTGGCCATGGCTCTTGCCCCGGGGCATGCTGGGTAGTCTGGCCCCCTGGTCCCACAGCGGTGGGTTGTACCCCAGGGGATACAGCCCCAGGGCATGCTGGGTAGCTGGTTCCCAGGCTCTGCGCCTCCACCCCCACCCTGCTGTCCAGCCCCAGGGCACGCTGGGTAACCCCCCCAGGGGCCTGGCCCCAGGGTCACCTGGACTCCTGCTCCAGCTGCTCCTCCAGCTGGGCCACCTTGGCCTCCAGGGTGGCGATGGTCAGCTTGTGCTTGGCCTTGACGGAGGAGTCCAGCTCGCCCAGCTTGGCCCGCAGCTCCTTGTTCTGCCGCTCCATCTGCTGCCGGGCGTTCTCCGCCTTCTGCGAGAAGCTGCGCTCGGCCCCCAGCTCCGTCGTCAGAGTCTCCACCTGCGGGGGGGCGGGGGCGGGTCACGGGGCGCCTGGGACCCCCTGCCCCAGCGGGCGCTTCCCCTGACAGTCAGTGCTGGCCCCGAAGCCCTAGGGTGGCACAAGGGGGCGCTGGGCTGTGGGGAGCGGGGCGGGGGCTCAGCGGGGGGCGCTGGGCTCGGGGGGAGTGGGGTGGGGACTCCACAGGGGGCACTGGGCTGCGGGGAGCGGGGCGGGGGCTCAGCGGGGGGCGCTGGGCTGTGGGGAGCGGGGCGGGGGCTCAGCGGGGGGCGCTGGGCTCGGGGGAGTGGGGTAGGGACTCCACAGGGGGCGCTGGGCTGCGGGGAGCGGGGCGGGGGCTCAGCGGGGGGCGCTGGGCTCGGGGGAGTGGGGCGGGGACTCCACGGGGGGTGCTGGGCTGCGGGGAGCGGGATAGGGGCTCAGCGGGGGGCACTGGGCTGCGGGGAGCGGGGTGGGGGCTCAGTGGGGGGCGCTGGGGTGGGGGCTCAGCGGGGGGCGCTGGGCTGTGGGGGGCAGAAGGGAGCTCCGTGGGGGAGGCTGCGGGGTTCTCAACACCCCCCCACCTGCAGGCTCAGCTTGCGGTAACGGTCGTTCAGCAGCTCCCCGTTGCTCTGCTCCTCGTCCAGCTCCTCCTCCAGCTGCCCGATCCGGGCCTCCAGGTGCCGCTTCTCGTCCAGCAGCGCCGACCTGCGGGGAGGGGGGGCTGGGCTAAGGAGGGCTGGGGGCCGGGGCAGGGGCGGCTCTGGGGCGAGCAGCTCCTGGTCCGTGCCCAGGATACGGGTGCTCGCAAGGGGGCACGAGTGGGGAAGGGGGCACGAGTGGGGCAAGTGAAAGGATGGCGTGGGGTTTGGACATGGCATACATGGGGGCATGGCTAGGGCAGGGAGTGGGGCAGGGACAGGGGGCGGGGCAGGGGCAGGGGGCGGGGCAGGGAGTGGGGCAGGGGCAGGGGGCGGGGCAGGGGCAGGGGGCCGGGCCCATGGCAGCAGGACGTGGAGCTCACAACAAGCCAGAGGCAGGGGAGGGAGGGGGCGGGGCCCGCCGGGCAGGGGGGCGGGCTTTGTGCAGCGGGCAGGGCCCAGGGCACTCCTCATCAGCAGGGGCGGAGCCAAGGCAGTGGGCGGGGCACTCACTTGCCGCTCACGCCATTGGCCAGCTCGTCGGCCAGGTCGTCGCGCTCCTGCTGCGCCTGCCGCTTGGCTCGCTCCGCTGCCGCCAGCTCCTGGAACCGGTGGGGGAGGGGTCAGAGGCGGCGGGGTCCTGGCTGGGCTCGTCAGGCGTTGACACCCCCCCACAGCGCATACCCGCCCCCACCACAATAGCTCCACCCCCCTCCCCTCGCATAGCTGCAGTAGCCCCGCCCCAATTGAAATAGCCCCACCCCCTCTCCTCCTGCAGTAGCTCCACCTCCAAACAAAAGAGCCCCACCCCCTCACCTCCTGCGGCTGAAGTAGCTCCGCCCCTAAATGAAAGAGCCCCACCCCCTCACCTCCTGCAGCTGCAGTAGCTCCGCCTCCAAGTTTTTCAGCTTCTTCTCGTTCTCCCTGGACTGTTGGAAGATCTCCTCGCGGGACGTGCGCGACTCCTCCACCTCCCGCCACAGCTCCTTCATGTGGGCCTGCGGGGGATGGGTTGAGAGCAAGCAAGAGACTCCCCCCCCGGATGCCGGGGTCCTGTAATGCAGGGTAATCGCGGCTCCTGGGCGCCCGGACGCCAGGGTCCCATAACACAGGGTAAGCCCCACTCCTGGGGCACCTGGACACCGGGGTTCCATGACACAGGGTAAGCTCCACCCCCAGAGCGCCCGGACACCAGGGTCCCGTAACACAGGAGGAGGAAAAACAGGATACTCCAGCTCCCAACATGCACTGCTCCCCTTGTGGCTTCCCCCGTGGCACAGCTGGGCGCCCGAGGCCCCTCCCGCAGCCCCCCAGGCCCCTCCCCCTGGCCCCAAGCCACGCCCCCCACCTGCAGTTTGCGGAGCTGCTTGACGGCCTCTTCGCGCCCCTTGTTGGCGGCGTCGATCTGCCCCAGCACCTCCTGCAGGTCCAGCTCCAGCTTCTTCCGCGCTGCCACCACCTGGGCCCGCTGCTTCCGCTCGCCGTCCAGCTCCTGCTCCAGGTCCCGCACCTGGGGGGGGCAGGGGTCAGCCACGGCCAGCGCCCGCCCTGCCCCCGCCAACCTGCCGGCCCCGGCACACCCACCTGCTTGGAGAGCAGCTTCTTCTTCTCGTCGTTGGTGTCGTCGCGGCTCTGCAGGTCCCGCTCGTGCTGCGCCCTCATGGCCTGCAGGGTCACCTCCAGCCGCAGCTTCCCGTCCTCCGTGGCCTGCAGCTCGTCCTCCAGCTCCTCCAGCTGCGCCCGCATCTCCTGCACCTGCTGCTCCAGCACCCGCTTCGACCGCTCCAGCTCGTGGACCTGCAGGAGGGCGCGGACCAGGGTTCCCAGCGAGCACCGCGCCACCGTCCCCGCTGCACCGGGCCACCGTCCCCGCTGCACCGCGCCAGGGCCCCCGCTGCACCGCGCCACCGTCCCCGCTGCACCGGGCCAGGGCCCCCGCTGCACCGGGCCACCGTCCCCGCTGCACCGGGCCAGGGCCCCCGCTGCACCGCGCCACCGTCCCCGCTGCACCGCGCCACCGTCCCCGCTGCACCGCGCCAGGGCCCCCGCTGCACCGCGCCACTGTCCCCGCTGCACCGCGCCAGGGCCCCCGCTGCACCGCGCCACCGTCCCCGCTGCACCGCGCCAGGGCCCCCGCTGCACCGTCCCCGCTGCACCGCGCCACCGTCCCCGCTGCACCGCGCCACCGTCCCCGCTGCACCGCGCAAGGGCCCCCGCTGCACCGCGCCACCGTCCCCGCTGCACCGCGCCAGGGCCCCCGCTGCACCGCGCCAGGGCCCCCGCTGCACCGCGCCACCGTCCCCGCTGCACCGCGCCAGGGCCCCCGCTGCACCGCGCCACCGTCCCCGCTGCACCGCGCCAGGGCCCCCGCTGCACCGCGCCACCGTCCCCGCTGCACCGCGCCAGGGCCCCCGCTGCACCGCGCCACCGTCCCCGCTGCACCGCGCAAGGGCCCCTGCTGCACCGGGCCACCGTCCCCGCTGCACCGCGCCACCGTCCCCGCTGCACCGCGCCAGGGCCCCCGCTGCACCGCGCCACCGTCCCCGCTGCACCACGCAAGGGCCCCCGCTGCACCGCGCCACCGTCCCCGCTGCACCGCGCCAGGGCCCCCGCTGCACCGCGCCACCGTCCCTGCTGCACCGCCCCCGCTGCACCGCGCCAGGGCCCCCGCTGCACCGGGCCACCGTCCCCGCTGCACCGGGCCACCGTCCCCGCTGCACCGCGCCAGGGCCCCCGCTGCACCGGGCCACCGTCCCCGCTGCACCGCGCCACCGTCCCCGCTGCACCGCGCCAGGGCCCTCCCGGACACATACCGCTGTGTTATACCCCACACCCCTCCCCGAGCTGGGGAGAGAACCCAGGACTCCTGACTCCCAGCCCAGGCCCCCCTCCCCACGCCGAGGTGGGGGCGGAACCCAGGCGTCCGGGCGGGGCTCCTTACGTTCTTGCCGACATCGTCCTTGGAGCTGACCAGGTCATCCAGCTCGGCCCGGAGCTGCTTGTTCTGCCGGTCCAGCTCCTCCCGCAGCTCCAGCGTCTCCTCCAGGGCCCGGCTCAGCGACAGCACCTTGGTCTCCTTCTCCCGGGCCTCGGCCTCGGCCCGGTCCCGCTCCTCCGCATGGCGCGACGACACCAGCTTCTCCTCTGCCAGCATCTGCCGGGGGGCCAGAGCGTCGTGGGGGGGCCTGGGCAGGCTGGGGGGCCGGAGTGTGGGGAGCAGGGTTGGGGAGGATCAGTAGCAGTGGAGGGTTTGTGGGTGGGGTTGGGGGCAGCGTGGGAGGAGAATGGGGGAGGGAGGCAGTGGGGGGGCAGCAGCTGCAGGGGGAAGCAGGGCTGGGGAGTATGGGGGAGGGGAGCAGTGGCGGGTGGGGACAACGGGGGGGTCAGCAGTGAGGAGCAGTGGGGGTGGGAGCAGTGAGGAGCAGTGGGGGGAGCAGGAGTGGGGAGCAGCGCCCTCACCTGGTCGAACTTCTTCTGCCGGCGCTCCAGGTTGGCCACGGCCTGGCGCTGCTGGCCCAGCTCCAGGCTGGCATCGTCCAGCTCCTGCTGCAGCCGCGCCCGGCTCTTCTCCAGCTTCTCGGCCGCCTGCGCCTTCTCCTCCCAGCGCTGCCCCAGCAGCTCCAGCTCCCGGGCCGCCCGCCGCCGGGCCTCCTCCAGCGCCTCCGCCGTGCCCGCGTCCTCCTCCAGCTTCCGCCGGGCCTCCGCCACCTGCCGGCAGCAGGGTCAGCCGGGGCGCGGGGCCTCCCACCCCGGAGCCGGCCGGCCCCACACGCCCCCGGAATCCCCCACCCCGGAGCCGGCCGGTCCCAGGACACGCACCCCACCCCAGCCAGCAAATGGCCTCGCCCTTGGGAGACGCTGGGATGCCAGCAGGGACGGAACAAAGAGGGGCCGGGGCAGGAAACACTGCACCCGCTGTGCCAAGCACAATGCACCAGTGCTTTGCAACCACGGCATCCCCACACTGCATCCCTACGCACTGCATCCCTACGCACTGCACCCCCCTGCATGCAACCACTAAATCCGGGTCTTGGTGCCCACTGAATCCCCCCACACGGCACCCGCTGCACCTTTCACACTGCGCTCACTGCACCAGTGCTGGGCACCCACTATGTCCCCATGCTGCACTCACTGCTCCTCCACGCTGCACCAACCACTCTGCCAGTGCCTGGCACCCACTGCACCCCCTTCACTGTATCCCCACACTGCGCCCACTGCACCCCCCCACACTGCAACCATTGCACCAGCACTTGGTGCCCACCTCATCCCCTGCACTGCTTCCCCTGCACCAGTGCTGGGCACCCACTGCGTCCCACATTGCGCCCACTGCACCTCCACCCGGCACCAACAACTGTGCCAGTGCCTGGCACTCACTGCATCCCCACACTGCACCCGCTACTCCCCACCCACTGCACCCTGCATCCTGCCACACTGCGTCCACTGCACCCCCTTCACTGCAACCACTGCACCAGCACCTGGTGCTCACCTCATCCCTTGCACTGCACCTACTGCACCAGTGGTTGGTGCCCATTGCATCCTGCCACACTGCATTCACCATACTGTGCCCACTGTACAACTCACATGGCACCCACAGTACCCTTCACACTACATCCCCCACACTGCACCCACTACACCATGCTTGGCATCCCCTGCATCCCCTGCACTGCAGTCTCACACGCTGTATCCCCCACAACACACCCACTGTATCCCTCACTCTGCATCCCCCACACTGCACACACTGTCATCATCTGGCACCCACTGCATCCCCACACTGCACCCATGGCACCCCTCACATAGCACCCACTGTGCCCCATGCACTGCACTCACTGCACCAGCGCTTGGCACCCACTGTATCCCCTGCACCCTCCCACTGCACCCACACAGTTAGCCAGCACCGTGCTTGCTGCACCCCCCTGCGGCACCAGGCCGGGCTCACCTGCTGCTGCAGGCCCTGGACCTGGCGGCTCAGGTTGCCCTTCACAGCCTCCTCCTCCTCCAGCTGCTCCAGCATGGCGCCCTTCTCCTCCTCCAGCTGCCGCACCCGTGAGCTCAGCGCCAGCTTCTGCCGCGTCTCCTCCTGCAGCAGCTCCTGTGCGGGGGGCCACCCCGGGTCAGAGACCCTGCTGCAGGCCCCTCCCCCCCCTGACTCCGGGTCAGAGACCCCACCACAGGCCCCTCCCCCCTCCAACCCTGGGTCAGAGACCCCACCGCAGCCCGACCCTGACCACAGGGCAGAGACCCCACCCAGAGCAGAGACCCCCGCCACAGTCCCCTGCCAGACCCCCAGGCCCAGGGGAAGAGCCGCCCTGTGCCTACCAGACACCACCCTCCCCACACTGCCCAGGCCCTGCTTCCCTGGCCCCACCCCACCTAGCTCCCCTCACCCAGGCCCCGTTCCCAGCCCCCTCTTCAGACACTCTGCTCCCCCCCTCCCCGCCACCCCACACCCTCCCACCTCTGCAGTAACCCCGTGCTGCCCAGAGCCCGTCCCCCACCCCGAACCACTGCCCCCAACCCGGCACCTGCTGGGCTCAGCCCTGTACCCCCCGGGGCCTACCTGGGCGTCCTGCAGGTCGGACTCCGTGCTGGCCAGCTCCTTGGTGAGCTTGATCGTCTTCGACTCCGCGGTGCCCAGGGCCCCCGAGACGCTGTCCAACTCACTCTGCCCGGGGGAGACGGGGGCGGGGGACTCAGCAACCCTGCTCCATGGCCTCCGTCATCCCACAGGGCTGATCCAGGGGGGCAGGATACCGGGGTAGATGGGCCAGTGGGTGCGATGGAGAGGGCGGGTTACCAGCGTAGATGGGCGTGGGGTGAGGGGTGATCCAGGGGTCAGGGAGGGGACAGGATACTGGGGTATATGGACCCATGGGGCAGGATCCTGGGGTAGATGGCCCCAGGGAGGTGATGGAGGGGGCAGGATACCGGGGTAGATGGGCCCAGGGGAGCAGGGAGGCGGCAGGATACCGGGGTAGATAGGCATGTGGGGGTGATCCAGGGGGCACAGAAGGGGCAGGATACTGAGGTAGATGGGCCCATGGGGTGATGGAGGGGGCAGGATACACGGGTATATGTAACCAGGGGGCAGAGAGGGGGCAGGACACTGGGGTAGATGGGCCTGTGGGAGGGATGGAGGGGGTGGGACACCAGGGTAGATGGGCGTGAGGGGGTGATCCGGGGGCAGGATACTGGGGTAGATGGAGTGGGCGGGATCCATAGGTCTGATCCAGGGGGCAGGAAGGGGGTGGGATACTGAGATAGATGGGCCTGGGGGGTGATGGAGGGGGCAGGATACCAGGGTAGATGGAGTGAGCAGGATCCATGGATCTGATCCAGGGGGTGGGATACTGGGGTAGATGGGCCTTGCGGACTGGGGGTGATGGAGGAGGCGGGATCCATGGGTCTGATCCAGGGGTCTGTGGGGTCTCACCTGCAGCTTGCCCATGCGGTCGGCAAGCTCGGCCTTGGCTCGCTCGGCCTCGCTGGCCCGGATCTGCAGCTCCTGCACCTGCCCCTCCAGCTTCTTGCGGCGCTGCTCCGAGTCCAGCCGGGCGGCCTGCAGCCCCTTCACCTCCTGCACCAGCTCCGCCTTCTCCCCCTCCAGCGCCTGCTTCGCCTTCTCCAGGGTGCCTTTCACCTGGGGGGGCCGAGAACCACCTCACACAGAGCTAACGCCCCACAGCAGAGCCTGAGAGAACCCAGGAGTCCAGGCTGCCAGCCCCTGCCCCCCTGCTCCCACCACTAGCCCCCACTCCCCTTCCGGAGCTGGGGAGAGAACCCAGGACCGAATGGCTAGGCAGCAGTTCTGCGGAAAAGGACCTAGGGGTGACAGTGGACGAGAAGCTGGATATGAGTCAGCAGTGTGCCCTTGTTGCCAAGAAGGCCAATGGCATTTTGGGATGTATAAGTAGGGGCATAGCGAGCAGATCGAGGGACGTGATCGTTCCCCTCTATTCGACATTGGTGAGGCCTCATCTGGAGTACTGTGTCCAGTTTTGGGCCCCACACTTCAAGAAGGATGTGGATAAATTGGAAAGAGTCCAGCGAAGGGCAACAAAAATGATTAGGGGTCTGGAACATATGAGTTATGAGGAGAGGCTGAGGGAGCTGGGATTGTTTAGCCTGCAGAAGAGAAGAATGAGGGGGGATTTGATAGCTGCTTTCAACTACCTGAAAGGGGGTTCCAAAGAGGATGGCTCTAGACTGTTCTCAATGGTATCAGATGACAGAACGAGGAGTAATGGTCTCAAGTTACAGTGGGGGAGGTTTAGATTGGATATTAGGAAAAACTTTTTCACTAAGAGGGTGGTGAAACACTGGAATGCGTTACCTAGGGAGGTGGTAGAATCTCCTTCCTTAGAGGTTTTTAAGGTCAGGCTTGACAAAGCCCTGGCTGGGATGATTTAACTGGGAATTGGTCCTGCTTTGAGCAGGGGGTTGGACTAGATGACCTTCTGGGGTCCCTTCCAACCCTTATATTCTATGATTCTATGATTCTATGAGTCCTGGGTCCCAGCCTCTGCCCAAGCTAACCCCGCTGAGCTCTCCCCAGGCAGCACTGCGGGGAGATGGATGGGGGAAGGCTGGGGGAGCCCAGCATAACGGAGATCCGGGCCCGGGAGAGTAGGGGGGCTGATGCAGGGGGACCCTTCCCCTCCAGGCCCGTACCCGGCGGGACTGCTCCAGCTGCTCAGACAGCTCCTCCAGGGCATGGGTGTGTCGCTGGCGAATCTCCAGCACCTGCGCCTCGTGTACCTTCACCTCGTCCTCCATCCCCTTCTTCAGCTCGGCCACCTCCTGCTCCCGCTTCGACCTGCGGGGGGCGGCAGTGAGCCACGGGCCAGGGGGATGGGGCGCGCAGGGCTACTTCTCCAGGGACCCCTCGCCCTGTGCTGAGATGTGGGGAGGGCTGGGTGCCCGGGGACTTTGCCGGCTCAGGGTGGGTGCACGGGGATGCGGCTGGCTCTGGGGGGAGGTGGTCGGGTGCGTGGGGACATGGCCAGCTCCCGGGGGAAGCGGACTAGGTGCGTGGGGATGGGGCTGGCTCTGGGGTGAGGTGGGCCAGCCCTGGGGAGGCAGCCACATATAGGGGGGAGTCAGGCCGGAGCGCAGGGACGCAGCCAGCCCCAGGGGTAGACAGGCCAGGCACACAGGGACGTGGCTGGCTCTGGGGGAGGGAGGAGGGCTCCCGGGGAAGGTGCACGCCAGCCCCAGAGGTAGGCAGGCTAAGCCCGGGGACGCAGGGGTGACTCTGGGGAAGGTGCACGGGGATGCAGCTGGCTCTGAGGGGACGCGGGCAGCTCTGGGGAGGGTGCGCGGGGATGCGGCTGGCTCTGGGGGGAGGCGAGCCAGGCTCGGGGACGCGGGCGGCTCCGGGGAGGGTGCGCGGTGATGCGGCTGGCTCTGGGGGGAGGCGAGCCAGGCCCGGGGACGTGATGCAGCTCCGGGGAGGGTGCGCGGGGATACGGCTGGCTCTGGGGAAGGTGCGTGGGGATGTAGCTGGCTCTGGGGGAAGGCGAGCCAGGCTCAGGGACGCAGGTGACTCTGGGGAAGGTGTGTGGGGATGCAGCTGGCTCTGGGGGGAGGCGAGCCAGGCCCGGGGACGTGGGTGGCTCCGGGGAGGGTGCGCGGGGATGCAGCTGACTCTGGGGGGAGGCGAGCCAGGCTCAGGGATGCAGGTGACTCTGGGGAGGGTGCGCGGGGATGCGGCTGGCTCTGGGGGGAGCCGAGCCAGGCCCAGGGACGCAGGCAGCTCTGGGGAAGGTGCGCGGGGATGCGGCTGGCTCTGGGGGGAGGCGAGCCAGGCCCAGGGACGCAGGCAGCTCTGGGGAAGGTGCGCGGGGATGCGGCTGGCTCTGGGGAAGGTGGGCGGGGATGTGGCTGGCTCTGGGGGGAGGCGAGCCAGGCCCGGGGACGTGGGCAGCTCCGGGGAGGGTGCTCAGGGATGCGGCTGGCTCTGCGGGGAGGCGAGCCAGGCCCGGGGATGCGGGCGGCACTGCACCGTAGCTCCTGCTGGGTTGCGGTGGAGTCCAGCGTATCCTCCAGCTCGGTTTTCAGGGCCTCCAGCTCTTCGCCCAGGTCCCGCCGTTGCTTCTCGGCCTTGGCCCGAGCCGCCCGCTCCATCTCCATGTCCTCCTGCAGCTCCGTTAGCTGGGCCTGCAGCTCCCGCAGGGCCTTGAGCGCCTGGTTCTTCTGGGCCGCCTCCTCCTCCAGCCTGCGGGGCAGAGAGTGGGTCAGCGCCGCGGGGGGAGACGGGGTCAGCGCCGGGGGGGGGAGGGGGGCGCCACAGGGGGACGGGGGAGAGCGGGTCAGCGCCGTGGGAGGGGCAGCCAGGGAGCAATTCCCATCCCTAGCCCAGGGTGGGGCCCCCAGAAGGGGGTCGGTGGCTATAGGAGTGGCAGGGGGATCCCAGTGGGGGGGCAGGGCGGGAGGGGGATCCCAGTGGGGGGGCAGGGCGGGGGTCCCTGACCACGGGAGGATGGAGCAGGGATCCTAGGGGAGGGGGCCGGGGGGCCCCAGGCAGGAGTTGGGCGCGGATCTCTGGGGGGACCCAGCCGGGGGATGAGGAATAGGGGGGCTCTGGGTGGGGTTCCAGGGGGGCACCTGGCCAGGGCGGCCTGCAGCTCGGCCTCCTTGCGGGCCAGCTGGGCCCGGAGCTCCTCCAGCTGCTGCTGCAGCTCCAGCAGCTGCTCCTGCAGGTCGCTCGTCTCCCCGTCCAGCCGACGTCGCTGCTTCTCCAGCTCCTGACGCCCCTTCTCCTCCTTCTTCAGCCGCTCTGCGGGGGTGGGGGGTCAGCGAGGCCCCACACCGGCCCCCAGCTCAGCTCCAGGGCATCCCGCCCCCCAACACGCGGCTCAGCCCGCCCAGGGGTCAGCACCCGGCGGGGGCTCCCACCCCTGTGCCTGTCGGACGCTGGGGTCCCCAGGGGCCCATCCCCCACCCCTCACCTTCCATGTCGGCGAGGACGGCCTCGTATTTGTTGCGCAGCTTGGACAGGCTCTTCACCTTCTCCTCCTCCTCCGTCACGTGCGAGCTGAACTCCGCCAGGCGCTCGTCCATCAGCTTCCGCTCCTGGGGGGCACGGGGCGGGGGTGAGGCCGGGGCGGGGACCCACCCGCTCCCACCAACCTCCCTGCCAGGACAGGAACGGGGATGGACTCCAGCTAGGGCGCGGGCGGGTTCGGGGTGACGCTTCATAGCTGGATCCGGATTCAGATCCCAATTCTTACGGAAACGCCGATTCTGACAGCCATTTAGATCACGGCACAGAGCCAGCTTCAGCTCTGGGTCACACCCCAGCTGGCAAGGTCCTGATCTGGATCACGGTTCAGATCAGCCATCCCAGATTTGGGTTCAGAGCTGGACTGCGAATCAGTTGAGAGTTTGGGTTCTAATTCCGATTTGTATCCAGATTAGGGGTCAGATGCGGATTTGTAAAATCCCCATCCAGGCTTGGATTCAGATTCAAAGTTGCATTCACATCTTGCACCTGCATGAGATCTGGATCCAGATTCAGATCAAACCCAGTGCCAGATCAGGATCAGAAAATCAGATTTAGATTCAAATTCAGATACAGACCCAGTTCTGGACTTTAAATCAGATTTTGGTGTGGACTATGATTCAGATTAGGATCAAAACTGTGACTAAGGGTCAGATTAAGATTAAAATGCAGATTAAAATTCAGATTCAAGAGCGCACTATGATTCAGATCAAGGTCCAGATTTAAAGTGAGATTAAAATCCAGATCTGCATTAAAATCCGGAGTACGTTTGGATTCAAATTCAGATCAAGAGTCAGATTAAGTGTGAGATTAAGAGCCATATTCAGGGGGCAACTAAACCGGATCCAGATTCAGAGTGAAATTAAGACATGGACTCAAATTTAGATTAAGATTCATATGTAGATTTGAATTAAAATTCAGATTTGGAGTGAGATTAAGATCCAAATTCAGATTAAGATTTAGCGTATGTTTGGGTTCAAATTCAGATCCAGCGTCAAATTAATATCCAGAGTCAAAGTGAGATTAAAATCCAGATCCAGAATAATACCATGACCTGGATTCAAATCTAAATTAGGATTCACATGTAGGTTTAGATTAAAATTCAGATTCAGAGATTCAGATCCAGATTAACAATTAGCATACATTTGGATTCAAATTCAGAACCAGACTCAGATCCGGATTCCAATTCAGTGAGAGATTAAGATCCAGAGTCTGAACCAGATTCAGATTCCAGTCAAGGTGTCACGAAAACCACATATCCCAATTAAAATCCGGAGTCACATCTGGATCACAATTGAGATCTCAGTTTGGGCTCAAACCACATTCCAATTAAGAGGAAGAACAGGATCCAAACTGAAACTAGGACAGACCCAGGGGCATCTCCCCCCACTCCCAAAAAGAACCCAACACTGGGGGCGGGGGCTGGCAAGGTGGCAGAGAGTCTCACAGGGAGGGGGTGCGAAGGGTGGACCGGCCAGCGGGGGCTGGACTCCCCTGCCCAGCGTGCGGGGCCCATGACCCGGGGCCCCCTCACCTTGTGCAGCTTGGAGTTCTGGTCCTCCAGCAGCAGCAAATCCTCCTCCATCTTCTTCAGCTTGGCCTCCGTGGTTACCTTCTCCAGCTGCAGCTTCTGCCGAGCCGCCTCCTCCTCCTCCAGCTGCTCCTCCAGGTCCTGGGGGACAGCAGGGGGTCAGGGGGTTGGTCGTTGTCAGGGCTTAGGGCATGGGCACCGGCAGGGGTCAGGGGATGACCACCGGTGGGGCTCAGGATGTGGGCACCCGTGGAGGGTCGTGGGGTGTGGGGCTGGCTGGCAGTGGGGGCCGCCGGGCTGCACCCTCCCAAGCCAGCCCGGGGAGAGAGGCATCAGTCCCAGAACAGCCCCACAGGGCCCCCTTCCCGATCTCAGCTCTGGGAGTGGAGCAGGGCCTAGTAATTAGAGCAGGAGGGCTGAGAGCCAGGACTCCTGGGTTCTCTCCCCAGCTCCGAGAGGGCAGTGTGTCCTAGAGGTTAGAGCAGGGAGGCTGGGAGCCAGGACTCCTGGGTTCTCTCCCCAGCTCCGAGAGGGTAGTGTGTCCTAGAGGTTAGAGCAGGGGGGCTGGGAGCCAGGACTCCTGGGTTCTCTCCCCAGCTCTGAGAGGGCAGTGTATCCTAGAGGTTAGAGCAGGCTGCTGGGAGCCAGGACTCCTGGGTTCTCTCCTCAGCTCCGAGAGGGTAGTGTGTCCTAGAGGACTCCTGGGTTCTCTCCTGGCTCTGGGAGAGAACGTGGGATGCCAGCCAAGCCCCAGGTGGTGGCCCAGCCCCCCGCCAGCTGGGCTGTGCCCCTCGGGTCATGCCACCGCCAGGGGTCCCCCCCCCGCATCCCCTGGTACCTGCACATGCTGCTGCATCTTCTTCTTGTCGTTGTGCAGCTGCTGGCATCGCTCCTCCTCCTCCTCCACCCGCCCCTCCAGCTCCTGCAGGATCTCCTCCAGCTCCTGCTTCTTGGTGGCCAGGCGCGCCCGCAGCTCCTCCGCCTCGGCGAACAGCTCCGTCTCCGCCTGCAGCTGCTCCGCCAGGATCGTCTTCTCCTCCGCCAGCTGCGGGGCACGGAGGGGCTAGTGCGCTGGGAGCCAGGACTCCTGGGTTCCATCCTCAGCTCCCAGGGGAGGAGGGGGGGCAGTGGGGCTGGAAACCAGGACTCCTGGGTTCCATCCTCAGCTCCCAGAGGGGAGTGGGGTCTAGTGCTTAGAGCAGGAAGGAGCTCAGAGCCAGGACTCCTGGGTTCTCTCCCCGGCTCTGGGAGTGGAGTGGGGGTTAGTGGGCTGGGAGCCAGGACTCCTGGGTTCCATCCACAGCTCCCAGAGGTGAAGGGGGGGGGGGCAGTGGGGCTGGAAGCCAGGACTCCTGGGTTCCATCCTCAGCTCCCAGAGGAGAGTGGGGTCTAGTGCTTAGAGCAGGGAGGAGCTCGGAGCCAGGACTCCTGGGTTCTCTCCCTGGCTCTGGGAGGGGAGTGGGGGTTAGTGGGCTGGGAGCCAGGACTCCTGGGTTCCATCCTCAGCTCCTAGAGTGGAGTGGGGGCTAGTGGTTAGAACAGGGGGGACTGGCAGCCAGGACGCCTGGGTTTTCTCCCCAGCTCCAGGACGGGAGTGGGGTCTAGTGGTTGGAGTGGTGGGGGGCTCAGAGCCAGGACTCCTGGGTTCTCTCCCCAGCTCCAGGAGGGCAGTATGGGGTGGGAATCGGGGCCTTTTCTGGGTCCCTCGCTCCCCCTCACCTGCTGGTATTTGCTCTCCAGCTCCCTGAGCTCGCTCTGGGTTTTCACGTGTTGATCCTGCACCTTCTGCAGCTCCACGGCCTTGGCCTGCATCACCTCGTCCTGCCGCGTCACCTGCAGAAGTGGCTTCACCTGCGGGGAGGGTCAATGGGGGTGACTCCAGATCCCCCCCCATGCACACACCCTGACCCCTGACCTTGGATCCCAGCTCCCTGCCTCCAGCCTGGCTCCTGAGACCAGATCTCCCCCACCCCTGCCTCCCCGGGGCCTGCGCCCCCACCCCCTCCCGACATCCCCACCCCCGCCTCCCCGGGGCCTGTGCCCCCCTCCCCTCCCGACATCCCCACCCCCGCCTCCTCGGGGCCTGTGCCCCCCTCCACATCCCCACCCCCGCCTCCCCAGGGCCTGCGTCCCCACCCCACCCCACCCCCGACATCCCCACCCCCGCCTCCCCAGGGCCTGCGTCCCCACCCCACCCCTCCCCCGACATCCCCACCCCCGCCTCCCCGAGGCCTGCGTCCCCACCCCGACATCCCCACCCCCGCCTCCCCAGGGCCTGCATCCCCACCCACACCCCGACATCCCCACCCCCGCCTCCCCGGGGCCTGCAGCCTCCCCCAGCCAGTACAAACTCAGGGCCCCTCCCACACGCGTTACCCCCCAGCCCGGCACCTTGGTGAAGAGACGCCACCATTGCCAGTGGCGCAGTCTGAGGTAGGCGGCGCAGTTCCGCTGCATCACGCGCAGGGCGCTCGTCTGCTGCTGCTTCTTCGTGAACGCCCTGCGGGGGCAGCCTGTCAGCCCGGACGCCTGGGTTCCCTCCCCGCTCTGGGCGGGGAGTGGGGGCTAGTGGTTAGAGCGGGGGGGGCTGGGAGCCCGGACGCCTGGCTCCTCTGCCCGGCTCTGGGCGGGGAGTGGGGGCTAGTGGTTAGAGAGGGGGGGGCTGGGAGCCCGGACGCCTGGCTCCTCTGCCCGGCTCTGGGCGGGGAGTGGGGGCTAGTGGTTAGAGCGGGGGGGGGGCTGGGAGCCACGACCTTTCCCTTCACAACCCTGAGAAGTGGGGCCCCGCCCACACCTAGCCAAGCCCCGCCTACCGGCCCCTGGTCGGTCCCAGTGGTAGGTATTGCCCTGGCCCCGCGCTCCCCCCAGAGCTGCATGCATGCCCCCTCCCCCCCCCGGCACTCACTTGCGGGCCAGGTACCCACGCGCGGCAGCCTGGAAGGAGACGATGATGTCGGTGATCTTGAGGTCCCGCTCCTCCTCCAGGTGGGCCAGCACCCCTGCCCGGAAGAAAATCTTGCTCTGGCCGATGCGGTACAAGTTGGCGTCGAGCTCCAGGGCCTTGATCTGGGGCAGGAGGAGAGTCGGGGGGTGAGCGGGGAAGCAGAGGGGGAGCCGGAGCCCCCTACTCGGCCGGGGTCCTCCCCACACGACATCCACCCAGCAGGGCAAAGTCCTCAAGGCAGTGGGGACGGAGGTTTGTGGGGGAAGAAGGGGGGTGGAGCAATGGAAGGGTAGATGGGGGGTGTAGAGAGATAAGGGGGTCAGGGATGGGGAGGGGGCTGAGGGGGTCGCTGTGATGGGGCTGAGTCCGGGTTGCTCCCAGCTTGGGGGCCAATCCCCAGGGCGGGTGGGGTCTGCCTCTCAGAGCCCCTCCCCCTGGGCAGGCCCCGCCCCTGGCCCCACCTCCTGCCCCACCCCATACCATGCGCTCGCAGGCCTGTTTCCCATCCATGAAGCCCTTGGGGATGGCGTTGGAGGTCAGGATCTCGTATCTGCAGGGGGGAGGGGAGAACACAGGTCAGGGGTCACACAGCCCCTCCCCCACACCCGTCCAGAGCAACCGGCGGGATCCCGGGGCAGATGGGCCTGGGGAACCAGACGCGGGAGGCGGGATCCCGGGGCAGATGGGCCCGGGGAACCAGACGCGGGAGGCGGGATCCCGGGGCAGATGGGCCCGGGGACCAGACGGGGAGGCGGGATCCCGGGGCAGATGGGCCCGGGGACCAGACGGGGAGGCGGGATCCCGGGGCAGATGGGCCCGGGGAACCAGACGCGGGAGGCGGGATCCCGGGGCAGATGGGCCCGGGGCAGACGCGGGAGGCGGGATCCCGGGGCAGATGGGCCCGGGGAACCAGACGCGGGAGGCGGGATCCCGGGGCAGATGGGCCCGGGGAACCAGACGCGGGAGGCGGGATCCCGGGGCAGATGGGCCCGGGGAACCAGACGCGGGAGGCGGGATCCCGGGGCAGATGGGCCCGGGGCGGCCGCGGGAGGCGGGATCCCGGGGCAGATGGGCCCGGGGCGGCCGCGGGAGGCGGGATCCCGGGGCAGATGGGCCCGGGGCGGCCGCGGGAGGCGGGATCCCGGGGCAGATGGGCCCGGGGCGGCCGCGGGAGGCGGGATCCCGGGGCAGATGGGCCCGGGGCGGCCGCGGGAGGCGGGATCCCGGGGCAGATGGGCCCGGGGCGGCCGCGGGAGGCGGGATCCCGGGGCAGATGGGCCCGGGGCGGCCGCGGGAGGCGGGATCCCGGGGCAGATGGGCCCGGGGCGGCCGCGGGAGGCGGGATCCCGGGGCAGATGGGCCCGGGCGGCCGCGGGGAGGCGGGATCCCGGGGCAGATGGGCCCGGGGCGGCCGCGGGAGGCGGGATCCCGGGGCAGATGGGCCCGGGCGGCCGCGGGAGGCGGGATCCCGGGGCAGATGGGCCCGGGCGGCCGCGGGAGGCGGGATCCCGGGGCAGATGGGCCCGGGCGGCCGCGGGAGGCGGGATCCCGGGGCAGATGGGCCCGGGGCGGCCGCGGGAGGTGGGATCCCGGGGCAGATGGGCCCGGGGCGGCCGCGGGAGGCGGGATCCCGGGGCAGATGGGCCCGGGGCGGCCGCGGGAGGCGGGATCCGGGGGCAGATGGGCCCGGGGGTACCTCTGGCGGAACTCCTGGAAGATGATGCGGTTGGGGAAGCCCTGGCGGCAGATGCGGATGCCCTCCAGCACCCCGTTGCAGCGCAGCTGGTCCAGCACCAGGTGGGGCTCCAGCTTCCCGGCCTGCGGGAGGGAGCGTCAGAGCCCAGGGAAGCGGGGGGGGGGCTTTCGTGCAGCACACCGGGGCTGGCACGCCAGGGCTCCCGGCACCCACACGCTGCCCCTCTGCCACCCAGGGGCACCGCGCCAATGCAGGCTGCAGCTGTGTGCACCAAGCAGGGCAGCTGCCCGCCTGCCCGGGACATGCTCGTTTGCTGGCACCCCAGGCTGGCACTACGAGCCCTCGGCCATGCTCACGCTTGCTGGCCCTTGTCCCTTCACACTTCCACGGCACGCTGGTGCCAGCCCTCCAGAAGGCCCTTCGCCAGCTCACCCTCGCATGCCCTCCCTTGTGCACAACGGCTGACATCGACTCTCCCAGGGACACACGCTCCTTCACTCGTGTGCGGATGCACAGGAGGACACATGGGGAGTGGTGCACGCCCATCAAGGGCACGAGCACCTTCATGTGTGTGCACACTCGCTCGCTTTCACCACAGCACACGCTTCCTCGGACGTTGATGGTGCTTGCACCGTTTTGCACTCACACTTCATGTCACAAGCACTTCACGCTTCTCCCCACATTGAAAGTACTTGCACAATTTTTGCACACAATTGTTTTTGCACAGTCATTCACACTTCACACATGAACAATGGTGCTTGCACTGTTTTGCACACTCATTCTCCCTTGGCTGTTCACACTTCCGCCTACGCTGATGGTGTTCACAAGGCTTTGCACACTCACACTGCCCAGCATGGACGATGTCACAGAGATTCACATTTCCCAGCACACACAACGGCACTTGCACAATTGTGCATGCACACTTGCTCTTGCACCAGCCATTCGCCCTCCCCTGCAGAGACATTCGAGCTCACCCAGTTTTCCACATTTGCTCTCACATGATGGATCACACTTCCCCACATGCCGACAGTGCTTGCATGGTTTTCCACACTCCCACTCTGTCTTACACAGTAGTGTGCACTGCCACACATGAGCAATGCCACTTTTGCACACTCACATTAGTGCTCTCACCTCAGTTCACATTTCCCCACATGCACAATGGCGACTGCACGATTTTGTGCTCACACTCACTCTAACACAGCCAGTCACACTCTGTGCATGAAATTGGCACTCACAGCATTTTGCACACTCACCCCTGCACGGCCATTCACACTCCCCTACATGAACAATGACACTCATACTGTTTTGCACACACACTTGCTATTGAATGGCAGATCACGCTGCCCTCTAGGAATGATGCCACTTGTGCACACTGACATTTGCTCTCGCACAGTGGTTCACATTTCCCCACATGCACTGTGACACTTGCACAATTTTGCACTCACACTTGCTCTCACACAGCTATTCAGTCTGACCTGCAGGGACAATGGTGCTCACCCAGCTTTGCACACACACAGACCTCACACTCACACTCAGTTCATACTTCCCCATGCGCTGACTGCTCTTGCACAGTTTTGCACACTCACTGTCGCACAGCGAGTCACACTTCCCCACATGCACTATGGCCCTTGCACGATTGTGCACATTCCCACTCACTCTCACACAGCCATTCTCACTCCCCTGCACGAACAATGCCGCTCACACAGCTTTGCACACTCCCCCTTGCTCTCGCACGGCAGGCCCCATGCTCCCGCTTGCCCAATTCAGCCCCCTTGCTCCCACCGCCATTCCCCACAAGTGCCACACCCCACCCTGGCGGGGCAACTGGCCCTTCCCCTTGTGCCCCCTCGCATGCCCAGTTGGCGCCAGGGCCCGACGGCTCACCCTCTTCTCGTGGTTGGGGATGATGCAGCGCACAAAGTTGGGGTTGGTGTTGCGTAGGGTGGCCATGAGCTTGGCCAACGACTCCTTGTAGAGCTGGCCCACGGTGCGGAACATCCCCTTCTTGGTCTTGTAGGAGGCCCCGAAAGCCACGTCCCCCATGCCGCTCACCTGGTCCAGGCCCACGATGCGGTCCACTGTGGGTGAGGGGGCGGGGTCAGCCGGGAGCCCCCTCCCATTCCCCGAGCCCCTGCCCTGCGCCCCACAGCGTCCCCTGATGGGAAAGGTGGGGCTGGGAGCTGGGGTAGCGAGGAGCCCCCCACACAGCCAGACCCCACAGTGTCCCCTGATGGGAGAGGTGGGCTGGAGTAGTGTGGAAACCCCCCACATGCCAGCGCCTGACAGCGCCCCCTGCTGTAGCTGGCATAGGGCCCTGAATGGATGGAGGATGCAGACGGATGAGCCAAGGGGTGATGGAGGAACGGTCCTTATTTCCCCCCCCCCCCAGGCCGCCCGCTGACCTGACAAAGGGCCAGCTGGGGGGACCACTACTTGGTGGGAGGGGGGGCCTGGCTAGATGGACTCCTGACCCCCGCTCCCCCCCCCCAGTGCTTAGCCATTGCAGCTAGGCCGGGATCTGCCCCGGGGCTCAGCAATCTTAGCGGGGGGGCAGCCCAGGCTGTGGGGGGGGCGGGTGATGTGAGGGGGACGAGCTGGAAGATGTGATGGGGGGTAGCCCAGGCTGGGGGTGTGATGTGAGGAGGGGTGAGCTGGGGGGTAATGGTGGGCAGCCCAGGCTGGGGGGGTGATGGGAGGCAGAATGTGGACGTACTTTCACCTTGGCTTGGGGACACCCCGGCGTAGCTGTCAAAGAAATAAACCTTCTGGATGTTCCCGATCTCTGGAGAGGCCGATGCCGGGGGCAGAGGGGAGGGGGGTATGAGGGGGGCCGGGTGGGGAGGGTTAGACAGACAGACAGAGAGAGAGATCAAGGACAGACGGATGGACAGAGAAATCAAGGACAGACGGGGCCAGGCCCCGAGGGCAGAGAACACAGGAGAACAGCGAGAGCCAGTTAGTTACAGCACCGGGGTGGGTGTCAATGGCGGGGAGGGGAGAAATCATAACTGGGGGAGGTGGGGGGGAGGTTAAGGGGGGGGAAATCATCCCAGAGCCCCCCATCCCCCAGAAGACGAGAGGGGATGTCCTCCAGCAGCACCCCCGGTCCTGAGGCCAGCAGAATGCCGGAGGGTGGAGGAGAGGCCACGAATTAGTGGGTGCTACCGAGGTCAGAGAGGTCAGGGGAGGGGGGGTTCAGTGCCAGGGGGTGCTAGTGACCCCACACACACCAGTTATTTACAGTGGGCTTTGCTTTGAGTCACCTGATTCCTGGGGAGTGAGTGTGGGGGGACAGGTGGGGGCCAGTGGCTGGGGCTGTCTGTGGGGGGCCTGGGGGGTGCACAGAGGTGCCATGCCAGGGAGGTCTGTGGGGGGAGTGGCTGGGGCTGTCTGTGGGGACCTGGAGGGTGCATGGAGGTGCTGAGCGATGGGGACCTGTGTGGGGCCGTGGCTGGAGCTGTCTGTGGGGGGCCAGTGGAGACCTGGGGCTGTCTGTGGGGAGCCTAGGGGGTACAGGGAGCTGCTGTGGCTGAGGCAGTAGACGAAGAGAGCAGACAGTGGCTCCGTGGGGAGAGTGAGGGTGTTACCCCTCCAATCCCCCCCATCCCAGCACCGCCCGCCCCGGCCCTACCGTCCTTCCAGAGCTCAGCAGTGAAGCGCTCCGCGCTCTGGTGCAGCAGGGTGGCCACGTTGTCGTTCAGTGGGTCCATGTTCTTCATCAGCCACTCGTCTGCCTTGTAATCCACCTGCCGGGGGCGGGGAGAGGGGCATGGGTCAGGGAGACTGGGGGACACCAGAGCCCACACAGCCTGACACAAGCCTGTGGGACTCCCTGCCACTTGACAACCAGGAGGGTTTAAAACCACAGCGGGGAGGGGGGGACCGACACCAGATTGGGGGAGTAAACTGAGTGGGACAACACACAGTGAATGGGAGCCAGGAGTCCTGGGTTCTCTCCCCGGCTCTGGGAGGGGAATGAGGTCTAGTGGATAGAGCGGGGTGGGGAGCTGGGAGCCAGAACTCCTGGGTTGTCTGCCCAGCTCTGGGAGGGAGGTGAGCAGCATAACACCTAGCTAGACTGGTGCCATTTGGGTGACTTGGGTTATTATGAGAAAACTAGATCTCCCACGGCACTTAAGGGACTGTCCACTCGAGGGCAACGTCACACACACACACACACACACACACACACAGAGCAGGGCCCAGTCCCCCCAGTAGGAACACACACCCACACCCACAAAGCAGGGACACACACACAGAGCAGGGCCCAGTCCCCCCAGCAGGGACACACACACACACCCACACCCACAAAGCAGGGACACACACACAGAGCAGGGCCCAGTCCCCCCAGCAGGGGGTGACACACACACGCACGCACGCACCTTGCCGGCGTAGTGGAGGATGCAGAAGTCGGCCTTGTCGCGCAGCTGACGGGGTTTCTGGAACTTGGGGTGCCCCCCCTGCTCTTGGATCACCTTCTCCACAAAGCTCTTGTCGGTGGCTTTGGGGAACCAGCACTCCTCGTCCAGCAAGGCCAGCACCCCTGGGGGGTTCACCTGGGGGGGGGGGGAATGTCACCCCACTGACCCCCTGTGGCACGGGGTCCCCTGCCCCACCCCCTGTCCAGCCACTCCGCCCCCTGCCCAGCGGCACAGAGCCCCCTGCCCAGCCTCCCCCGCACAGCATGGTGCCCCCCACGCACAGCACTTTGCCCCCTGCCTGGATGCCCCCGCCTGAGGCACGGTGACCCCTACTAAGCTCCCCCCGCAGCAGGCGCCCCTGGCCAGGCCCACCCTCCACCAGGCCTCCCTGCCCCATGGCACAGAGCCCCCTGCCCAGCCCCCAAGCCCTGTGCCGCCCCGTGCAGCACACCGCCCCCCTGCCTGCCCCACCCCCTGCTAGGCCTCCCCGCCATGCCCAGGCCTTTGGCACAGAGCCCCCTGTCCTCCCCTGCCCTACAGCACAGAGCCCCTTGCCCAGCCCCCTCCCCCCCGCCAGGCCTCCCTCCCCTGCCCTATGGCACAGAACCCCCTGCCCAGCCCCCAAGCCCTGCCCCGCCCCGTGCAGCATGGTGCCCCCTGCCAGGCCTCCCCACTATGCCTGGGCCTGTGGCCCAGAGCCCCCCGCCCAGCCCCCCTGCCCTCCCCTGCCCTGCGGTACAGAGCTCCCGGCCAAACCTCCTTGCCGTGTCCCACCCCATGGCCCAGAGCCCCCCCGCCCAGCCCCCCAGCCGCACGGTGACCCCTGCCCCACCCCCTGCCTGCCCCATCTTGCGCCAGGCCTCCCTGCCCTGCTCCCCCCGTGGCCCCGAGCCCCCGCCGACCGGGCGCTCGATGAGGTCGATGCAGGGCTGCAGGTCGAGGCCGAAGTCGATGAAGTCCCAGGCGATGCCCTCGCGCTGGTATTCCTCCTGCTCCAGCACGAACATGGTGTGGTTGAACAGCTGCTGCAGCTTCTCGTTCGTGTAGTTGATGCAGAGCTGCTCGAAGGAGTTCAGCTGCGGTGGGGCGGGGGGGACAGGTCAGGGGGCACAGGAGGTTCAGGGCCCTTGGCGGGAGTTCTGGGGGGCTGGAGGGCACAGGAGGTTCAGGGGGCACTGGGGGAGGTTCGGGGTGCAGGGGGCTCTGGAGGTTCAGGGGGCTGGGGGAGGTTTGGGGGTGCAGGGAGGTCCTGGAACCCTGGAGGGGGTTCTCGAGGGGCTGTAGCGGGGCACAGGAGGTTCAGGGGGCACTGGGGGAGGTTCGGGGTGCAGGGGGCTCTGGAGGTTCAGGGGGCTGGGGGAGGTTTGGGGGTGCAGGGAGGTCCTGGAACCCTGGAGGGGGTTCTCGAGGGGCTGTAGCGGGGCACAGGAGGTTCAGGGGGCACTGGGAGAGGTTTAGGGGTGCGGGGGCTTTGGAGGGGGGCCGGGGGACAGAGGAGGTTCAGGGCCCTGGCAGGGTTTCTGGGGGGCTGGAGGGGGGCAAGGGGAGCACAGGAGGTTCAGGGGGTGCTGCGGGAGGTTTAGGGGCTGGGGGGGACTGGAGCCCTGGAGGGGGGCTGGGGGGCACAGGAGGTTCAGGGGGCACTGGGGGAGGTGTAGGGGTGCAGGGGGCTTTGGAGGGGGGCTGGGGGGCACAGGAGGTTCAGGGGGCTCTGAAGGGGGGCTGGGGGCACAGGAGGTTCAGGGATCCTGGCCGGGGGGGGCTCAGCGCCGGCTCACCTGGAAGATCTCGAAGCCGGCGATGTCGAGGATGCCGATGAAGGAGGCCCCCTGGCGCTTGGTGCGGTCCAGGGCCCGGTTGAGGCGATGGACGAGCCAGCGGAAGAGGCGCTCGTAGGTCGCCTTGGCCAGCGCCTCGATGGCGAAATCCGCCTGGGGGGGCCAGAGAGTCACCCCCCGCCCGGCCTGGCAGCCCCCTCCCCCGCCACGCCCTGCCCCCATCCCGCCCAGCTCCCACTGCGCCCTGCTCCTGCCCCCCCGTGCCCCGCCCTGCTCCTGCCCCCCCCAGTGCCCGACCCCGCTGCGCCCCCTGCCTCTCCCCTGCCACCCACTGCCCTGCCCCTCCCACACCAAACCCCGCCCCACGCCTCCCCCCACGCCCCGCCCCCACCCCGTCCTGTTCCTTCCCCTCCCCCCCCCGGTGCCCTGCCCTGCTCCTGCTCCCCACAACCCACCCCCACTGCAACCCTTGCCCCTCCCCCAGCACTACCCCGACACACCCCCTGCCCCTCCCCCACCCTGCCCCCTCTCTGGATTCCTGCTCCACGTTCCCTGGCGTCGGCCCCCCCAGCCCCACCTGCTCCTTGGTCTGGGCCTTCTGCACGTAGTCACGCCCGACCTTGATGCGCGGCATGAGGATGGCGCGGGAGAACTCGGTCACATTCAGCCCCAGAAGGTGGCAGAGCTTCTGGGCGGCTGCGGGGCACGGACAGCTCAGTGTGGGGGGCCGGAGGGGGGCAGGATCCTTCTTTGCCCCCCCATGGCCCCCCTCTTCCCTCCTCCCCACAGCCCCCTCTTCCCCCCCACTCCTTCCCCCTCCCAGCCCCCCATGGGTCACCCCCTCCCACACAGCCTCCCAGACAGTGCCCCCTAGAGAGGAAAGGCCCTGTGCCCCATTCCCTGCCCCCCTGAGCCAGCCAACCCCCCACCCCGGGATCGGATCGGGGCCAGCGCCCCCAGGCGGGGAGGGGCCCCGGGCTGCCCCCTACCCGTGTTGTTCGGCATGGACGCCTGGTCTGTGTTTCGCTCCTTGCGAAAGACGATGTTCCCAAACTGCAGCACGGCCGACACCATCCGCAGCATGCCTGGGGAGCAGGGAGCCCGTGAGGGGGGCAGGACACCAGCAAACCCTCCCAATGGCCCCCAGTCCCCACCCCACTCCTCCCGCTCCGTGGGCTTCCTCCCGCCACCCCAGATCCAATCTTATCTGATCCCCCAGATCCTGCCCCCCAACCCTCCTCCACTAGATCTACCATCTGCAGGCCCCCCAGATCCTGCCCCCCAACCTCAGGGACCCCCCCATTCCCCTCCACTAGATCAACCCCACACAGGACCCCCATATCCTGCCCCCCAACCTTCCCATACCCTGCCCCAAACCCCCTCCCCCGACCCTCCTCTACATAGGCTTTCCCACCCCTCAGGTTTCCACCCCCGTAATCCCCTCCTGGTACCAGGTGTGCTCCCGCTCCCCGGGTGAGGATCTGCCCCCGAACGGGGCGGGGTGGACTCACTGTGGATCTCCTCGGGGGAGAAGCCCATGATGCCCATGGACTCCATGGTCTCCTGGAAGATCTCCTTGTCCTGCTGGCCCGGGATGGGCAGGAACCCATTGGACAGGAACCGGTACTGGTCAAACGGCTCCAGCAGCAGCTCGGCTTGGGGGGAGACAGGGACGGGGTCAGCCCAACGTCCGACCGGCCACCTCCCGCCCCCAGGACAAGCGGGGACGGGGTCAGCCCAACGTCCGACCGGCCACCTCCCACCCCCCAGGACCAGCGGGGACGGGGTCAGCCCCACAGCCGACCGGCCACCTCCCGCCCCCCAGGACAAGCGGGGACGGGGTCAGCCCCACAGCCGACCGGCCACCTCCCACCCCCCAGGACCAGCGGGGACGGGGTCAGCCCCACAGCCGACCGGCCACCTCCCGCCCCCCAGGACAAGCGGGGACGGGGTCAGCCCCACAGCCGACCGGCCACCTCCCACCCCCCAGGACCAGCGGGGACGGGGTCAGCCCCACAGCCGACCGGCCACCTCCCACCCCCCAGGACCAGCGGGGACGGGGTCAGCCCAACGTCCGACCGGCCACCTCCCGCCCCCCAGGACAAGCGGGGACGGGGTCAGCCCAACGTCCGACCGGCCACCTCCCGCCCCCCAGGACAAGCGGGGACGGGGTCAGCCCCACAGCCGACCGGCCACCTCCCACCCCCCAGGACCAGCGGGGACGGGGTCAGCCCCACAGCCGACCGGCCACCTCCCACCCCCCAGGACCAGCGGGGACAGGGTCAGCCCCACGTCCGACCGGCCACCTCCCACCCCCCCAGGACCAGCGGGGACAGGGTCAGCCCCACGTCCGACCGGCCACCTCCCGCCCCCCAGGACAAGCGGGGACGGGGTCAGCCCCACAGCCGACCGGCCACCTCCCACCCCCCAGGACCAGCGGGGACGGGGTCAGCCCCACAGCCGACCGGCCACCTCCCGTCCCCCAGGACCAGCGGGGACGGGGTCAGCCCCACGTCCGACCGGCCACCTCCCGTCCCCCAGGACCAGCGGGGACGGGGTCAGCCCCACGTCCGACCGGCCACCTCCCGTCCCCCAGGACCAGCGGGGATGGGGTCAGCCCCACCCCCGACCGGCCTGCCCCAAGGAGCCCCCCACAGGAGTGCTGTACTGTCTCAGTCCCAGGGAGTGAGTCAGGGAGGGAAGTGGGGTCTAGAGCAGGGGGGCTGGGAGCCAGGACTCCTGAGTTCTCTCCCAGCTCTGGGAGGGGAGTGGGGTCTAGTGGTTAGAGCAGGGGGGGCTGGGAGCCAGGACTCTCGGGTTCTCCGCTGGTCTGGGCGGGCCGTGGGGAGGCTCCGTACCCTTTGTGTTCTCGCCCGCCCCCACCAGCAGCTGGTAGAAGATGTGGAAGGTTCTCTCGTCCTTGGCCTGGCGGATGGCGCGAGATTTCTCCAGCAGGTCTGAGCCCGGGGCTAAGGAAAGGGACGTGGGTCCTGGGACCAACCCCCCTCCCAGAGCCCCCCATCCCTCTCTTGGGCCAGAGAGGGGGATCACCCCCACACCCAGCCCCCCAGAGCCTCCCATACCTCAGGGAGGGGGATCACCCCCACACCCAGCTCTCCCACCTTGCTAGGGGCTATCTGCCCTGCCCACCCCCCTTCCCCACACCCAGCCCCCCAGAACCCCCCATACCTCAGGGCAGGGGAATCACCCCCACACCCATCTCCCACAGAGCCCTCCCATACCTCAAGGAGGGGGAATCACCCCCACACCCAGCCCTCCCACCTTGCTAGGGGCCATCTGCCCTGCCCACCCCCCTCCCATCCTGCCCCCCAGCCCAGAGGATACAGGTTTCTATATTGGCTCCAACAATGTAGCCAGCCACGTCAAAATTGATCCGGATGAATTTACCCTGGGCGGGGAGAAGATGCAATGGAATTGATGTGGGGGGGTCAAAGGATTCCTCTGCCCCCCAAGGCCCCCATACCCCGACCTGCCCCTTCCCCTGGGACCCCCACACCCCGGCCTGCCCCTCCCCTCTGGGCCCCCACCTGCCCCTCCCCCCCGGGAACCCCACCTGCCCCTTCCCCTCATCCCCCCCGAGCCCTGCCGTCCCCCCCAGCACTCACGAATCGGGAGGAGTTGTCGTTTTTCACCGTCTTGGCATTGCCGAAGGCCTCCAGGATGGGGTTGGCCTGAAGCAGCTGCCGCTCCAGCTCACCCTGCGGGAAGAGGGCCGGGGTCACGCCTGGGGGGCGCTGGGGGGCTTCCGGCTGCCCTACCCCCACCTCTCCCAGCAGGGGAGGCCATTATAAGGATGACACACACCCCCCCGCCCCCGAGATTTGGGGGGTTAACCACAGGAACCGCGGGGCTGGGAGCTACTCACATAGGAGACGGGGCTGGAGCTCTGTGGAGGGGTCACACGCACGTGAGACGGGGGGACAAAACACAAACAGAACCGGAGGGTTAGTCGGAGTGGCAACGAGGGAGGCGACGGAGCAGGACAAAACGAGGCGATAGTGACACAAACCAAGAACCAACAGCCCCGGCTCTAACCACCGGCCCCCACCCCCCTCCCCAAGTGCAGGAGAGAACCCAGGAGTCGTGGCTCCTGGCACTGGGGCAGATGTAAGAAAAAAGCCTTTGCCAAAGACAACCCCAAAAAATAACAAAAATCCAGCCAAAGAAGCAAAAGGCAACTCAATGAACCGCACCCCAAGGGGCGGGGCTATGGGTAGCCAATCAAAGGACAGGGATGGTTGCGGGCGGGCAGGCAGGTGATACAAGACACATCCACTTGCCAGATGCCTGGCCAGGTTTGGTGACTCCAGCTGGGGGCAGCAAGACAGGGGAGAGGGGAGGTTACTGCTGGAGGATGTGGGTATCCCACTGCACCCACCAATGGCCCCCTCCGGCCATGCTGCCAACGGTCAGAACACAGCTGCTTCTGGGGCACTAGGGCTGGTTATATGGGGACCCCTTGCCCGGTGCTGGAACACAGTCCCTCTGGGGTGGGGTGCAGGGGCTGGGTATACGGGACCCCTCACCCAGTGCTGGAACGTGGCCGCTCTGGAGTTGGTCATGGGCCCTGGTTATACGGGGACCCCTCACCCAGCACTGGGATGCGGCCTCTCTGGGGTGGAACCCTGGCGTCCCAACTCCCACCCTGTGATGTTATTGACAGAATCTGTAACCGCATAGATCACTCTTGCAACCAGTGTTATATATTTGCAGCAAATATTCTACAGAGGTTGTCGTGTGAGGTGTCTATGGAAAGGTTATGATTGGCCGGTTAAAATTATGCTTTCTGTAGTTGAAGGTATGAATATTGGCTCTACACTGTCTGCATTTTAGACTTATGCTCTGCTTCTGGGGAACACCCCAGACAAGTTGGTGTCACCTCTGCCTAGCCTGCCTGATGGCCCATTAAGGACCATCAGCTACACAACTGACCCATTGAGAGAAGGCAGACGCCTTGGGACCCAGCACAGCAGGCAGGGAGCCGCCTATGGACAGAACTCGGAGGGTTTTTCTTGCCTTGCGCCCCAACGCTTGTCTTTGGAACGAAGGAAGAGAGGCCACATGGCAAGAGACTATAAAAGGCTGATGCCTCATCTCCATCTGGTCTTCAGTCCTGCTTCTGACCTCTGGTGGAACTTGCTACAAACTGAAGCTCTGAACGAAGGACTGAAGGACCCATCCCACCTGTGGATGGACTCCAGGGACTTGATTTGAAGCTTCACTTTATGTATCACTGCTACAAGCCTGAACCAAGAACGTTGCCATCACTGGATGTCACCGATTCCACTTAACCAACTCTAGCTCTCATCGTCAGCTTTTTCCTTTTATGAATAAACCTTCAGATTTTAGATTCTAAAGGATTGGCAAGAGCGTGATTTGTGGGTAAGATCTGATTTGTATATTGACCGGGGTCTGGGGCTTGGTGCTTTGGGATCGAGAGAATCTTTTTTCTTTCACTGGGGTCTTGGTTTTCGTCCCCATAACGAGTGGCGCTGGTGGAGATACTGGGAAACTGGAGCGTCTAAGGGAATTGCTGGTGTGACTTGTGGTTAGCCAGTGGGGCAAACCCGAAGTCCGCTCTGGCTGGCTGGTTCGGTTTGCCTTGGTGTGCACAGAAACCCCAGCCCTGGGCTGTAACTGCCCTGCTCGAAGCAATTTGTTCTGAGTTGATACTCTCAGTTGGGTCCCGCCAGAACCAGCATCGTTACGCCCCCCCACCCTCTCAGCAGTGGATAGCTCTAACCCTCTCACTACGGCCCCAGACCCCCCCTTCCCATTGCCCCAGGGACCCTGGGGTAACACTCATGGCACGGACACAGCTCGGGGGGGGAGGAGGAGGGAGGCACATCAGGGTTGCGGGGAGCTGGCAGGGCCCAGACACAGGTGTTGGGGGGAGCAGTAGGTTTATATGGGCAGCTGGGGGGGGAAGGGACCCCAAACTGGCCAGGTGGGCATCTGAGCTGGCACCGGTGCTGAGGCCCAGTAGTACATGCCCACCCCCCACAGGGAGCACCCACCCAGCACCCATGGGTGCCCAGCGCCGGGCCAGCGCAGCTGGACTCTCACCGGGATGCTCTGCTCCTTGCGGGCCTTGTGGGAGGAGGCCACGTGCGCCAGGTACTGGATCACCTTCTTGGTGTTCTCCGTCTTCCCAGCGCCGGACTCGCCCCTGCAACAGCACCAGGGCTGCAGTGACGGGCCGGAGCCTCCCCACAGCAGCCACACAGGGCAGCACCACACACACAGCCCAGCAGGGGGCAGCGCTGGGTGTACACACACACACACACACACACACACACACACACAGCCCAGCAGGGGGCAGCGCTGGGTGTACACACACACACACACACAGCCCAGCAGAGGGCAGCGCTGGGTGTACACACACACACACACACACAGCCCAGCAGGGGGCAGCTCTGGGCGCACACACACACACACACACAGCCCAGCAGGGGGCAGCGCTGGGTGTACACACACACACACACACACACACACAGCCCAGCAGAGGGCAGCGCTGGGTGTATATATATACACACACACACACACAGCCCAGCAGGGGGCAGCGCTGGGTGTACACACACACACACAGCCCAGCAGGAGGCAGCTCTGGGCGCACACACACACACACAGCCCAGCAGGGGGCAGCGCTGGGTGTACACACACACACACACACACACAGTCCAGCAGAGGGCAGCGCTGGGTGTATATACACACACACTCACACACACAGCCCAGCAGAGGGCAGCGCTGGGTGTATATACACACACACACACACACACACACACAGCCCAGCAGAGGGCAGCGCTGGGTGTACACACACACACACAGCCCAGCAGGGGGCAGCGCTGGGTGTACACACACACACACACACACACACACAGCCCAGCAGGGGGCAGCGCTGGGTGTATACACACACACACACACACACACAGCCCAGCAGGGGGCAGCGCTGGGTGTATACACACACACACAGCCCAGCAGGGGGCAGCGCTGGGTGTACACACACACACACACACAGCCCAGCAGAGGGCAGCGCTGGGTGTATACACACACACACACACACAGCCCAGCAGAGGGCAGCGCTGGGTGTACACACACACACACACACACACACAGCCCAGCAGGGGGCAGCGCTGGGTGTACACACACACACACACACACACACAGCCCAGCAGGGGGCAGCGCTGGGTGTACACACACACACACACACACACACAGCCCAGCAGGGGGCAGCGCTGGGTATATACACACACACACACACACAGCCCAGCAGGGGGCAGCGCTGGGTGTACACACACACACACACATATGCCACCAGGGGGCAGCGCTGGGCGCACACACAGAGTTTGTGACACTTACGTGCACAGGATGGACTGATCCTCCCGGTCTGTTGGAAGAGACAGGGGGTGAGTGTGGTGCTGGGCACACCACCCAGCAGCGTCACCCCCCTCACCCGCAGCCCCCTCCTGAATGGGAGGTCACCCAGCTGGATGTAACAGCCCCTGCCCTTGCTGCCCCAGAACCCCCACTTCCCCACCCCACACAACCCCCAGCACAGACACACAGACACACACACACACACGTACACGGGGGCAGGGCTGGACACACACACATACACACAGAGCAGGGCCCAGCCCCCATCAGGACACACACACACAGCAGGGCCCAGGGCCCAGCAGGAGTGACTGACACACACACACACACACACACACAGCAGGGCCCAGCAGGAGTGACTCACACACACACACACAGAGCAGGGCCCACGCCCCAGCAGGAGTGACTGACAGTGACACACACACACACACACACCCTGCAGCATGCTGCGGTAGGCAGCCTCTGAGATGGCGTAGATGTGGGGCGGCATCTCATGTCGCTTCTTGCCCCGATACATCTCGACAATCTGCTCCGTGTAGATGGGCAGGTTCTTGTAGGGGTTGATGACCACACAGAACAGCCCTGAGTACGTCTGGGGGGCGCAGAGAGAGAGAGGGGGGAATCAACGGGGGAGGGCAGGGAGCCCGGACTCCTGGATTCTCCCCCCAGCACTGCTAGGATAGGGAAAATAATTTCCTAGTAGTTAATTCCCAAACAGGGCTGGGGCCTCATGGGGGGGGGGGGCAACACAGAGAAAAGGGGCCAAGAGCTAGGGCCGGGGGTGCCCCTGTTCGGTCCAGCTGGCCTGGATCCCCCTGGAGGTTGTTGGGGGGCAGGACCCTCTGCAAGGTCAAGAGATGGAGACAAGTCTGGGCTCCCTTTTGACCCCGGCCAGGGCCCACCTGATCCCTAACGGGTGCATGGAAAGGGGGGAAGGGGAGATCGGGGGATCTGACGGGGGGTTGTATCCCCACTCCCCTCCCAGAGCTGGGGAGAGAACCCAGGTGTCCTGGCTCCCAGCCCTAACATCTGCTGCGCCCATAGACTCAGGGTTTGTAATCACAGGCGGGGCCACGCACCAATTAAAATCCCAGCTAATTACAGAGCCGAGGGGCACTGGCCAGGCATGTCCCTGCCCCAGGCTACGAGAGGTGCCCAGCCCAGCGGGGGCAGATCCAAGCCCACCCAGGGGCACCACGGGAGACCTCAGGCGACTGAAGAACTTACATGGTCTAAACTCAGTGCTGGGAGCCAGGACGCCTGGGTTCCATCCCCGGCTCTGGGAGGGGAGTGGGGGCTAGTGATTAGAGCAGGGGGGCTGGAAGCCAGGACGCCTGGGTTCCATCCCCGGCTCTGGGAGGGGAGTGGGGGATAGTGATTAGAGCAGGGGGACTGGGAGCCAGGACTCCTGGATTCCAACCCCGGCTCTGGGAGGGGAGTGGGGGCTAGTGGTTAGAGCAGGGGGGGCGGTAACCAGGACTCCTGGGTTCTGCAGGGACAGGGTGTTTTCTTCCCTGAAGTACATTGGGGTTGGGGCTGTGTCCAGCTCCAGACCCATCCACGGAGCCCAGTGGTGGGTGACCAGCCCCAAATCCCCATGGAGGGAAGAGGGGGGCTGGATCCAGGTCGGGGGGGGGTGACCCTATCTCATGCTAAGCAGGGACAGGCATGTCCTGAGTAGGGAAGGGTGACAAGGCTGGGGTGACAGGCTGGGGTGAGGCCTGGGGGTGCCACGCTGCAGGGGGGCTCAGTGTGGGACAGGGCGGGGGCACCATGCTGAGGGAGACCTCACTGGGGGCGCTTTCCCCTCTGTGCCAACCGCCCCCCCGCCCCCCACTCCCCTGCAGGGCAGGACTCTCACCTGGCGCTGCGGCCCGCCCAGGTTCTCAGCAAACAAGTCGGGCCTGTCCTAGCCCTGGCACCATGCCAACCTGCCCCACACCCAGCCTGGCAGAAGGGGGGGCAGGGATCCAAGGCAACCTGCCCCTCCCCCCCCAGCCAGCCACCCCCTACCTCAGCTGCTGTGTCTTCTGCCCCCCCACACACTGTTGCATGCCCAACCCCATCTGCCCCCCGCACTTCCTACCTTCCCACTCTGACCCCAGCGCCCCACCACCACCACCGCCACATGGGCACGGCCCTGTCAGGGCATCGGGGCCAGCCCTGATGGCTAGTGCAGAGCGACTCCCACTAGGATCCCCGCCCCACAGCACAGCGCCCTGTGCTAAGCCCCCCCAGCATAGCGCCCCCTAGTGCCGCCCTGGGGGCAGTGCTGGGCCCACGGCTCCCATGGGGCAGGGCTGACTCTAACGGCTTCCCAGCCAAGCCCCTGGCTGTGCTCTGACCCCCGCCCCTCTTGTGAGCCAGCCCCATGGAATCCACCTGTCCCACCCTCCCCCCCCACCCCCAGCCCAGCCCTCCCTGCCCTGGGGCAAAGTACAGGCTGCTCCCTGCCTCCTCCAGCCCAGAGACGCGCGCCCAGCCCCACACCTGCCAGGACAGGACAGGGGCGGGGGGGCGACCCCTAGTGGGGACGCCAGCCAGTGCAGGCCGGCGCAGCCCCCAGCAGGCTCCAGGCGGGACCCTCCCTAGAGATGTCACCACCCGGCCCTGCGGCTTCCCCCAACCCCCATCTCTCCCAACCCCCATGACAACGGGGAGAGGGGGGGTTACATTTGGGACCCTTGGCTGCTTCGGGGTGGGGGAGGGGAAGGGACATGGGGCCATTCCATATCGGGGGTGCTGGGAATCCTTGGTTCGGTGGGAGTGGGGGTCTAGTGGGTTAGAGTAGGGTGGCCTGGGAGCCAGGACGCCTGGGTTCTCTCCCCAGCTCTGGGAGGGGCATGGGGTCTAGTGGTTAGAGTGGGGGGGCCAGGAGCCAGGACGCCTGGGTTCTCTCCCCAGCTCTGGGAGGGGAGTGGGGTCTGGTGGGTTAGAGTAGGGTGGCCTGGGAGCCAGGACGCCTGGGTTCTCTCCCCAGCTCTGGGAGGGGCGTGGGGTCTAGTGGTTAGAGTGGGGGGGGCCGGGAGCCAGGACGCCTGGGTTCTCTCCCCAGCTCTGGGAGGGGCATGGGGGGGTGGGCCTCCCGGACGCCGGGGTCCCGCACTCACGTAGATGAGGCCGGAGTAGTAGCGGTCCTTGAGGTTGTGCAGCACGGAGGCCTCGTTGAGGCAGGTCAGCTCGGCCATGTCCTCCACCTTGGAGAACTTCGGGGGGTTCATCTTCTGCACCTCGTGTTTGGGCACCAGCGCCTGGCGCCCGTTCTCCGCCAGCTCCACCAGCACCTCGTCGCCCCGCTCCTCCCGCAGGCCGGCCGCCTCGAAGCCATGCCGCTCCGAGGGCACCCACACCAGCCGCTTGGCCGTCCAGTCCGCCTGCGTGGCCGGGTTCCCCACCGAGTCCCGGTCCACGAAGAGGTAGCGCTCGGCGGCGTCCCGCTGAGCCACCCGTGCCGCCATGGCTGGAGACGGGGGAAGCCTGGGGGGACAAGGGCTGGGTCAGTGCCGCAGGGAGACCCTCCGCGAACGCACCGCCCCCCTGAGAGACCCCACGATAACAAACCAGCCCCGAGAGACCCTACAATAACACACTGGATACACACACCCCTGAGAGACCCCACGATAACAAACCAGCCCCGAGAGACCCTGCAACAACAAACCAGCCCCAAGAGACCCTGCAACAACACACTGGACACAACGGCCCCCTGAGAGACCCCACGATAACAAACCAGCCCCGAGAGACCCTACAATAACACACTGGACACACACACCCCCGAGAGACCCCACGATAACAAACCAGCCCTGTGAGAGACCCTACAATAACACACTGGACACACCACCCCCCTGAGAGACCCCACGATAACAAACCAGCCCCGAGAGACCCTGCAACAACACACTGGACACACCGGCCCCCTCAGAGACCCCACGATAGCAAACCAGCCCCGAGAGACCCTGCAACAACAAACCAGCCCCAAGAGACCCTGCAACAACACACTGGACACACCGGCCCCCTGAGAGACCCTGCAACAACAAACCAGCCCCGAGAGACCCTGCAACAACACACTGGACACACTGCCCCCCTGAGAGACCTCACGATAACAAACCAGCCCTGAGAAACCCTGCAATAACAAACCAGCCCCGAGAGACCCTGCAACAACACACTGGACACGCCATCCCACTGATAACAAACCAGCCCCGAGAGACCCTGCAATAACAAACCAGCCCCGAGAGACCCTACAATAACACACTGGACCTCACCACCCCCCTGAGAGACCCTACAATAACAAACCAGCCCCGAGAGACCCTGCAATAACACACCGGACCACGCCGCTCCCCCAAGAGACCCCCACGATAACAAACCAGTCCCAAGAGACCCTACAATAATGCACTGAACAACGCCGCCCCCCTGAGAGACCCTATGATAACAAACCAGCCCCCCAAGAGACCCTACAATAACAAAACCAGCCCCAAGACACCGGACAGCAACTGGACAATGCCACCCACCTGAGAGACCCCACGATAACAAACCAGCCCTGAGAGACCCCACGATAACAAACCAGCCCCGAGAAACCCTGCAACAACAAACCAGCCCCGAGAAACCCTGCAACAACACACTGGACCACGCTGCCCCCCCAAGAGACCCCACGATAACAAACCAGTCCCAAGAGACCCTACAATAATGCACTGAACAACGCTGCCCCCCTGAGAGACCCTATGATAACAAAACCAGCCCCAAGACCCTGAAAACGACAACCACCTGAACAAACAAACAGCTGAGAACCTACGATAACAAACAACGAGCTATAACAAACACAAGGAGCTAATAATCAAACAGCCACCCCCATGAGAGACCCTACAATAACAAACCAGTCCCAAGAGACCCTACAATAATGCACCAGACCACACCACCCCTCTGAGAGACCCTATGATAACAAACCAGCCCCGAGAGACCCAACAGTAACACACTGGACCACACTGTCCCCCTGAGAGACCCTACAATAATACACCAGAGCACACCACAGCAGGAAGACCTACAATAACAAACCCAAGAAGTCACAGAATGACCCTTCAATAACAAACCAGCCTGTGCAATCCTGAGAGGCTCTGCCAGACAGTGCCCCTCACTCCTGACCCACAGCTCCCTGCTGTCCCAGCCCTGGCCATTCCCCCCCAGCTCTGCCGGTGCCCTCACTCCTGACCGGCAGCCTTCCTTGTATTTGCCCGGGGAGGCCAGGCTGCGATGGGGGGAGCTGACCTGGGGTCACTACAGCCCAATTCCGTCCCCATGGCAACCAGACCCAGTGATTCCCGCCCCCCACCCCGCCCACTCTTTCTCATGCTATCTGGGGGCCTGGATGGCGGGGGAAGGCCCCCTGGCTCCCCCACACCTCAGCCCATTCCCCTCCCCCCACTCTCCATTTCCACAGCTAACCCTAGCCCTGCACTAGGGGCCTCCCCAGCTGCCCGCCCCTTCCCCCCCGGGAGGAAATAAGAAAATAAGCACCCATGGGTCTGGGAATTTAAAACTCTTGGGGGGGGGAAATTTCTCATTGTGATCTGTCCAGAACTGTTTGTTATTGTAGGGTCTTTCTGAACCACTGGGGGGGGGGGGCAATGGGGGAGAGGCACATGGTTTGTCACTGTGGGGATTCTGGGGAGCACTGGGGGGCATAGATGCAGGGTTTGTTATTGTAGGGTCTCTCGGGATGACTGGGGCTGTGTACGCTGGGTTGTTATTGAGCTTGAGTAGCTCTGGAGTGGGGGGAGCCCAGGGCTGGGCTAGCAGGGGGCTGCAGGTCGGGACTGAGGGGCATCGGCAGAGCTATGGGGTGAGCGGGGGCTGAATCAAGACTCCTGGGGTCTATCCCTGGCTCCAGGAGGGGGGTGGGGTCTAGTGGTTAGAATGGGAGGGGGGCTGGGAGCCAGGACTCCTGGGTTCTATCCCTGACTCCGGGAGGGGGGTAGAGTCTACTGGTTAGAATGGGAGGGGGGCTGGGAGCCAGGACTCCTGGGTTCTATCCCTGACTCCGGGAGGGGGGTGGGGTCTAGTGGTTAGAATGGGAGGGGGGCTGGGAGCCAGGACTCCTGGGTTCTATCCCTGACTCCGGGAGGGGGGTGGGAGTCTAGTGGTTAGAATGGGAGGGGGGCTGGGAGCCAGGACTCCTGGGTTCTATCCCTGGCTCCAGGAGGGGGGTGGGGTCTAGTGGTTAGAATGGGAGGGGGGCTGGGAGCCAGGACTCCTGGGTTCTATCCCTGACTCCGGGAGGGGGGTGGGGTCTAGTGGTTAGAATGGGAGGGGGGCTGGGAGCCAGGACTCCTGGGTTCTATCCCTGGCTCCAGGAGGGGGGTGGGGTCTAGTGGTTAGAATGGGAGGGGGGCTGGGAGCCAGGACTCCCGGGTTCTATCCCCAGCTCCAGGAGGGAGATGGGGGCTGGTGCTCAGAGCAGGGCGGGGGCTGCTGGGCTCTCTCCCGGCTCTGCCACTTCTCCTGTCCCTCAGTTGCTTCACGGGGGGGGGGCAGCAGGGGCAGCTGCGGGTGGGGACAGAGCTGCATTTCCCCATTCCTGCAGCCAGAAGAATCCTGCCCCCCCCCCCCCGGCCCCCGGCAGGACAAGCCCCAGCCTGCCTCTCCCCAAAGGTGTTTCACTCTTGTTGGATGCACACAGGAGGGGGAGGGGGTGGTGGCGGGCCCTGGCTCCAACCCCTGAAACCTGCCCTTCAGCTGGGGGGGGTTCACCCCAGCCACCCCCTGCCCCAGATGGGGGGACCTGCAAGCACCAACCAGCCTCGAATCCACCCCCAATCCCCGGGTGTGCCCCTCACCTGGCCCGGCCTGTGCAAGGGTCAATCCCGGCTTCTCAGACAGCAGCGCCCGGTGGAGCCGCCAGGCCGCGTCACTGAGGCAGGGAGGAGACAGGAGGGAACTGCCAACCCCAGAGGCTGGCATGGGGCAGCTCCTGGCACTGGGGAGGGGAGAGACCCAGCCCCGCCCCCGCTCTGAGCCACAAGATCCCACCCCTCTCCCCGTGTGGGGGGAGAGAACCCAGGCCCCCCCACACACTCTAACCGCGAGACCCCACCCCCCTCCCAGAGCTGGGAGAAAACTCAGGAGTCCCTGGCTGCTAGTGTGAGTCCTGAACACACCTGACTGATTCAGAGCCCATCACCACCAGAAACTGAAAATCCAGCTGTGGGGGGGCCCCAGGGCGGGGCTAGCAGCAGGCTGCAGGTCGGGAGTGAGGGGCACCGGCAGAGCTGTGGATGGGCGGGCAGGGGGCTGCGGGTTGGGAGTGAGGGGCACCGGCAGAGCTGTGGGGGGGCAGCAGGGGGCGCGGGTCGGGAGTGAGGGGCCCCGGCAGACCCAGGGCTGGGCAGCAGGGGTGCGGGTCGGGAGTGGGGGGGGCGTGGGGGGGAGGGGAGGGGGCTGCAGGTCGGGAGTGAGGGGCACCGGCAGAGCTGTGTGTGGGGGGCCCAGGGGGGCAGGGGGTGGGGTCGGGAGTGAGGGGGGCCCAGGGCGGGGCTAGCAGGGGGCTGCGGGTCGGGAGTGAGGGGCACCGGCAGAGCTGTGTGGGGGGCCCAGGGCTGGGCTAGCAGGGGGCTGCGGGTCGGGAGTGAGGGGCACCGGCAGAGCTGTGGGGGGGGCCAAGGGCTGGGCTAGCAGGGGGCTGCGGGTCGGGAGTGAGGGGCACCGGCAGAGCTGTGGGGGGGGCCAAGGGCTGGGCTAGCAGGGGGCTGCGGGTCGGGAGTGAGGGGCACCGGCAGAGCTGTGGGGGGGGCCAAGGGCTGGGCTAGCAGGGGGCTGCGGGTCGGGAGTGAGGGGCACCGGCAGAGCTGTGGGGGGGGCCCAGGGCAGGGCGGGGGGGGGGGGGTGGGGGGAGGGGCACCGGAGAGCTGTGGGGGGCCAGGGCTGGGGCTGCGGGTCGGGGAGTGAGGGGCACCGGCAGAGCTGTGGGGGGGGCCAAGGGCTGGGCTAGCAGTGGGCTGCGGGTCGGGAGTGAGGGGCACCGGCAGAGCTGTGGGGGGGGCCCAGGGCAGGGCTAGCAGGGGCTGCGGGTCGGGAGTGAGGGGCACTGGCAGCGCTGGGAGGGGGGGGTCACTTGCACCGCTGCATGGACGTGCCAATACTTTGTGTCTCGGCTGGTGTCCCGCCCGCCCGCAGGACAGGGCAGGGCAGGGCTCAGCTCTGTTCATTCCCTAACAAGGAGCGAAGAAGCAGGTGTGAACACCCCCTCACACCCTTTGGCCCAGACCCAAGGCAGGTGGATCTGGCAGCTCAGCAGGGCAGGGTGCAAATTCCAGAGTCACCTGCTCCAACCGCATCTGCCCAGGGCTGGGAGAGAACCCAGGTGTCCTAGCTCCCAACCCCCCGATCTAACCGCTAGACCCCACTCCCCTCCCAGAGCCGGGGAGAGAACCCTGACCCCAGTGATCGGCTGCGTTCCAGCCGTCCCAGCTGACACCCTGGCCCAGGGAAGGACCGGAACCTGGTCCAGCCCCCACTCTCCTGCCAGCTGTGCCCAGCCGGCCCGTTAATTAGCTCATCAATCAGCACACGGAGCGGGCATTGCTGGGCGTGCCGTGCAGGAGCCAGAGGCCCCGAGGTGCCTGCAACACCTGGGGAACCCCCTGCCACTGCGCTGCTGCCAAGTGGGGAAGCTGGCGAAGCGGGTTCTGGCCAGATCAGCACATGGAGGAGAGACGACACGGCTGGACCCACTGGACTGCCTCGGGGATGGATCAGCAGGGGGCGCTCTCCCCAGCAGGCAGGGCTGGCCCTGATGCCCCAGGGCGGCGCTAGGGGGCGCTGGACTGCAGGGAGCTGGGGGGGAGGGTTCAGCAGGGGGCGCTCTCCCCGGGCAGCCAGGGCTGGCCCCAATAGCCCAGAGGGGAATAATCTCTAGGAGACACACAAGCAGGTTTTGGCCATCATGACTGGTTCTCTCCCCAGCTCTGGGACAGGAGTGGGGTGTAGTGGTTAGAGCAGCGGGGCTGGGAGCCAGGACTCCTGGGTTCTCTCCCTGGCTCTGGCAAGGACAGGGCTCTGAGCCACCCATCGCGCCAGGGGTGAGGGGAGGGTGCTCTCAGCATAATTGTGGTCTGTGCTGTGGAATGCCAGGAATGCCTCTGAGACCCACAGGCCAGGCTGCATCCTCCCCCTGCTGCCCCCCCCCCCGTCCCCTCATGAAGCATCTGGCCGAGCGTCCCCACCCACACAGCTCAGCGGGCACCAGGCAGGGAGCCTGCCAAAGCCAGGGGAGATGTGCCGGTGGGCAGGAAGGGGGCTGGATACCCCGGTAGATGGGCCTATCAGGGTGTGGGGGGGAATCCATCTCCCTGTCCTGTCCTGCCCTAGGCCTCCCTCTACATGGGCAGTTATTGCCTGTGGGGGTTGATGGAGGTGCCCAGCTCTGGAAGGGGAGCGTGGTCTACTGGTTAGAGTAGGGGGGGGCTGGGTGCCAGGACGCCTGGGTTCTCTCCCCAGCTGTGGGAGGGGAGTGCGGGCTAGTGTTTAGAGAGGGGTGGGGCTGGCAGCCAGGACTCCTGGGTTCTCTCCCCAACTCTGGGAGGGGAGTGGGGGCTAGTGGTTAGAGCTGTGGGACTAACTCAAAGAGGGAAACATCCCCACAACCCAGTCCCCGCCCCCGGCCAATCTGAAAGATCAAAGTCCCCGAAGGAAAGGCCCGGTCCTAGAATGCCTGGCGGCCCCTCCTCTCCCTTCCTTCCCCCCAACCCTGCACTGTCACTGAAGAGGCAGCGGGAAGGGGGGGCGATCACGCCAGGCCGGCCCCGCAGGTGCCCGCCCATCTCGCCCCCCCCCGTAGCCTCCCCGATCCCGACGCGCCAGCTAATTGGTCTGGCAGCCTCCCCCTCGGGCTCGCAGCTCCTGCCAAGAACCCACGGGCCGGCCGCCTATTTTGGGTGTAAAAGGAGCCGGCCCAGATTCTCAGCACTGGGATATAAATACAGCCGGCCCGGCCCGGCGCCCAGACGCCCCGGTGCCGGGGACCCTCCCATCCCCACCCTCCTCCCTTTCCACCGGACGGGGGCAGTTCGAAATCAGCGGCTGGCGACGATTCCCGTCCCCACGGCGGGCTCAGAGCCTAACCCGGTGCTTACGGCTGCAGCGAGCCAGGCCTGGCCTCGGCGCCGACTGGTGCCGGCAAACCGGGGCAGGGCGCGAATTCGCTCCGGTGCAACTCTCGCTAGGGTGCCGGGCGGTTCTGCGGGCGGAGCGGGGCCTGTTCTAGGCAAGTGTCCTGCAAGATCGAGAACCGTGGGGACTTCTCTCCCGGTACAAAAGGGGCCGTACCCCGGGGGTCGGGGCTATTCCAGCAGCTAGACCCCCCCCCGCCAGCACTTTTAGCGCAGGATAACAGGCCCCCCCTCCAGCTCAGCTGGGCTGGGCTAGGCTGCCGTGAGCCAGCAACGCGGGTATCCAAAGCCACACAAAATACCGGCGAGAGCTCGGCTCACACGTAAACCTCCGGACACCCGCCGCCGCTAGAAACCAGCCCCCGTCCGGGGCCCAGCGAGACAAGGACCGAGGTCTTGCCAGTCGCCAGCGTTGCTCAGCAGGCGGCGAGGGGGCAGAGCTGCCGCATCCCGGACTTTGCTCCGATGGAAAGCGAAGCGTAGGGGCGTCTGTTCCCCAGCGGCGCAAACCTGCCTCAGTCCCCCCAGCGGAGCGGCACCAAAAAGCCTTCCCCAGCGGCCGCGCCGGGGGAGCGTCGTGCCCGGTTCCGAGCCGCTTTGGCCAGCGTGCGCCAGGGGGAAATTCCAGCCCCTCTCGCCCCGAACAGACCCCGCTTTGGGGGCTCAAGGCGCCCGCCCGGCCTGGTTCCTCTCCCCCGAATGGCTCCAGATGGCAGGCTCTTTGCCCCGGGCGTGCGAGCAAGACACCGACCCGCCGGAGAGCGGGGTTTCGTTCCCCACCCCACCCGCCCCGCTTCGGCAGAGGATCGCGCCCGCCCGGGAAAGGGAATCGTGTCATGTCACTGCACAGCCCCTCTGCAAAGAAACAAACCGAACTCGGCCTTGCCCCAGGCTGGCCCCCGGGCTCGGACAAGGGGACCCCAGGCTGGCAATCTGCTGAGCATATGGGGGCCCCTGGGGCCGGATAATGGGACCCGCCGCTGCGGATAACAGGACGCCCGGCCTGGCTCCCTGCTGCAGATAACGGGATCTCGGAGGCCAGATAACGGGACCCCCGGGCCAGCCCCCTGCTGCGGATAACGGGACCCCTGGGACCAGATAACGGGACCCCTGGGCTGGCAACACGCTGCGGATAACGGGACCTCTGGGCCGGCTCCCTGCTGCAGATAACGAGACCCCTGGGCCAGCCCCATGCTGCAGATAACGGGACCCCTGGGCTGGCCCCCTGCTGGGGCTAACGGGACCCCCAAGCTGGCAACATGCTGCGGATAACGGGCCCCCCAAGTCGGATCCGGCGCCCGCCTGCGCTGGGGTTACCTGAGCAGGGCCGGAGGAAGGTGTCCGGGCCGGGGAGGTGTTGGCCGCGGAGGGGCGCAGCTCTCACGGGCTATTGACAAGGCCGAGCTGTGCTCACTGGCCCGGAGAGGCAGCCGGGTGATTATGCAAATTTATGTAAATGTCTGCAATTAGATTATTGCATTTTTGGAAGCATCCAGGCCCAAGCCCCCCACCCGCCAGCCGGGTGCCCCCCGGGACAGCGGGGGAAGGGGAAAAGCCAGGCCCCCCTGACCCCCCCACATGAGCCCAGGTGCTGCTGGTCCAGCGGCCAAGGAGCTACTGAGCTGCCCCAGGCTGGGGGGAGGTGTCCCCGTGCGCTGGCCCCGCCCACTCCTGAGGCAGCCCACCAATGGCAGGGGAATGGGAACCCACAGCAGCCATGGGATAGGTAAGTGGGGGAACGCAGACCACGCCCCCTATAGGATGGGCGGGAGGTGACCGTGAGTGGCAAGGACTGTGGCCAATCGGCAGAGGGGACAGGCAGAGAGGGGTGGCGCGAATGGAAGCTGAATGGGGCGCTTTGTGTGAAGCTGGGGGGGAGGGGGGATGGTGGGATCAATGGGGCCCATTGTCTGGGACCCAGAGTGTGGGGGCAGATAGTCATTGGGCCAGCAAAGTGCCCCTTCCCACTGCAGGTGCGGAACCCAGGAGTCCTGGCTCTCAGCCCCCCCTGCTCTACCCAATAGACCCCGCTCCCCTCCCAGAGCCAGGGAGAGAACCCAGGAGTCCTAGCTCCTACCCCCACTCCCGCTCCCCCTCCAACCACTAGACCCCACTCCCCTATCAGAGCCAGGGAGAGAACCCAGGAGTCTTGGCTCCTAGCCCCTCCCCACAACCACCAGTCACTGCTCCCCTCCCAGAGATGGGGAGAGAACCCAGGAGTCCTGGCTCCCAGCTCCATACACGCCAACCACTATCCCTCACTCCCCTCCCAGAGCTGGAGGATAGAACCCAGGAGTCCTGGCTCCCAGCCCCCCAACCACCCCCGCTCTAACCACACACCACTCCCCTCCCACAGCTGGGAACAGGACCCCAATCTCAGCCTCTCTGTGCCTGGGCCCACCCCTGCAGAGGTCCCAAGCAGCTGCCAGGCTCACCCTCACCAGGCCGGCTCACTCACCCCCTACTGCCCAGCCCCCTGGGCCGGCTCGCTCACCCCCACTGCCCAGCCTGGCAGCTGTAGGTTGCCCTGACCTCTTGTGGCACGAGCTGCCCAGGGGCTGGAGCTGGCTGCTGCCAGGCTGGGGTGGTTCCTCCGCCTCGCCGACACAGGCCTGCCTGCAATGACACAGCACCAGCTGCTGGGCTGCGGGAGACCGAGCCCTCCGGAGCCAAGCACCAAGCCTGGGGATTCAGTGGATTTGGCTGGCAGGAGGAGCCGGCCTGCCCCGCACCCCCCGCACTCCCGGCCCAGTCACTCTGTGCCACCCACACCACCCACACAGCCCCCTGCTGTCGCTCACGCTCGATCCCCAGCATCGGGAGGGAACCCGTTAGTGTTGGCCTGCGATAACGACCCTCAGGGCTGGGGTCTTCCCATGCCACCAAGAGGGGACACACCCTGCTGCCAGGCTCAGGGGGGCCATGGCAAAACTGGGGCTACATTATAAGCTCCCTCCCACCCGTTGTCCAGTTACACTGAGCGATCATTGCTTTGTGTGTGTCCAGGGCAGCGCCCGGCGCGACGGGGCCCCAATCTCAGCGACTCTGTGTCTGGGTAGTGCCTGGCCCGACAGGGCCCCAATTTCGGTGACTCTGTGTCTGGGTAGCGTCCAGTGTGATGCTGTACCCACACACGCCTCTGCCCACACCGTACCCACAATCCCACGCTGCATTGTGATGTCACCCTCACCCCGAGGATTCTCCCTGGTGCCCGGCGCATTGGGGCTGAGAACGGGCAGAACTTGTCACACCGGGCTGCGCCATGGTGCTCCTGGCTCTCCTCATGCTGGGGGCCTGGCTGGCGGTGGGTGCCGGGGGCTGCCTGCAGTGCGACCGGCAGATCCGCAGCACCCTGGAATCGCTCCGCACCAGCCTGGTGCCCCGGCAGATCCGCGACAGCCGCCTGCAGGCGAGGGCCCAGGCCCTGCTGCGCGGCATGGAGGGCGGGTTCTTCCGCCACTACGCCACCAGCCAGTTTGCGGGCACGGCCGGTATGGGGCACAGCCCAGAGACCTCCAGGGGGCACGACTAGGGGTATCCAGGGGTCACAGCCCACGGGTATCTAGCGGGCACGGTCTGGGGAAGGACTCTGCAAGGATAGGGGGAGTCATAGGGCAGAAGGGATGAGGTTGAATCCACCAACGCTCCACTCTCCCCTCTGTACCCAACACCCCCTCACACACACACCCACTCTGCCCTGGCAGTCAGGGCTGGCCCCAGGGCAGCACTAGGGGGCGCTGTGCTGCAGGGGGCAGGATGAGGGGCAGGCTCCCCACTCCGATGTTTTCTCCCCCTCAGCTTTGAGCAGCATCAACGCCCTGATCCACCGCGTGAGGCTGACGGCAGCTGGCCTGGAACGAAGCGCCCTAACAGGTGACAGCCCCGCGCCCTACAGTGCCACCAGCACCCCACAGTCCTGCACCCCACAGCACCACCAGTGCCAAGCCCCACAGAACCCCACAGTCCCGCACCCCACAGCAACACACAGCTCTGTGACCTCAGCACCCCACAGAGGCCCACAGCCCCACGCCCCCCACAGTGCCCCACGCCCCCAGCACCCCACAGCCCTGCACCCCACTAGCCCCGCGCCCCCAGCACCCCACACTGCCCCCTGCTGAGACAGGCAAGGCTGGGATAGCTGGGAGCATCCCCTCAGAGCCAGCACCCCCCCCCCGGTCCCCACAGCGCCCCCCCGCCACCAGAGTCACTCCCCCATCTGTCCCCAGACCAGGCCCTGCTGGACGCGCTGGTCGCTTACAGGCGTAGAACGACCATGGAGCTGAAATCGGCTCTGAAGGAGCATCAGGCAAAAGGTACCAGCTCCTGGGGGAGGCTCTGTCCCTCTGCCCTGAGCCCCTCCCCCTTCCTCCAATTCCCCCCCCCGAATCTCCTGGTTCTGCAGGCCCTTCAGTCACAGTCTGGGGCTATGATCGGTTTCTGTCTCTGTCTCTCCCCAGCTTGTAACCCCAAAACCTGTGGTAAGTCAACTTTCCATCGCTGGTCAGGGAACGGGGCAGGGAGCCTGTCCCCCTGGGGGGGGCCACCCCGATCCGGCCCCAGGGGGAGGAACTGGCTGGCTCAGGGGGGGCAGGGAATGGGGCAGGTGTCAGTGGGGGGCGGGGGCTGGCTGGGGGCCTGCCCAGGGGTTTCACTTTTTCCCCCTTCCCAGGCTGGCTCTACTATGACGTCTTCGACTGCACCCATTGCAGGAAGGCCAAAGCCGTGTGTTTGAAGCAGCACCACTGTCTTGGTAGGGAGGGTGTCAGGGGGCAGAGGGGTGGGGGGGGCAGGGAGAGGTCAGGGGGGCCATGGGCAGATGAGCATGACATCCAGCGGGCCGTGGATTGCAGGGTCGGGGAGGGGGGGCATGGGGGCTCACACAGGGCCATGGGGTGCAGGGTCAGGGAGGGGCAGGCACCCAAGTCGGGCGGGTTTCGTGACTGGGTCAGCGCTGGGGGGCGCAGACAGCAGGCATGCGGGGGGTACTTGGGAGGGGCCTTCAGCTCTGTCAGCTGCTAACTCCCCTCCCCAACACAGTGGACTCCCAGGCCCGGCTCTCCCTCCGGTACCGGCCCCCAGCCCCCGGCCCAGCCATCGCCCGGACCGGTGTCTCCGTGGTGCTGTGCATGGGTGCCCTGCTCTTCCTGGCACTGAGCGTCGCGTGAGTGTGAGAGGAACCCTCCTCCCCCCCACCAGAGCCAGCCGCATCCCCGAGACCTCCCTGAGCCGGCCGGCCGCATCCCCCGTGCCCCCCACCCCGAACCAGCCGGCCGGCCGCAACCCCCCTGCACCCCCCCCAGAGCCGGCCGGCCGCATCACCCTCTGCCCCCCAGAGCCAGCCGCATCCCTTGCGCCACCCGCCAGATCCAGCCGCATCCCCCTTTGCCCCCCAGAGCCGCCTGCATCCCCTGCGCCCTCCCCCAGAGCCAGCCACATCCCCTGCCCCTTCCCCCAGAGCCGGCCAGCCGCATCCCCCTTTGCCCCCAGAGCCACCTGCATACCCCGTGCGCCCCCCCCTCCCCAAAATCCGGCCACATCGCCCATGACGCCCCCCAGAGCCGGCCACATCCCCCGTACTCCCCCAGAGCTGCCTGCAATCCACCCCCTGAGCCAGCAGCATCCCCCTTTGCCCCCCCGAGCCGGCCGCATCCCCCGCAACCCTCCCCCAGAGCCGGCCGCATCCCCCGCAAGCATTGGGTCGCTGTCCAGGCCCGTCTGACTCTGTCTCTCACCCCCCAGGGCTGTCACCTACTGGAGGAACCAGCAGTCCCTGAGGCAGTAGGACCCACATTCCCCACACACGCCCCCCGTCCCAGCAGCAGGCTGGGGACGGGGCTGGACAGATGCTGGAGCCGCCATGGTGGAGATCATAGACAGGGGCGCTAGCTCCGGCTGTCAGCCCCCAGTCCCTCAGATCTCAGATCCCCTCCCACCCCCGCTCCACTCCAGCTGGAAATTAAACACAGACCACAAGGTTTTGAGTCCTGGCTCCCAGCCCCCCCAGCCACTAGACCCCACTCCCCTCACAGAGCCGGAGAGAGGAGCCAGGAGTCCTGGCTCCTAGCCACCCTGCTCTAACCACTAGACCCCAGTCCCAGTGAGGAATCTATGTACAAACGACACGAGTATTTTATTTCCAGGCTTACACTGGGGAAGCCATGGGGCCTGGCATGCCCAGGGGGGGTGAGGGGTTGGGTCCTGCTGCCCCCGCCTTCCTCCCCAGCTGGGCTGGGGGGTCCGGATCCCGCTGCCCCTTTCTCAATCCCTCACCTGGCTAGCACTCCAACCACCTGCCCCGTCTGGCCCAGGCCCTGTCCTCCAGCTACCTGCGGTGTCGGTAGCACACACAGTACCTAGGGGAGAGTGGCTGTTAGGGTCTGCCTTCTGCCCATGCCCCCCCGGACTCCTGGGTTCTATCCCTGGCTCTGGAAGGGGAGTGGGGTCTAGTGGTTAGAGCAGGGGGGACTGGGAACCAGGACTCCTGGGTTCCATCCCCAATTCAGATTCCCCCCAAGTGCTGGGTGGGGTCACCCCACTTTCAGTATCTGTGGTGAGCCCTGAGGGGTAGAGGCCCCCTGAATCTGCCTCAGTTGGGGGGCAATCCCAGGTTTTGGGGTGCATGCGGATGGGGGCAGGATGCCGAGGGGGCAAAGGGGGGGGAATATGGGAGTTGGGCATCAGAGGCAGGGAATGTGGGGTACCCAGGGCAATCCCCCCATCCTGAGCCCCCAAGTCTGCCTCTCCATCCCAGCTCCCCAAGTCCAGGGAGGGCACTCACAGCAGGGCGGTCGAGGCCAGCAGCACAGATTGGCAGACCAGGAAGAGATAGAGGGTGATTTCCTTCCTCTCTGCGTCCCGCGGGTCCTCCTCTGGGGACAGAGAGGGGGTGAGCCCTGAGCATGCCCCACAGCCCCCCACACCTCCACCCCATGGACCAGCAGCCCCCTGATTCACCCCACAGCCCCCAACCCCCAGTACCCCACACCACCTGCTAAGCCCCCCCTTCACCCCACTGCCCATCAGCCCCCCCTTCACCCCACATCCCTTGCTGTCCGCCCCCACTGCCCAGCCCCCCGCCCCGAACCCCCGGCAGCAGCTACCTCCGCAGAGCTCCCCGTCGAAGCACTGGGCGCTGATGCGAAGGCAGGTCCAGCAGTCGAGAACTGGCCCCTCCGTAACCGCTGGGATGGGAAAAGGAGGGGGACCAGGTCAGGGACCCATGGGGAGACCCCGCCCTGCCCTCCAGGGGATGCCAGCTCCCACCCGGCCCCAGGGCAGGGCCTGGCTGGCTCAGGGGGCAGGGAATGGAGCCCAGGGCCTTTCCCCTCTAGGGGGTGCCAGCTCCCATCTAGCCCCAGGGGGCAGGGAAAGGGGCAGGGGGTGGCCACACTCACTGCAGTCCTCGGAGCAGGCTGTGGGGGAAGCACAGACAGACACAGCGTTAGAGCCCCACTCCCATGGGGCACTCCCTGCCCCCCACACCCCTCAGAACTCTCCACCCACCCAGAGGGCCCTACCCTGATCTCAGGGACCCTGAACTGAGATCTCCCCGCTCCCCCCCCAATGCTACTTGCATCCCATGGGGCTGGAAACAGGGGGCCCCTGGCTGGCCCATGGGGTGCGGGGGGGCAGCCCATCTCCAGGGGCACTTACCCAAGTCAGCGAAGCTCTCCAGGGTCTCTCGGAGGCGGGTTCGCAGGGAGTCGCGGTGCTGGGCCAGCGTCAGCTGCAGCAGGTGAACCCCTGGGGGACAGACGGACATTTCTGGGGAGAAGCCAGCCCTACACACACCAACACCAGCTGAGATGGGAGGCACCTGTGACGTGGTGCACCTCAGCTCCGGAGACCCCCAGCCCCACTGCCGCCCCCCACCTCCCCGCCACTGCCGGCTCCTGCCCAGCGTCCCTGCCCCCCGGAACCTCCAGCCCTGCCCCTCCCCACAGCCTGGGCCCCTCTCAGCCCCCCAGATCTAACCCCCCCACACACACGCTCACCTTTCCAAGGCGTCTCCTTGAGAGCCCTCAGCCAGCTGGTCAGAGCAGCTTTCACAGCCAGCACCCCGCGGACATCTGTACAGGGAATCAAGGGGTTGGGGGAGCGCTCTCTGCCCCCCAGCAGCTCCGCCGGTGCCCCTCACTCCCGACCCGCAGTCCCTGCTAGCCCGGCCCTGGGCTCCCCGCCCAGCCCTGATGGTGCCCCTCGCTCCCGACCCGCAGCCCCTGCTAGCCCAGCCCTGTGCCCCCCGCAGCTCTGCTGGTGCCGCTCACTCCTGACCCGCAGCCCCCTGCTGTCCCAGCCCAGGTGCCCCAGTGGGAGGGGCCGCGCACCCAGCACCCGGTGGTGTTTCTCTGGCAGGTGGGTGCTGTAGAGGCGCTCAAAGGCCTGGACTTGGCGCTGAATTAGGGCATCCCGGTCGGGCACCTCAGAGGGTACCACCTCCCGCAGCAGCACCCCCAGCCCCCGCAGGAAGGGCCGGTCACAGTGCAGGCAACCACCCGCCCCCCAGGGGCACAGCAGGAGGAGGAGTAGGAGGGAGCAGGACATGCCCACAGATCCCCGGCCCTGCTGTGACCTCATCACCCAGGCAACATCACAGAGCCACAGGGGCAGAGTATTCCCTGGGTGGGGAGGAAATGATGTCAGAGGCAGAAGAAGGGGTTAAAAGGAGTTGGTGGCAGCACAGGAAATGATGTCACAAACAGATGTGGGATCTAATGAGGAGTGGGTGTAGAACAGGAAGTGATGTCGGAGGCAGAGGATAGGGCTGAAGAAGAATTGACGGCAATCAGGAAGTGATGTCGGAGGCAGAACAGGAAGTGATCTTTGCAGCAGAAGGGGGCTGCGAAAGGATTAGAGACAGAACAGGAAGTGATGTTGGAAGCAGAAAGGGGGCCCAGAGGTGGACTGAGGCAGAACGGGGAGTGATGCAGGATTGCCGACCCTTGACCTTGATCACCATCCTGGGATTTTGGTCCCCCCTGCGCCAGGAGTTGCCCTGTTCCCGCGGGCGCCGGACCCCAGCCCTGGCCCCGGGGCCGCAGGAGGAAGGGCTGGGTTGAGACACAAGCCAGTGCCAGGGAGCTGGCTGGAGAAGTCGTTCAAACTCTCCCACGCTCGTCAACCCACTGGCGAGGGGCCCATCTCGGGGGGCGGGCCCCAGGGCGAAGCCCGGAGAGCTCAGCGCCTCCGTGAAAAGCTTGGCTAGCAGCGGCCTGGGCGGCTGCCTGAGCGTGACGGGGCAAGTGCGGCCACTGAGCACGTCGGGGAAACTGAGGCACGCGTGGGCTTTGTAAAACCACTACCGAAAATGCCCCCCCCCCTTGGCCAGGGGAGACCCGAGGCGACCTGGGATGTGACGTCAGCGGCAGAAGAGGAAGTGATGTCAGGCGCCGAAGAGGGGGCGGCCGAGGCCGTGCGGCAGAGCCGGAAGTGACGTCAGAGGCAGCCGCGGCCCGAGGCAGCGCGGCGGTTGCCGGGGCGATGCTGGCGCTGGCGCTGCTGGCGCTGCCCCTGCTGGCCCCGGGCGCCGCCCCCTGCCTGCGCTGCTGGCCCGACGCCGCCCGCCACGTCCGCTACGACGTGCGGCTGCTGCTGGGGGCGGCGCGGCCCGGGGCGGCCGCGGGGCTGGAGGGGGGGCTCAGCGCGCTCCTCTTGGGGGGGGACCCCGGCGTCCGGATCATGGGTGAGGGGCGGGGCGTGGGACCCCCCGCAGCCCCCCCAGCGCCGCCCGCGCTGCGACCCCGCGCTGCCCCCCACGGAGACCGCTTCCGCCGACTCCCCACGGGGACCCCTGCTGAGCCCCCCGGCTTCCCCCTAACAGCTTGTGGCGAGCCCTCCCCCTCACGACTCCCCTAGCTCCGCCCCTTCCCCGCCCCCTGCTGAGCCCCCCCCGCCCCTTCCCCGCAGCCCCCTGCGCGCCCCCGCAGCCCGGCGCCCCCCGCTCCGCGCCCCCCGTGCGCCCCCTGCTGAGCCCCCCGCCCCTCCCCGCAGCCCCCTGCGCGCCCCCGCAGCCGGCGCCCCCGCCCGCGCCCCCGTGCGCCCCCTGCTGAGCCCCCCCCGCCCCTTCCCCGCAGCCCCTGCGGCCCCGCAGCCCGGCGCCCCCGCTCCGCGCCCCCGTGCGCCCCTGCTGAGCCGCCCCGCCCCCGCAGCCCGGCGCCCCCGCTCCGCCCAACGTGCGCCCCCTGCTGAGCCCCCCTCGCCCCGCTCCCCGCAGCCCGGCGCCCCTTATTAGCCCCCCTCGCCCCGCTCCCCGCAGCCCCCGCGCGCCCCCGCAGCCCGGCCCCCCGCCCGCGCCCCCCGTGCGCCCCCTGCGACCCCCCGCCCCGCTCCCCGCAGCCCGGCGCCCCCCGCTCCGCGCCCCCCGTGCGCCCCCTGCTGAGCCCCCCCGCCCCGCTCCCCGCAGCCCGGCGCCCCCCGCTCCGCGCCCAACGTGCGCCCCCTGCTGAGCCCCCTCGCCCCGCTCCCGCAGCCAGGGCCCCGCGCCCCCGCAGCCCGGCGCCCCGCGCCCCCCGTGCGCCCCTGCTGAGCCCCCCCGCCCCGCTCCCCGCAGCCCGGCGCCCCCGCTCCGCGCCCCCGTGCGCCCCTGCTGAGCCCCCTCGCCCCGCTCCCCGCAGCCCGGCGCCCCTGCTGAGCCCCCTCGCCCCGCTCCCCGCAGCCCGGCGCCCCGCGCGCCCCGCAGCCCGGCGCCCCCCGCTCCGCGCCCCCCGTGCGCCCCCTGCTGAGCCCCCCCTCGCCCCGCTCCCCGCAGCCCGGCGCCCCCTGCTGAGCCCCCCCTCGCCCCGCTCCCCGCAGCCCGGCGCCCCCTGCTGAGCCCCCGCTCCGCGCCCCCCGTGCGCCCCCTGTGGGCCCCGCTCCCCGCAGCCCAGCGCCCCCTGCGGGCCCCCTCGCCCTGCTCCCCGCAGCCCAGCGCCCCCTTGAGTCAGGACAAGGGACGTGGTGGGTGCTGCAGGGGTTGACGGGCAACAAACCTCTCCTCTGTACGGCCACAGAGCGGGAGCGCCTGGAGCGAGAAGCCGGGAAGCTCTTCTATCGCCTGGACCAGATCATCACCCGCAACCGGCAGGGTGAGCGCCGGGGCCGCCAGCCAGGGGCCCAGCCCCTCCTCCGCCTGCCCTGTCTGCCCCGGCCTGAGGGCTTGCCTTCCCCTCCCAGAGCTGGGGAGAGAACCCAGGAGTCCTGGCTCCCACCCCCCGGAGTAACTAAGGGATGACAGAAGTTGGGACTTTTGCCCTTTTTGATCTGAGCCATTAGTCGAAATTCAGGGTCTTGTGGCCCGTTGCCAATCAGAGAAGATACTGAGCCCGAGTCTAAGGCCAGCGGGAACGGTCAGATCATCTGGCCGGTTCGCCCCACTGGCTAGCACAGGCCAGTGCCCTGCCCCCAAGCACTGAATTAGACCAAATTGGGGCTGGAAGTGCAGTCAGGTAACTTTGGGCCGATCCCCTTTCGTCAGTCACATCCTGTCCCCCTTGCAACTCGAGCACCAGCCAGGGAGGGAGAAGGTCCCGTGGCCCCTGAACACCACAGGAGATGGGCTCTTTGCTCACAATCCCATGCCTCCTCCCTCACAGCCCTGTGCCTAAAAGCTCTCCTGGGTGATTTGTTCTCTCACGCGCCTGGGTCTCTGTTGGGGGCTTCGTTGTTGCCTTTGCCCGCTTCTCTTTCCCTCTCCCCTAACATATGACCCAGCCCAGCCCCAGCAATGGCCTTCCCGGGGCCACAGGGCAGACCCCACCGCCAGGACAGGGGAGGAGGGTTCCCATTACTGGAGGGACTCCACCTCCCTGTGGGACGTCGCTGGAGGCCATCTCCTAGCTGCGTCTACCCCAGGGGCTCGGTCGGCCCAGCCTCGGCACACACAGGGGATGGGGGGAGCGACGTCGCCCTGAGTTTTAACCATGGCCTGCGCTTGAGTGGCCTCGTAGGAGTGGGTCAGCTCCGGGCCGAGCACGGTGCTTCCTTTCCAGCTGTGCACAGGGGCCGGCCCTGGCTCAAATAAGGCGTGTGACACCCAGCACCCCCCACCCCCAACTCCTCCCCTCCCCCGCTCCTGCCTGCAGATCCAGAGCGCCTGATGAAGGAGGCAGCGCTTGAAAAGCAGAACTTCACCCACCGCCTGAAAGCAGCGTCGGCAGCCATCCGGCAGCAAGGTACCCGCCCACTGCCCAAGCCAGTGCCCCTCACTCCTGACCCACAGCCTCTGCTAGCCCAGCCCCGGGCTCCCCCCAGCTCCGCCGGTGCCCGTCACTCCCGACCCGCAGCCTCTGCTAGCCCGACCCCGGGCTCCCCCCATCTCCACCGGTGCCCCTCACTCCCGACCCACAGCCCTGGCTAGCCCAGCCCCGCCAGTGCCCCTCACTCCTGGGTTCTCTGCCCGCTCTGGGAGGAGGGTGGGATCTATTGGTTAGAGCAGGGAAGCTGGGAGCCAGGACTCTTGGGTTCTCTCCCTGGCTCCGGATTCCTGGGTTCCATCCTGTGGGGGGCGGGGCAGAGGGCACGAGGGAGCTGGATTAGGGGTCAGGGCCGTTCTGCCTGCTCTGATCCGTGTCTCTCTCTCCGCAGTGTGCAGCGCGTCCTGTGGTGAGTCCGGCCGGCGGCTGCCTCCTGGGGGGGTGGGCAGCTGCAGCCCCTGGAGCCCAAACCCACCACTCGTGCCCTGGGCCAGCTGCCAAGTGGGGCCGGATCCACCCCCCAATGCTGGCCCCTGGGGAGGGGCCCCCAGGAATGCCCTCTGGGGGCATCTCTCTAATGGGGTCCCCCCCCAACAGGCAGGCCTGAGCCCTTCGATTTGTCTGAGTGCGACAGCTGTCAACGCCTCCAAGCTCGGTGCAGGGACCAGAGGGTCTGCGCAGGTAACCCCCAACACCCCCAACCCCCTGAACCCCAAACCCCCACACATCCCAGCCCCCGAACCCTGACATTCCCCCCATGCCCTGCACTCCCCATGGCCCCCAAACCCCAACACCCCCCAGGCCCCTATACCCCTCAAAGTTCCCCTGAACTCTGGAACCTCCCCAAATCCTCCCACAGCTCCCCCAAAACCCCAGCCCCCTGCCCCAACCCTTCCCTACACCCCCAGCTCCAAACCCCAACACCCCCAAAATTCCCCTGAACCCCAGCATCCTCCACAGCCTCCTGAACTCCCCCAACCCTTTTTCCAGTCTCCCCCCCCACACCCTGTTCACCCTCTAGTACCCCCCACAGCCTCTTATAGTTCAATCTCCCCACAGCCCCCCTGAACTCCCCCCACAACCTCCCAAACCTCAGCACCCCCTACCCCCCTGAATTCTCCCCAGCCTCCCCATTACCCTCCAGTGCCCCCCATGGCCTCCCAAACCCCCCAACCCCCTTTTTGCCTCCAATTCCCACCCCACACCTGGCCAGGCACCCCAACTCCTGCCCCCTCTTTCCCCCCAGGCGCTGCTGTGATCCTGGCTGTGGGGCTGAGCCTGGTGGGACTGGTGCTGGGAGCCGCAGTGGGGTGAGTGGGGATCAGACAGAGGCGGGGGGCGGAGAGGGAAGTGGGACCCAGGCGTCCTGGGGAAAGGGACTGGAGATGGGCCCTGATCCAACCCTAAGGCTGGGGGCTGGTGGAGAGGGGGGTGGGGAATGGGGCCACTCCCCTCTAAGGGGCGCTGGCTCCAGTCTGGGTGGGGGCTCGCTGGCTGTGGGAGGTGGGATGGGGCCACTCCCCTCCAAGGGGGGCTGGCTTCTGTCTGGAGGGGAAGGGGGCTGGCTGGGAGGCACCAGCCTGAGACCCCTGGCCCCGGGACAGGGCCTTCCTTTGTTACAGGAGGCGAGCAAGGCTGGCGGGCGGCACAGAGGCCGAGAAGGGGCTGGCGGCAGGCAGGACAGAGCCCCCCGCGGAGCTGGGGAATGGGGCCCCCATGGAGCAAGGGGACAGGGCCCCTGCAGACTTGGGGAATGGGGCCCCCGCAGAACAAGGGGACGGGGCCCCCACAGACTTGAGGAATGGGACCCGCATGGAGCCAGGAGATGGAGCCCCCGCAGACTTGGGGAATGGGACCCCCGCGGAGCAAGGGGACAGGGCCCCCGCGGAGTCAGGGGACGGGGTTCCCATGGACTTGGGGAATGGCACCCCCATGGAGCAGGGGGACGGGACTCATTAAATGTTGGCGTCTTTTCCCATCCCGGCTTTTCTGGAGAATGTGACTGAGCTGCTCCCCCAACTGAAATCCCCAGCTGACGGGCCCCTCTACTCCGGTATCCCACGTCCCCCAGCCCCACGGGTCCCTCTACTCCGGTATCCCGCCTCCCTCACCCCCACAGGTCCCTCTACCCTGTATCCCGCTTCTGCCAACCCCATGAGCCCCTCTCCCCCAGTATCCAGCCTCCCCCAGCCCCCTCTACCCCACCTCCCTCAGTCCCACGGGCCCATCTACCCCAGTATCTGGCCTCCTCTAGCCCCCTCTACCCCAGTATCCTGCCCTCTTCAGCCCCACAGGTCCCACTACCCTGCCCCTCCTCCCCAAGCCCAATAGGCCCATCTACCCTGGTATCCCACCCCCCTTGATCTCACACCCCTGCTGGCAAACACCCTGCCTGACCGCAGGGCTCGCCCTGAACCCAGCTGTGAGATGAGATTAACCGAGACCCTCTCCCCAGCCCCTACCTCCCCCCACATACTCAGATATCTCATGTGACCCTCCTGATACATACGCATGCCCCAGCCCCTCCTGCCTGGCCAATGCCCTGGAACACCCCCCTGCCGCCCCCCACAGATGCCCCATGGGTGCCTTAGAAGAATCTCACTTTATTATTAATTCATTTGAGCAAGTTCTGCGTACACTGGGGGAGAGGGACACAAATGGAGGGGGGGGAGAGGCAGAAATCAGATGGGGGACCCCTCCCCAGAGCAGGGGGTCAGGCTTAAGGATTAGCCCCCCCTTCTGACCCCCCCCACAACCACAGAAAAGGATCTGACATTGCTGGGGGTTGGCAAACTGGGGGGGGGGGGGGGGAGGAGGACAGTCCCCACCCCCATGCAGTTGATTGGTGAAGGGTGGGGGGCACAACTGGGAGAATTCATACACAGGTTGTGATTGAGAGGGGAGCACGGGGGGCATTGGGGGACTCTCTGCTCCAGTAGGGGTTGAGTGGGGGGGGAGGAGGGAGAGCTAGGTTCACGACATCACAGCCACTCACGCAAGCGAAGCCCCCTGCCCCCCCCCCAGGGCAGCGGGAGATCATGCTGCTTGGGGGGGGGGGGGAGATCAGGGATTACAACCACATGGCCAGAAGGGGGCACTCTCAATGCTGCACATCTTATGTGGGGCGGGGAGAGGATGTGTAGCTCAGACCTGTGCCCCCCAGCAGGCCAGCAGCAGAGGCCTGGCTGGGTCCAGTCCTGGGTTTAAATCCCAGTGCTGGCTGGGCTGACCCTGCTCCATGACACTGAGGGGGGGGGGGATTAAGGCAGCCCCCCTACCCCACCCTGACAGCAAGTCCCTGGGCAGGGGCGGGGGAGAGGGGTCCAGTGGCCCTGCCCAGGTGACTGCAGAGGAGACTTTGGGCATAGGGGCGGTCATGGCGGCCATCGCTGCCCCACCCCGGCAGCAGGGCCCCTCATGTCCTGGGGGTCGTCTCTGGAGCTGCCTTTGGAGGTCACTGCTCTGGGCCCCTGGGGTCCCGTCAGGGTGGGGGGGGTCAGGAAGCAGAGCCTGGGGCAGGTGAGGATGGATCCCACCCCTGGGATCTGGAGCAGACATGGTCACAGGCTAGGGGGCGTGGGGGGAATGCGCCATTAGCCCCTGGGGCAGGAAGGTGCGCCCTGGAGGAGGTGAGATGTCCAGGGGGGCAGTAGTGTGATAGATGGGGGGGTGGGGGGGCAGCTATAATTTAAAGGGGCAGCAGCACCCCCACTTCCAGAAGAGGGGGCAGGGCTTGGAGGCAGAGCTGAGGGTGAGGTGTGGCCTCAATGGGGGTGGAGCTATGCAGGGGGAGGGGTTTAACACTGCCCCCCTGCCCCCACTTATGAATTCTCAGGTAAGTGTGGGGGGGGGGTACTGCCCATGAAGGGGAGAATCTGACACCACACCCAGTGGACCCTCCCATTTGACCCCCCCCCACCCCGGGCTGCCCCAGGGCTCCCTCCCCCTGGCAGCCTCTCAGGGGCTCCCCTCTCCTACCCCCCACCCCGGGCCGGCCCCCTTATAGCAGGAAGGGATTTGTGTTGCCCATGGACTGGGCAGAGGCGCTGGTGGGTACGATGGGCTGGGGGGGCATCATGGGGGGCATGGCCATGGGGGACAGGCCGGGGGGCTGGACCCCGACCATGGGGGAGACAGAGGCCAGGGGCACGACCGGCCCAAGGGGGGTGACTGAGACCATGGGGGGGGCGAAGGGGGCAGCGGGGGGGCCCAGCCCCATGACGGGGCTGACACGGAGCTGGTTGAGGGGCAGTGAGGCGGGCTGCGCCGGCTGGAATGGGTTGGTGGCCGAGGCGCCGGTGGCTGCTCCCGGTGCCGACACCAGGGGCACAGGCGCTGTCCCTAGAAGGGAGGGAGGGAGAGTGAGAGACCAGCCACACAGCTGGGAGAGAACCCAGGAGTCCTGGCTCCCAACCCCCTCCCCACAACCGCTAGGCCCCACTCCCCTCCCAGAGCCGACAGAGAACCCAGGGGTCCTGGCTCCCAGGCCCCCTGCTCTAACCACTAGGTCCCACCCCACTCCCAGAGCCAAGGAAAGAACCCAGGCGTCCTGCCTCCCAGCCCCCCTCCCCTCCAAGAGGCAGGGATAGAACCCAGGCAACCTGGCTTTCACCCCCCAACCCCTCCATCACTAGACCCCACTCCCTTCTCCTCCCAGAGCAGAAGAAGCCAGGCGTCCGGCCGGGCGCTCACCTGTGGCCAGGAAGGGGTTGGAGGTCTTGGTGCTGGGGGGCGCATGGGGTTTGCTGAGCAGCGAGTCCAGATCCACCAGGGCGGCGTTGGGACCCAGGAAGGACTCGGGGGTCTTACGGGTAGGTTTGGAGGCCTCGGCCAGCGAGCCCCCGACAGCCGCCATGTCGAAGGTGCTGGGGCTCCGGGCGCCGGCCGAACGTGACACCGGCACCTCCCCGGCCAGCAGGTCCAGCTCCCCTGGGGGGCAGAGACAGAGGGGGGGCTGAGACACCCACCCAGGCCCCCTGGGCAGGCAGAGCGCTGTGGGGCTGGGAGGGGCGTCCTCGCCGTAAGCCCAGTAGCTGGGAAAAATACTGACTGGTCCCGGCCCTAGGACAGACCCAGCGGGACCCACTGCAGACACCCTCCTGGTCTGGCAGCGACCCACTGATAACCCCATAACCCGCCCTCCGGACAACAAGGGGTTAAACCCACCCCCCTTCCCCACATCCCCCAAGCACCAGCTCCCATCTGGCCCCAGGGCGGGGACTGGCTGGCTCAGGGGGGCGGGGAATGGGGCCCGGGGGCCTCTCCCCTCTAGGGGGTGCCAGCTCCCATCAGGGAGGATGTATTCAGTACCCACCCACCCCCCAATTTCCCAGCAGCCCTGACACACATGCAGGGGAGGGAAGGCAATGCGGGGGGAGGAGGAGGCAGCCGGGGTCCCCCCGACCCACCTGTGCTGCTCCCTGACTTGGGAAGCGCCGGGCGTAGGCTGTCGAAATCCGAGAACTCGTCCGGCTCGAAGGCACCACCAGCTGGGGTTGGGGGGAGGGAAGAAGTGAGTTATGGGGAGCAAGGGAGAGTCCCTGCCCCAACCGAGCCCCATACCCATCCCAGAGCAGGGGAGAGAACCCAGGCATCCTGGCTCCCAGCCCCCCCCCTGCTCTAACCACTAGGTCCCACTCCCCTCCCAGAGGCAGGGAGAGAGCCGTGGCCGACCCACCTGCGGTGCCGTTGATGCTGCCTTTCGAGGGCGACCCTCCCCAGCGGTCAGGGAAGGTCTGCGCGGGGGCCCAGGGGTCGGCCGCGGGTTTCCCCTGGGGGGCTGCAGCTGGGCCCGACGACCACGGGTCACTGGCAGGGGGCGCTCCACTCACTGCAACGCCCCCAGCTGGAGGAGAGAAAAGCAGTTAGCAGCCAAGGCCAGTGGCTCCTGTACCCTCCCTGCTGCCCTCCATACACCCACAATGCACTGCAGGCTGTGGGGCAGGGTGTCAGCAGGGGGTACTCTCCCTAGCAGGCAGTGCTGTCCCCGATGCCCCACGGTGGCGCTAGGGAGCACTGGGGGCGCTCGGCGGGGGCACTCTCCCCAGCAGGCAGGGTTGTTTCACCACCTCTGCTCCAGGACTGGCATTGACAATCCCTAGGGACGGGCAAAGGAGGTGTCTTGGCCTGGGGGTCACCATGTCCCCGCTGTGGGGCCCTTGGGGCTGATCCGAGCCAGAGGGCTGTTTCCCCAGCGCCATGGCCCCGTGGGGAGAGTCAGGATCCAGCCGACCCAGGTTCTGTTTCCTTCCCTGCCACAGCCTCCCTCTGTGCCTCAGTTTCCCCATCAGGGACACAGATACCACCCTGCTGTGGCAAGAGCTTTGATAGCTCCCCTCACCCCTCCTGCCCCATTGATTTCAATGGGGGATACAGATTTGCCCCCCTTGCACAGGGATGGGGCCACCCAACTCCCCCACCCCCGCGTGCTGGGACCCAGCAGGAGCTGGGGTCTCCAGTCTGACGTGGATGCTGGGGGGATCGAGCATTTTTAGTGACAAAGGCAGGAGGGGGCTGGAGGGGCTGGTGCCCAGGGACCGGAGTGACAGGCACGACGCGGAGACATACCAGGGAGTGGGGAGGGGCCCGTCCCCTCCGGGTTCCAGGGGTCGGAGCTGGCGACAGCCGGGGGGCCCCCCCAGGGGTCTCCCGGGGCCGTGACGGAGGCAGATGCCCCCCATGGGTCACCAGTGGAAGCCACGCCTCCAGGGGTCCCTCCCCAGGGGTCCGGGGCAGGCGGCCCCGTGGGAGCAGGCACAGAGGCACCCCAGGGGTCAGTGGGGGCAGGGGGACCCCAGGGGTCCCCGGCGACAGGGGGGGCTGGCGCGGTGAAGACATCAGCCAGGTCCATCAGCGACGACTGCAGGAGAGAAACGTGGTGAGACACGGGGCAGCCGGTCACCCCAGATATATCCCAAGTCTGCCCCTAAATCTGGGCCCCCACTAGACCCTGCCCCCTGCCACAGATCCCGCCCCCAA